TCTCTCTTCTCTCTCTCTTCTTCCTTCTCTCTCCTCTCTCTCTCTCTCTCTCTCTCTCTCTCTCTCTCTCTCTCTCTCTCTCTCTCTTCTCTCTCTCTCTCTCTGCTCTCTCTCTCTCTCTCTCTCTCTCTCTCTCTCTCTCTCTCTCTCTCTCTCTCTCCTCTCTCTCTCTCTCTCTCTCTCTCTCTCTCTCTCTCTCTCTCTCTCTCCTTCTCTCTCTCTCTTTGTCTCTCTTTGTCTCTCTCTCTCTCTCTCTCTCCCTCTCCTTCTCTCTCTCTCCTTCTCTCCTTCTCTCCTTCTCTCTCTCTCTCTCTCCTTCTCCTTCTCTCTCTCTCTCTCTTTCTCTCTCTCTCTCTCTCTTTCTCTCCCTCCCTCCTTCTCTCTCTTTCTCCCTCTCTCTCCGTCTCTCTCTCTCTCTGTCTCTCTGTGTCTCTTTCTCTCTCTCCTTCTCTCTCCTTCTCTCTCTATCTCTCTTTCTCTCGCCTTCTCTCTCTCTGTCTCTCCTTCTCTCTCCTTCTCTCTCCTCGCTCCTTCTCTCTCCTTCTCTCTCTTTTTTTTGTCTCTCTCTTTCTCTCTCTTTCTCTCGCTCTCTCTCCCTCCCTCCTCTCTAAGTCTATGACCCCTGAATTATCTTCGTACTACTGGCTTTCCCCTTGATTTCCACTTCATTTCCTTTTCATGTCTCGTCATTCTTCGAGGATGTCCTCGTCGTGTCCCCTTCCCTGCCTTTCAATTCCCCTTCATTTTCTCGGTATGTCCGCTTCATTTGCCGTGTGTGTCCCTTTCGTCCATTGCTAGTCATTTCCCTACATCTCCCTTCGTGTCCTTTGGTTGTCTGTCCTTTGTTTGCTTTGCAGTCCCCCCTCACTCCCTTTGTTTTCATGTCTTTCCCTTGCACGTCCCTTTCATTTGCCCTTGCTTTCCTGTCATGTCAACTTCCCGTCCCCTGCACTCCCCTCATTTCCCCGCACTTCCTTTCATTTTCCCTTTTCTCCCTGATATTTGTCCAAAAAGGATGCCGACACGCCTCCGCAATGTCGGCAGAGAACGCGCGCTCAGGGGATCCAAAAAGATTCCCCACAAACGGGCACACACACACACACAGCATGCGATTGCGGAGTTTAAGGCTTCATGGTAGTGGAGCCCGGCAACGAGACAGAGATCGCCAAGTGGCAGCCTCTCGGATTTCCGCGAAGGGCCCCCTTGAATTTTCGGGAGTGTAATGCTCTAAAGCTTGGTTGATTTTGGCTGCTTTCGGTTTCTTTTGGCTCCTTCGAAACAACCCAAAAGGGTTGTCAAGCAGTCTGAGATTTCGACAGGGCGTCATCTTGCCCCTGAGTTCTGGCTCAGGACATGTACGCAAGTCTGTGTTTCCTTTTCAACGGGCTTTTTGAGTTCAGCCAGTTGAGCTTACACCGTGACCCCTGACCCCTGAACAAGAAACTTTTGTGTACACTGAGTCACTGCAACGAAGCGGGTGGCCATTCTACAGAGGTCATGTTTTGTTTGCTTCTCCTGGGTGCCGGTGAGAAATTGATTCCAATTCAGAATTTGCCAATTGAACTTCTCCTTCCAAAATTTGAACATCCTGATTACCAGTGTTGTTTTGTCCTTCTCGTTTTGGGGGGATTTTTCTGAGGCAAAACAATTTTCTTTTGCACTCTTTCTTTGTGCTTTCGCAAAAGCATTTTCATACTCTTCTCTTCGTTCTAAGAATGACTCTTGAATTCTCCCATCTGGTGTTTTGCAGCAGTGCCAGCCGGCTACAACAGTTGCGGCTTTTGGGTGTCAGTTCTTGTACATGTTCGGAGGCGAATGGGGTGCTTAAGTGAGCTCGCCCGAATCTTTCTTGCGAAGCCGTGGATCAACGCTTGGGTACACAGGCTTCCGGCGCTCTCTTCAGCGGAAACCAATTAGTTGGAAGCAAGTTGGGCTTGGGGCCAACAGCCGAACAGGAGACACTTTCAGAGGAAGGGAGGAGTGGCCGTTACGTTCCTTTTCTCCTCAGGCATGGAGTTTTTTTGAGATTGACACAACAATCGAACTGAACCGGCTTCTAGGTTTCGGGTCTGATGTGTTTAGTGCTCCAAAGCCGACCGGGGGACCATTGGGCTTCGACTCCTGGCAACTGTGTGCTTGTTCGACCCTTGCTTTTCCAGATCTTGATGGTTGTTGCACGCCTTTTTCTAAGTAGAGTGTTGTCAGAGGTTTCTTGGCCCTGAGCTTGGCATCTTGTTGGCAGGGATCAGAATTCAGCTGAGGGCAGGCTATAGCGGGGGATCAACGAGACAAATCTGAGTTGGTTCCAAGGGCCTCGAGCGCGCGTGGTTCGTGCTGGCGGGCCGCAAGCGTTCACCCCTATCCCCGTGAGCCAGATTTGGATTCCTGTCATCTGTCTGGAATCTAGCAAGCAAGTCAGAGGGAGGAACGCAAGACAGGCTGCTGATTGGTGGGCCCACTGCTACACTTGTTCTGGTGCATTGGTGGCGAAGGCAGGCAACCAACTCTGCTCCACTCGCCATATCAGAATTGGGAGCTACCAGTTATTTTGTGGGGCGCACCCAGTGCAGCTTTAGCGCGCGGATCACATGAAAGCAGGCCTTGTGCAAAGGGTTGCGTTGTACGCGCACTAAAACTTTCCGTGTTGGTTGCTTCCAGAAGACATTGTTTCGGGCCATTGTAGTGTTTGCTCAGGGTGGTACTACAGCCACAAAAGCCGGCTGCCTCAGGTTCAGGAAGCAGACTGGAATCTTCGAATGCTCGAATTGGGCAGTGTACTCCGATGGGCCGCAAGACGCTTGGGTGAAGCAAATCCCTGGGTGCCAAAGCAGGAGGCATTTGCCCCTATGCAAACCTCGTGTATACATGCATGTTCCGAGTTGCAACTGTAGACTGTGATCACGTAATCAAAAGTTATTGCTTTGCGATTGTGATGTCCTAGGGTTCCTAAACTTTCTGTTGCAAGCAGGTGCAAAGTCACAGTTATGCGCGGTGAAGGCTTGGCAAGCATACGGGCGCCGTATCAATGATCTCACCCTACCTTCCTGATGTCGTGCGCAAACTTCTCCAGAAGATAGCATGGGTGAATTGAATCCCTTGCAACGGCACCTAGAGGGTCAATTGCAATGAGTCTGGGTTGATGCCACGTTGTTTGTGAATTAAGGGGTGAGCTGCCTGATTTATTCTCCTGCCAGCTTGGCAACAGAGCCAAGGATCCAATTGAGCTGGGTGTTGGGCCGGATGGCCCCTTAGCTGCACGCAGTCTCCGTGCCCACTTAGCGCAGCCTTACCATATTTCTTTGGCTTCGGTAGCTTCAATGCTGAATTTGCTGACGCTTTCTCTCAAGAATACAATGCTCTCATTAAACTGTGCTGCCGACTTCCAACCAAGAGGAGACGTCTTAAGGGCCAGGCCGTGGCTGCGAATGAGCTCAGGCAAGACCGCCTATACCATTCCCATTCCAGGCAGGGTGGAACCATCCCCCCCCCCTCCCAGCCCCCACTCCGCCAGGGCCACCTGCGATCATGAGTACTCAGAGCTGCCTGGGCTGCCACACAGCCAAGCGCTACATCATGAATGCCCCTTGGATGCGGGGAAACGTGTTGGTTTTTCCAGCGCTTTCCCGTTGGCTTTGTGGTTTTGGTCGGCATGGGGCTTATGAGGGCCGGTCACATGTTGTTCTTGGAGGCGGACTGAGGTCAAGGGTTGGGTCTGAAGTTGTCACACGGCCTCTTTTTCCATCAGTGATTGCCAGGGGTAGTCAATCCTGGGAGCCCTGCGGCAGGTTTCTAGGAAGGTTCCAAGCAGGGTTATTAGTTGCTGCTTTTTGGGAGGCCTCAGGGTTTCGGGGTACGGCAGGGGCAGGGCCAGGTTTTGTTTTTTTGGCCCCCAGTGTTTATTCCCAACAGCAGCGATCAATCCGTTTCCTTTAATAGTGAAACGGCAGCAGGGCTAGGGTGGTCCTGCAATCCGGCTGTCAACTTGAAGAGTCCCTTAAAGGGTGCATTTGGGCCAGTTAGCGCCTTCACCAGCTGCTTTGGAGGATTGCCTTGTAAGCTGGTGGTTTGTTAGATGTTTGCACTCTGTTTTCTTGCAGAACCTCTTTTGCAAAAGCACATCCTTTCTGTCATGTCTGTCAGCCACAGCGGCCCCTCTCCCAATTGAGCCAGAGAAAATGAGGACCGAGGTGCAAGGCAAATGTGGGTATGGGCACTGCCAAGTGGAACATTTTATGGGTACCTGCAACCACTTTGCAAGCTTCGACAACCCAAACTGACGGTGCAGCTTGTTTGGTTTGTGCTTCTGGCACTGTGGCATCTTCCCTTGCCAGCTTGTGAGAGGACTCCTTTGCGGCCTGTCAAAAGCCGGAAGGAATCCAAGCCGTTTGGACGTGCGGAGCTGCGGAACTTGCGAGGCCAATGTGCTGATGAGGGCCTGGGACAAGGCCTCCAAGGACGGCATTGCTGGAGCCACGGTGGCAATGGTTTCTGCTGCTTGCTGGTGCGATAGCTAGGGAATGAGGGAATGAACCCAGGCTTTGGTTCCCTCAAAGGAACACACAAAGGAACTCACAAGGGATGGTTTATAGGGGTCATTCCCTCATTCCCTGCTGAGCACTAGCAAGTTCTGTCGCGTGAGTGGCTGGGAGGGGAGCGGGGTGGCTCCTTGGGCAACGCAAAGGGCTTCCACTTGAAGAGTATGTTGACTCGTACACGCACACTAAAACACATTCAGGAAGAACCTATGACTTGAATATGTCAAAATGCACCGAATACCGCCAGAAGGCTGCCGCGTGTTTGTGTGTGTGTGTGTGTGTCACCTCCCTTTGTGACTGACTGCCTGGGAATCACTGTCTTCGCTCGTATGTCACTAATATTTGTTGACCGTGGGGTCTTGCTGGGGTCAGTGCAATGCATGGACCGCCACGTTCTGCGGCCATATGCTTTCCCTCAAGGCGGCGAGCGAGCTAATCGTAGACACCTGAGTAATCTCTTGAGCCATGATGAAGAAGAGCGGAAAGGCTGCAGCTGGGGGGCGGATGGCTGCAGCGCACCGCGCACGCATGGAGGAGCGGGGAGGGGGGAGGGGGAGGGGGTGCTTGAGAGAGCTGGGGAATTAAGATGACCGTTTCCGAGTGTCAACCAATGTTAGTTGTTTGTGCGGGTATATGAGGAATAAGGAGCACTCATAAAAGGTGCGTTCTGTGGAAAAATCCCATTTGGAAGTGAAGCGGAGTTCCCTGTTTGGTGCGACCCAGGAGGCATGCTCTAGCTTCTGCGTGCGAGTGTGGTTTTGCATGGTTTTTCATGCCTTTATGCATTGTAAGTGTCAGATTCGCCTTGTTCTGCTTGTGTGCCGTGCTTTCCTTTGCATTGCGGCATTGTGTGTTCTTGCTTTGCTTTGTTTGCCTTGCCTTGCCTTGCCTTGCCTTGCCTTGCCTTGATTGCTTGCTTGCTTGCCCTGCTTCTCGTGCTTCTCTTGCCTGCCTGCTACCTGCAGGCTGGCTTGCGTCCTTGCTTGCATGCATTTTGCACTGCCACACTGCTGTGACACCACCGTTTGCCATAATCAAAGCACAGGGCAACGCTGAGTGGTGCACACTTGAAGACAAGTTTGTTTGGTCGCCAAAGCTTAATTCTTACGGAGGGCTTCGAAAAAGGCCATAGAATGACCAAGTGACAAATAGGTTTTTGAAGGCTGTGCAGCGCTTGTCCATGAGCCATTCCTCTAGAAACATATCTGCCAATTCCGCACTCTGCTTGACATGCTGCCCCGCATTGATACCTCCCTCTTCTGAGTTTTTGCAATAGCCGCGCCAGGGTACCTAGAAAACTGGGTAGAATCAGACAAGAGGCATGGATGTGGGGGGTGCTCAGCAGAATTTGTGTGAGAGTTTGCGCAGGTTCTCTTGTTAGCCAGAGTTGCCAGGCCGTCATAGTGCGACAGATTCCTTTTCATGCGCATGTGCTCAAGCTGCGCGAATTTCTAGAAAGGAGCCCGCAAAAGTGCTCTGCCGCAAGTCCAATAGTGCAGTGGTTCTGGTTTTTGAGGTCATCTTGAGCGAAGCCAGGGTGCATGTCATAGCTTTCAGTCATCTAGCTGCATCTTTGCAGGATTTCCAGCTGCCAGGGGGCTCATGCCACAAAAGTGACGATTCGGCCCACTGCCGCGATTGCTTTGAGACTTCCATGTGTCTCCTGGCCAGATTATTGCTTCCGACCATGGAGGGCCGTTTCCCCCACCATGGAACAGGAAGCTTTTGAGGCATTTGTTAAGGCTTGGTTGGGGAAACCAAAATTAAACCAATCAGTTTGGGCACACATACCCTCCTCTCCCCACTCCCACATAGGCCACCCCTCGGAGGTAAGGCGGACGAAGCATGCAGCCAACGGGTAGGACACCTTCCCGCCAAACGGCCAGATTGGATTTCTCAAGGGGCGCTTCTCATGGCTCATTTTGAAAGTTTCAGGGTCTTGCATTGGCTTTGATGTCATTGACAATCTCATGCAATGCTGGTGTTGCGTTTTTGCAGTGCGTGATGGAACCCATCCCTTCAAAGTCTCAAGCTGGATTCGTCTCACCGGGGCCAGTCCCGCACAGCTCTGCCACAAGTGACCTTCGGTTTGCCAAGGTTTTGGCTTGGAAGCCGATCGCTTCAGGCTGAAGACAGTGGTTGAAAGGCCGTGGGTTCAACCCCCCAGAATTATGTCAAACATGTTGCAGCCTAGGGACCCGTGTGAATGGGGAACCATTGGACTTGTCTCCCCCATCCCCCAACCTGTGTATGTGGTCTCGTGCAAAGATTGCTGTATGAGAAATATGCAGGTTGGGGAGCAGAAGCTGGGTACTCTTGGATCCTGCGCCTACCCACTAGCAGTCATTTTGGAAGACAGTGTCCGTGGTTGATCAGAGCTTCCATAATCATCAGAATTATGTTCCAAATTGTGATGGTTAGTGAGCGTAGTGAGCGAGTAGGCAGAAGGAATACATGCGTGTCAGCTAAAGAATGTGTCCCGTCCCCCTGCAACAGCCGTCCCCCTTCAACAGCCCCGTTCCGTTTGAGGCACCCTTCCCCGACGACAAAAACCCAAAAAACACACAGAGACACCTTCAAGGCCAGCATCCCTATTGCGGGACCTGCAGCTTCTGCACCGGGGAGGACACATCCGGCCAGACTCCACTCGCCTGTGTTGCCACGGTACATGAAGAGAACCCGAAGAGAATCCGAGAAAGTGGTGTTGCCGCCATCCTGAAGGAGCCTAAGGTATTCCAGCGCTTTTTTAGGGACTAAACACATTTTCCCGAAAGCTGACCTCGCCAATCATGTTGTTGCCAGCGTTTGCTTTTTGGGAGAGGTGGAAAGAGGTAAAAAGTTGGGGTGCCGATGCGCTTTGCTCCATGGCTGCATTTGGCACATTTTGCTGCGCGGTACGCGGTCAGCATCCATCCTGACAGTGGCGGCCCACCTTCAGAAGACGTGGTTTGGGCGGCGGGGCGGCGGAAGTTCTTTGGAGCATGGCAACTGGGTTGTCCAAAACGAATCCACTTTTGTTTTCAAATTTTCAAGACCCTTCCGGCAAAAGGGTTTGAGAATAAGGGCGTTGCCCCTACCAACCAGCTGTTTCAGAAGGTTGTTGGCTTGGGTGGCTCCCTCGCCTGACATTGGGTTTCTTTGTGGCATATGCTCCTGGGCCGTGCCCGCTGGGGGTGAGAAGAAAGCAGGATATATATAATGTTTGCGCGTTATTGTGCGTGGTCTCGGGTTTTTGAGGCTGCTGAAAATCCTGGTTGCAGCAGGGGACAACGGCTGGCTTGTGCTTCCTGCGCAAAAGCCAGGTTGTGGGTATATGCGCCCTCCACCGGCCAAAAAGATTGAAGGAACCGCATTCCACCAGTCGCACCAGCCAGTACGAGAGAGCTGTTGATTCATGCCAGCCTTTGATGGCAGGACTTTGACCGTGACCGGGAGCTCTTGGATTACCAGTGCATGTGCTACAAATGCGCCAAGGCGCGAAACACACTGGTCGTCCAGCGAGCTTGTCAAACATGCACCTGCCCGCCGGCTTGACAAAGACAAGCCACATTTAAATTGACTATGTGCAGTGTTTAGTGTTTCCGGTTGAAGAAGTCGGGACATACGGGCGAGAACCAGGTAATGCTTGAAGGCTTGAAGGCTTGGGAGACAAGCTGTGGGAACCAGATGGCCCTGTTTGGTGCTGCTCCTGTACGGACGTTTCCTCCCCCGATTTTTCTGACAGTCGTGGGATCCATTACTGTATAACATACGTAGGCCTGGTTTTCGAATGTCAAGAGCCTAAGTCCTCATTGGAGCAGTTGATAGCGGCCACTGTGTGCGTGTCTTTTTGTGCGCGTGTGGCACATTTGTCAATCACACGTACAGACACCTGCGTGAGACCCACCCACCAACCCACCTACCCGCCCGCCCGCCCGCCCGCCCGCCCGCCCGCCCCCCGACCCACCCACCCACCACCCACCCACCCACCCACCCCCCGTCACTTCCTCCGAGGCCATGAACCGCTGCTGCGGCTGCGGCAAGGCCTTCGGTGGTAAGCCCAACGAGGTCAGCCTCCCGCTGACCCACGCGGGACGTCGCGGCGGAGATTTCTTACCGCGCTTGGGCGGCCAGCAGTCGGCGGTCGCCTGATGAACGTTGACATATTGAGTAGCCCAGAAGTGCAAACGGAATTTAGGGGTGGGGGGTTGCATGTATACATACATGCTCACATACACACACACATACATATACATATATATATATGTATGGTTACATTGCATATAACATGGCAATGTTTTCCTGGCCTCTCCGAATTTGCCAATGTTCTTGCGGCAGCCTACGATGTTGGGGTTTGCCCTTCAAAAAACAGGCTTGCTTCAAGAGCCAGCTGTGAATTTCCCACAAACAGCGCTCTGATCAGGAAGGGGGTCAATGCCTTGTTTTTGCAGCAGGTAACGAGTTGCTATCCCAAATCGTTGCAGATGTTGTATTTTCTCGCCGGGTTGCCCATGGTGCGGCCCTGCTAGTCAAAAGCAACGTATCTACAGCCAAGGTCGCCTGATGTGGAAGATGATGTGGAAGATCAGCTTTGGGAGGAGCGCACTTTGGCTTCACCGAGTCGCTGTGTGATCCAATTGTTGCACAGCCAGGTTTTATTTTTTGCTTACATTAAAAGTGCTCACAATCTGCATCAGTTGTGTTGAGCGCATTGGTGGTGGCCAAGTGACCTTAGCGTGAAACACTTCTTTTGGTCAGGACCTCCAGCTCGATAATCCTTTCCCCCTCTGACCCTTAGAGGTAGGAATTCGCTCAGTGGAGGCCCAGCCTCAATTTCCACCGCAGCGCTTCATGGATCGGTGTCACTAGTGGCTTGGGATTGCGCAGGGTGGCTATCCACACCACGCGTTCGGAACATGGCAAAGAGAAACAGATTTTAGTGCCTCCGGCTCAGGCCGCCGACATTACAGGCCTGCTTTCTTATTTGCGTCCCTTTGGAATTGTCCCCTTGCCCCCTTCCCCTCTGAGATTTTTGCCCCCCTTTCTTTGTTGAGATCCATTCCCCCTTTCCGCCCGAAGGCCTTTTCTCCCTCTGTTTTTTTCCCTTTTCCTCCCTAAGATGTTTTCACCCCTCTCCCTGTTGAGATCCTTTCCCCCCTTTCCCCCCTAAGGCCTTTTCCCCCCTGAGATCTTCTCCCTTTGCCTCCCTAAGATCTCCCAGATCGTCTCCCTTTCAGGGAGAAGATCTGGGAGAAAAGGACTTAGGGGGGAAAGCCCAACAGGGAAAGGGGGGAAAAGATTTAGGAAGGAAAAGGGAGAAGCTCTCAGGGGGGGGAAAGGCCTTAGGGGGGAAAGGGGGAAAAGGATCTCAGCGGGGGGGGGGGAAGATCTTAGGGAGGAAAGGGAGAAGATCTGGGGACAAAGGCCTTAGGGGGGAAAGGGGAGAAATGATCTCAACAGGGAAAGGGGTGGAAAAGATCTTAGGGCGGAAAGGGAGAAGATCTGGGAGAAAAAAGGCCAACAGGGAAAGGGGGGAAAGACCTAAGGAAGGAAAAGGGAGAAGCTCTCAGGGGGGGGAAAGGCCTGAGGGGGGAAAGGGTGGGAAGGATCTCAACAGGGAAAGGGGGGAAACAATCTTAGGAAGGAAAGGGAGAAGATCTGGAAAGGCCTTAAAGGGAAGGGGGGAAAGGATCTCAACAGGGAAAGGGGGCAAAGGATCTTAAGGAGGAATAGGAGAAGATCTCAGGGGGGGGAAGGCCTTAGGGGGGAAAGGGGGGAAAGGATCTCAACAGGGAAAGGGGGCAAAGGATCTTAGGGAGGAAAAGGAAGAAGATCTTGGGGGGGAAAACGCCTTAGGGGGGAAAGGGCGGGAAAGGATCTCAACAAGGAAAGGGGGGAAAAGACCTTAGGAAGGAAAAGGGGGAAGATCGCAGGGGGAAAAAAATGGCCTTAGGGGGGAAAGGAGGGAAAGGATCTCAACAGGGAGAGGGGGGAAAACATCGTGGGGAGGAAAAGGGAAAAACTCAGAGGGAGAAAGGGCCTTAGGGGGGAAAGGGGGGATGGATCTCAACAGGGAAAAATGGCAAAAGATCTTAGGGAGGAAAAGGGAGAAGATCTCAGGGGGGGAAAGGCCTTAGGGGGGAAAGGGGGGAAAGGATCTGAGCAGGGAAAGGGGGGGGGGGAAAGATCTTAGGGAGGAAAGGGAGAAGATCTGGGGACAAAGGCCTTAGGGGGGAAAGGGGAGAAATGATCTCAACAGGGAAAGGGGTGGAAAAGATCTTAGGGAGGAAAGGGAGAAGATCTGGGGGAAAAAAGGCCAACAGGGAAAGGGGGGAAAGATCTAAGGAAGGAAAAGGGAGAAGCTCTCAGGGGGGGGAAAGGCCTGAGGGGGGAAAGGGTGGGAAGGATCTCAACAGGGAAAGGGGGGAAACAATCTTAGGAAGGAAAGGGAGAAGATCTGGAAAGGCCTTAAAGGGAAGGGGGGAAAGGATCTCAACAGGGAAAGGGGGCAAAGGATCTTAAGGAGGAATAGGAAGAAGATCTCAGCGGGGGGAAAGGCCGTAGGGGGGGAAAGATCTCAGTGGAGGAAAGGGAGAAGGTCCCAGGCAGGGAAAAGGCCTTAGGGGGGAAAGGGGGAAAGGATCTCAACAGGGACAGGGGGCAAAGGATCTTAGGGAGGAAAAGGGAGAAGATCTTGGGGGGGAAAACGCCTTAGGGGGGAAAGGGCAGGGAAAGGATCTCAACAAGGAAAGGGGGGAAAAGATCTTAGGAAGGAAAAGGGGGAAGATCGCAGGGGGAAAAAAGGCCTTAGGGGGGAAAGGAGGGAAAGGATCTCAACAGGGAGAGGGGGGAAAACATCGTGGGGAGGAAAAGGGAAAAACTCAGAGGGAGAAACGGCCTTAGGGGGGAAAGGGGGGATGGATCTCAACAGGGAAAAATGGCAAAAGATCTTAGGGAGGAAAAGGGAGAAGATCTCAGGGGGGGAAAGGCCTTAGGGGGGAAAGGCGGGAAAGGATCTGAGCAGGGAAAGGGGGGGAAAGATCTTAGGGAGGAAAGGGAGAAGATCTGGGGGCAAAGGCCTTAGGGGGAAAGGGGAGAAATGATCTCAACAGGGAAAGGGGTGGAAAAGATCTTAGGGAGGAAAGGGAGAAGATCTGGGGGAAAAAAGGCCAACAGGGACAGGGGGGAAAGATCTAAGAAAGGAGAAGCTCTCAGGGGGGGAAAGGCCTCAGGGGGAAAGGGTGGGAAGGATCTCAACAGGGAAAGGGGGGAAACAATCTTAGGAAGGAAAGGGGGGGGGGAAGATCTTAGGGAGGAAAGGGAGAAGATCTGGGAGAAAAGGACTTAGGGGGGAAGCCCAACAGGGAAAGGGGGGAAAAGATCTTAGGAAGGAACAGGGAGAAGCTCTCAGGGGGGGGAAAGGCCTTGGGAGGGAAAGGGGGGAAAGGATCTCAACAGGGAAAGGGTGGGAAAGATCTTAGGGAGGAAAGGGGGAAGATCTTAGGAGGAACTCCCTAAGATCTTCCCCCCCCCTTTCCTCCCTAAGATCTTTCCCACCCTTTCCCTGTTGAGATCCTTTCCCCCCTTTCCCTCCCAAGGCCTTTCCCCCCCTGAGAGCTTCTCGCTTTTCCTTCCTAAGATCTTTTCCCCCCTTTCCCTGTTGGCCTTTTTTCCCCAGATCTTCTCCCTTTCCTCCCGAAGATCTTTTCCACCCCTTGCCCTGTTGAGATCATTTCTCCCCTTTCCCCCCTAAGGCCTTTTTGCCCCAGATCTTCTGCCTTTCCTCCCTAAGATCTGGAAATGAAGGGGGGAAAGGGGGAAAGGATCTCAACAGCGAAAGGGAGATCTCAGGGAGGAAAGGGAGAAGATCTGGGGAAAAAATGCCTTAAGGGGGAAAGGGGGGAAAAGATCTTTGGGAGGAAAAGGGAAATCTTTCTCGGGGGGAACAGGCCCTAAGGGGCAATCGGGGGACAGGATCTCAATCGGGAAAGAGAGAAAAAAACTTTGGGAAGAGAAGGGTGGAGATCTTGGGGGGAAAAGGCCTTAGGGGGGAAACGGGGGCAAGGATCTTAAGCGGGAAAGGGGGGAAGAGATCTTAGGGAGGCAAAGGGAGACGAACTCAGGGAAAAGGACTTAGGGAGGAAAGGGGGGGAAAGATCTTTGGGAGGAAAAGGGAGAAGAACTGAGGGTGGGAAAAGGCCTTAGAAGGAAAAGGGGGGAAATAAATGATCTCAACAAGGAACTGGGGGGGGGTTCACCAGCATAGGCAACATCCCCAGCATCACTTGCATCATCCGCATCCTTGGCAGGCGCATTTGCGTCCCTTTGGAATTGTCCCCTTGCCCCCTTCCCCTCTGAGATTTTTGCCCCCCTTTCTTTGTTGAGATCCATTCCCCCTTTCCGCCCGAAGGCCTTTTCTCCCTCTGTTTTTTCCCTTTTCCTCCCTAAGATGTTTTCACCCCTCTCCCTGTTGAGATCCTTTCCCCCCTTTCCCCCTAAGGCCTTTTCCCCCCTGAGATCTTCTCCCTTTGCCTCCCTAAGATCTCCCAGATCGTCTCCCTTTCAGGGAGAAGATCTGGGAGAAAAGGACTTAGGGGGGAAAGCCCAACAGGGAAAGGGGGGAAAAGATTTAGGAAGGAAAAGGGAGAAGCTCTCAGGGGGGGGAAAGGCCTTAGGGGGGAAAGGGGGAAAAGGATCTCAGCGGGGGGGGGGGGGGGGAAGATCTTAGGGAGGAAAGGGAGAAGATCTGGGGACAAAGGCCTTAGGGGGGAAAGGGGAGAAATGATCTCAACAGGGAAAGGGGTGGAAAAGATCTTAGGGCGGAAAGGGAGAAGATCTGGGAGAAAAAAGGCCAACAGGGAAAGGGGGGAAAGACCTAAGGAAGGAAAAGGGAGAAGCTCTCAGGGGGGGGGGGGAAAGGCCTGAGGGGGGAAAGGGTGGGAAGGATCTCAACAGGGAAAGGGGGGAAACAATCTTAGGAGGGCCTTAAGGGGAAGGGGGGAAAGGATCTCAACAGGGAAAGGGGGCAAAGGATCTTAAGGAGGAATAGGAAGAAGATCTCAGCGGGGGGAAAGGCCGTAGGGGGGAAAGAGGGGAAGGAAGGGAAAGGGGGGGAAAGATCTCAGTGAAAAAGGGAGAAGGTCCCAGGCAGGGAAAAGGCCTTAGGGGGGAAAGGGGGAAAGGATCTCAACAGGGACAGGGGGCAAAGGATCTTAGGGAGGAAAAGGGAGAAGATCTGAAAAGGCCTTAGGGGGAAAAGGGGGAAAGGAGCTCAACAGGGAAAGGTGGGAGAAGATCCTAGGGAGGAAAAGGGAGAAGATCTCGGGGGAAAAGATCTTGGGGAGGACAAGGGAGAAGATCTCAGGGGGGGGAAGGCCTTAGGGGGGAAAGGGGGGAAAGGATCTCAACAGGGAAAGGGGGCAAAGGATCTTAGGGAGGAAAAGGGAGAAGATCTTGGGGGGGAAAACGCCTTAGGGGGGAAAGGGCGGGAAAGGATCTCAACAAGGAAAGGGGGGAAAAGATCTTAGGAAGGAAAAGGGGGAAGATCGCAGGGGGAAAAAAGGCCTTAGGGGGGAAAGGAGGGAAAGGATCTCAACAGGGAGAGGGGGGAAAACATCGTGGGGAGGAAAAGGGAAAAACTCAGAGGGAGAAAGGGCCTTAGGGGGGAAAGGGGGATGGATCTCAACAGGGAAAAATGGCAAAAGATCTTAGGGAGGAAAAGGGAGAAGATCTCAGGGGGGGAAAGGCCTTAGGGGGGAAAGGGGGGAAAGGATCTGAGCAGGGAAAGGGGGGGAAAGATCTTAGGGAGGAAAGGGAGAAGATCTGGGGGCAAAGGCCTTAGGGGGGAAAGGGGAGAAATGATCTCAACAGGGAAAGGGGTGGAAAAGATCTTAGGGAGGAAAGGGAGAAGATCTGGGGGAAAAAGGCCAACAGGGACAGGGAAAGGGTGGGAAGGATCTCAACAGGGAAAGGGGGGAAACAATCTTAGGAAGGAAAGGGGGGGGGGAAGATCTTAGGGAGGAAAGGGAGAAGATCTGGGAGAAAAGGACTTAGGGGGGGAAGCCCAACAGGGAAAGGGGGGAAAAGATCTTAGGAAGGAACAGGGAGAAGCTCTCATGGGGGGGGGAAAGGCCTTGGGAGGGAAAGGGGGGAAAGGATCTCAACAGGGAAAGGGTGGGAAAGATCTTAGGGAGGAAAGGGGGGGGGGGAAGATCTTAGGGAGTTCCTCCCTAAGATCTTCCCCCCCCCCTTTCCTCCCTAAGATCTTTCCCACCCTTTCCCTGTTGAGATCCTTTCCCCCCTTTCCCTCCCAAGGCCTTTCCCCCCCTGAGAGCTTCTCGCTTTTCCTTCCTAAGATCTTTTCCCCCCTTTCCCTGTTGGCCTTTTTTCCCCAGATCTTCTCCCTTTCCTCCCGAAGATCTTTTCCACCCCTTGCCCTGTTGAGATCATTTCTCCCCTTTCCCCCCTAAGGCCTTTTTGCCCCAGATCTTCTGCCTTTCCTCCCTAAGATCTGGAAATGAAGGGGGGAAAGGGGGAAAGGATCTCAACAGCGAAAGGGGGGGAAAGATCTCAGGGAGGAAAGGGAGAAGATCTGGGGAAAAAATGCCTTAAGGGGGAAAGGGGGGAAAAGATCTTTGGGAGGAAAAGGGAAATCTTTCTCGGGGGGAACAGGCCCTAAGGGGCAATCGGGGGACAGGATCTCAATCGGGAAAGAGAGAAAAAACTTTGGGAAGAGAAGGGTGGAGATCTTGGGGGGAAAAGGCCTTAGGGGGGAAACGGGGGCAAGGATCTTAAGCGGGAAAGGGGGGAAGAGATCTTAGGGAGGCAAAGGGAGACGAACTCAGGGAAAAGGACTTAGGGAGGAAAGGGGGGGAAAGATCTTTGGGAGGAAAAGGGAGAAGAACTGAGGGTGGGAAAAGGCCTTAGAAGGAAAAGGGGGGAAATAAATGATCTCAACAAGGAACTGGGGGGGGGTTCACCAGCATAGGCAACATCCCCAGCATCACTTGCATCATCCGCATCCTTGGCAGGCGCTGATGCGGATGATGCAGGTGATGCTGGCGATGTGCCGCTGGAGCTGCTAAGGATGCGAAAGCGCACCCGGGGGGAATCACCGCGTGGTACGTGGACCCCCCCCCCCCCCGCAATAGAGTCTGAAATGCTGCCCCTGGGGAGGGGTTAGGGGAGGGGTAACAGGTAAAGAGGTAAGGAGCATTTCTTATGTCCAACACGCCGCCTGTTGTCGGCGGATACATAACAAATGGCCACAAGTCCTTTTGCGACTGCTGAGTTTCAACTGTGACTGTTTCTCAGGCTGTCAAATCAGAAGCAAGGGGGTGTTGTTCGGTACCATACGACTTAGCGGCACTTTGACAATGTTAAATCAGTGGGGCCAGTACAGCTATGGGAACTTGTACAAATTATCAGGTCTGCAACATGATATAGGCCGGTTGAATTGAGCGGCTTACTAGGGTTTTAGGACCGACTTGCACCAATCGCGAAGTACTGAGAGATTCAGGCACGTGGCCATCCCCAAGAAGCAACACCTGTCAGCCTCCGCGCGTTTTACGGCGGCTCGGAGTGAGCGAAGGTTTCGGACGCATGAGGTATGGAAGCGGCGCTAGAGCTGGCGCAGGAGCACAGCGGCTACTCCAAGTTCCACGACAGCTATCCGCCTCTGTTCAACGAGCTGTGGGACAGGCCTGGGCCCCCAAACCAATTCGCAAAGGAGCATGGTTTGTTGGTTTTTCGCCCAACAGCTGTAAGCTATAGAGTCTCTGCCCAGGTAATCTCCAGAGCGTTCGGGGAGGTTCCATGGCGTGCCCTTGCATTACTTACCAAATGGGAATCCTTCGTGCCGGCCGAACAGAGTTTCCGAGACCTGCAGGCAGGACTGACAGTGGCTCCGCTTGTGGATTTCTTTTGAGATTATCCTTTGTGTTTGCGTTCGGTATTTTGTGAGTGTTCCATTTTAGGCGGAACGTGGATAATCGTGACCGTTGCCAGTGACATGGATGGGGGAGCCGGACCAACGAACACATAATACAGGCGCGGAACGTGTTGAACCGGCAAGCAGGGTGCCCTCTACAGGTACGACCCACGGCATCGGGGCCACATCACGGCGGTTGAGGCAGAGGCCTTTGCAAATGACATGGTGGCCCGCGGGTGGAGCGATTGGAAGCCTTCCAAGCGGGACACTAAGCTTTGGAAGCATCCCGGCCGCAAAAGCGAACAGGCTGGTGCTGGCAGGCAACACATCAGGTGATGTCGCGCGTGTGTTTTCCAGAATGGCAGACGGGGAGTTGAGATCCGTTGATTGCCCAGGCTTTCCTCCAGAAGCAAAGCGGCCCTGCCGCTCCCGATGTTCGCTGGGGGTGTTGAATCTCTCTTTCTTTGGGCCCGATGTGTCCATGCGAAACATGGAGACATGTTGCCGGGCGGACCTGGGAGCCATGTTAACCAAAACCCGCCGGCTAGGCAGCTGGAGGAGAAGTATGGGTCCATCAGCCTGGAGCACTTTGCAGAGGCCAGTGAGAATTCCGACTTCGAGGTTTGAGTTCGCTGGCCTCAAAGGGGCGGTGAACCCGAAACCGAACAGTCAACCCTCTGGGCTCCAAGTACCTGAAAAGGGACGGAAAGGTTAAGGCTAAGTGACAAAAAGTGTGTGACCCTTGGCTACTTGGGCCCTGTGGGAACAAAAGAGCGGCCGACCACAAACCCGGGCTCCCGCGCGAAGGAAAATCCATCGCGGGGGTGCAGGGTACTTTTTTTTAAAAAAATGGCGATGTGCATCTGCCAGAATCGTTTCCCGCGAGCGTGGGGGCCGTCCGGGGGCGGGAGTCAAATCGTCGGCTCCGTGCTCGGATGGGCGATAGCTCCAAACCTGGGTAGAAGCGAGCGGGCCTTCTTCTGGCTCAATTGGCCTGACCACTTCAAATATTCGACACATGCGGCAACTGCCTTCTTGCGGCTTGAACACCCAACAAATGGGAATTGGAAGCTGGGTGAAGCTGAGTATTAGGCTGCACTGCAGGCTTGCTCCTGGAGCCTTTCTCGTTTGGACGGACAAAAGGAGCCAACCTTCATGCGCCAGTTTCGGACGGAAAGGTACATCCCCCCCCCTCGATTGTGGGCGTGTTTAGATGTGCGTTTCCCTGATTCCCTGCTTACGTGGCGGTGGAAATAGTGGTTTGGCCTTCAAGAAGGGCCTGAGGCAACCGCTAAAGGAGTCCGTACTTCCCCCCACCCAATGGATAGCCACTGGATAGCCATAGCCCTCGATAGAACCGTTCCCTGGGGGGGGGGCAGACATTAATGAATAGAGCACCCGGCGGCCCCAAAGATTCCGCTACGATCGTCCAAGTCGGGCCCCCTGGTCGGGTGCAAATCCCGTCAATATCATGTTCTGTAAATTCAGGAATTTGAAAGGAATTGCGCAAGGATTTGTCGGATTTGTCAAGTCAACAGTGAAGAGCGCAATGCAAATTGGGCTTGTGAATTTGCAATTTGCATTTAGCTTGATTAGTAGTGCTTAATTATTGATTCTAATCTAGTATTGGGAGATATGCGGTTTGGAAGAAGATGCTTATCAGCAAGGTGCATGTTTTCAGCAGGAAGCAATTTGGCAGGGGTCCATCCCTTGGTTTTGTGAGCCCGGCCAATACCTTCTTGGGGCAGGGTCTTGCACCAACAGGGTGACGCCGGAGGCGCCAGGGCGTCATTCATTTTGCGGGCTGACGGCCTTTGTCACGTTTGCAAAGTGGAGCGAACATGTAGCGCGAGCTGGTGTGTTACTTGTTCATTGCTGGCATCTTGTCACTGGTCTGGTTTGTGAATCATGTTAACAAAACGCCACTGTCGCAGAGCGGTCAAGACGTGCTGAGGAGAGCATTCCTGGATCGTCAAGGCGCGTTGACGCATGCTGTGCTACGGGCTTGCAATGCAGATTCTTGGGGCGCGGTAAGCCAGTTTGCCACAGTGCCAGCTTTCGGTCCACCCCTGGGGGCGAAGTAATGTCTACCTCTGATTAATAAACCCCCCCCTTTCCCCCCCCCCAAACAACTTCCCTCCCTAAATAGTGTTCTGAACTTGATTATGAATTGCTAAGTATTGCACACATATTTTTGTGTTTCAATTGATTTAGTATTGCTGGAGCCTCCTTTTGAGATTGGATTGCAGTTTAGTTTCCAATTGATTTAGTATTGCTGGAGCCTCCTTTTGAGATTGGATTGCAGTTTAGTTTCCAATTGATTTAGTATTGCTGGAGCCTCCCTTTGAGATTGGATTGCAGTTTAGTTTCCAATTGATTTAGTATTGGTGGAGCCTCCATTTGAGATTGGATTGCAGTTTAGTTTGCAATTGATTTTGTATTGGTGGAGCCTCCTTTTGAGAGTGGATTCGGGTTTCCAATTGGTTTAGTATTGGTGGATTTGATTTTTAATTGATTTCGTATTGCTGGAGCCTTCTTTTGTGATTTGACTTGCGGGATTTGAGTTTTCTGTTGGTTTAGTATTGCTGAGGGATTTGAGTTTCAACTGGTTTAGTATTGCTGGAGCTCTTTTGAGATTTGACTTGTTCGGATTCCAATTGATTTATTATTGCTGGTCACACGTTCTTCTTTTTTTTTTTGCGGGGGGGGGCAACCAAAAATCTTTATTTAGGGGGGCCCTAAATAATGTTTTTTTTCAACCCCCAAGTACTACCCCCCCCCTTGTGGGGTTGATTGGGGGTTGAGATGATGCTAGCGGGTGTGTGTGTGTGTTGTTTGGTGTGTTTTTGTGAGTGTGTGTAGATTCCCCCCCCCCCCCCCCCCCAAAAAAAAAAAAAAAAAACACACACACACACACACAAGAATCAACATAACTTTCTTTCGGGGGGGGGGGTTATTAATCAGTGCCGGCCCACAACATAACTTTAATCGGGGGAGGTTTCTCAATCATAGGTCGACATTAGCAGGTGACGTTCGTGGACAACCCTTGGTTTTTGAGTAACCAATGCTTGCAATTGCAGACACGTTGTGCCACCCGGAGCCTGGGAACGTTCGATTTCTCGCTGTTTCAAGCCACCGAGGGCTGGGAAGAGGCCAAACTCAAGCCAAAGGACTCATTGACCTGCGGCATTTTTGCCTGTGTTGCCCTAGGTTACCCAGGCGTGTCTGTATGAAAAATACACCTTTCGAGGTTGCCTTAAGGAAAGCCAGAAGGAAACTACCCATTTTTGGGGCTCCTCCAAGACCCTACCCAGAGGTGGACGCAGACTCGGTGCTGAGCCCGGCCCCCGACCGATGGGAAGGCACAACTTGTGTGAGGCTTGACATGGCTGTGGGTCAAAACCAATGGTACCATTTTGGGGTAGGTGCACCACCCATTTTACTCTATTTTAGTGGGGATTGGGATGTTCACTGGGGGTACGGGATTTTGACCCATGGCCACATGATCTTGTCCGAGTTCTTCGTTTAGACGACCTTATGAGAAATCATGTGATGGGATATGGCATTTGCTCAAACCACGGATGGTGGATGGCACCTACCTCGGGGGTTTGAATGTGAAAGAAGCGCAGCCTTACTCGACGCCGAGAAACCTGGTTGGCAAACAGTCCTCGAAAAACACGTCCTTTCCCATCAAGGCGACCATTTCAAGCAGTATTTCCGGACATTCGCTAAGGCGCACCCCGCCTCATGCGGCAGATCCAGATGCATGGGAAGTTTGCAGCCCGGCGGCAAGAAAGGCATGCCTTGTCTTCCAAAGAGACGCCCTAAGTTTGTGCGTGCCCTGAATCTACAAAGCCAGCTTCAAAGGGGAACGGCGATTTTGCTGTAAGGCGAGGCACACCAACTTCTCAGTTTTGTTTTGCATAGTTGGAGCTTCTGTCGGAATGCTGGCTACGAGTTTGGATCAGTGAGGGCGCAAAGCACATGGCAGGTAGGCAAGTGTTTGATTGCGTAGGTCGAGCAATAAGGAAGCATGGACAAAATGTTGTGTTGTTTGTTGATGTTGTTCTTTCTCTGAGCCAAGTCAGGTAGAAACGGCCTGCTAGTTTGTTGCCAGTTCAGCATGTCTACCAACTCGAATCCATGTTTTCTCCCGTGAATTCTAGGAATTCCGGTCGTTGGCTTATGTTAGCAAGAGCCATTGAGGGTGGGACAGGGGATTTTCGACTTCTTGTGTGACATATATTTGCACGGAGCCAACTATGGCATTTGCCAGTGCCGCATGTCGTTTGCTTGTTTGGGACTGAGGGCCAACGGTCCCAGCCTGAAACAGTTCATGGTTTGCCTCGAAATAGGGAACCCCTAAATTGGTTTCCCTTCAAACCAGCATTCCAGAAAAGAAAATACAATCAAAAGGGCGTGCTCAAAGTTCGAGTCGTGGCTGGACGCAGCCTTGCCCCTCGCTAGCTGAGGACATCCCTGACTTGTGGCCCGGCAGGCACGCTGCAATTGTTTGAGGGTTTTAGTGGAACAGGTGGAACTGCAAGACGCTTGCAAGGGGGCGTTGCTCGAGCTCAGAGGCTCCGCCATGTAGAATATCAGAAGCCATCAGTTGGATTGAGAAGAGGGGCAGACTTGCTCACTGAGTATACGAGGGCGAGGTTTGTTAAGGTATCACGGTGGGAACCATCAGATGCTCAATGCTTTTTCTGCAGTTGGTTGATGTGCAGTGCAGTGGCTAAAGCTATTCGAGATAGATTTGTACTGTAGGCCTGTAGTGAGTGTCCGTGCATAGGTGAATTATGTAAACATGTGTGCTTGTGCCATTGCCCTCAAGAAAAGGAGAGCAGCAATGAACCCCGCTTCGTAGTTGCGTTTTATGTTTCGGTGCCGTTGCGTGGTTTCACGTTCCAGTTCCATCCTCAGCCCAGCTTGTTCGAAGCGGCTGATGAGCCACTAGATAACAGTTGCAGAGGCCCCAGAATCCAAGAACGTGCCGGAGCATGACAGGGTCCCTTTGCATCACGCTCCCTAGTAGTTTCTGGTGAGATTTTGCTAGGATGCTGAATGCAGCTCCTCTATGTCGTACCCAATCTCCTTGTTCACCGCTCGCAAAAAACAGATCTCGGCGCCAGGTACTTGCGGAACTGCCAGGTGCTGGATTCAATGCAAGGCATGCCTTTGGGGTGAGACTTCGGCCTACCGACGTGCGAGCAAACATGAAGTCCTTACCCAACCCCTCCCCCTCCCCCCCCCCAAGAACCCCCCGAACCCCCCAAACGAGTTCAACCCAACAGTTGGGGTGAGGTTTGTTTGTCAGGCTCCTAGCTACCCCATGCAGCTTGCCGACTGATTTTGCAAGCACCTGGATGCCATTTCTTGGCTACAAAAGATGAGAGCCCTTCGTGAGACCACACAGACGTCCCCCATGGCAGGAAGGCCTTGGTAAGCTTGAATTCCCTTTTATGGCGGCACGGGCCCAATTTCATGTGCGTTAGGAGCCTGAATCTTGACCTCCTGCCATATGGGGTTGTGTCAGGGCCAGGAACCCTGTTGGGGAGCAGAAGGAACTCAAAGGGAACCAATTCGTGAGGGTGCCAGGTTGCAACATGCATTCAGGTATCCCGTAATTGGTGGCTTGGATTGGCTAGAGGGAAGCTGAGCAATATTTCAATTTCTGCCCGTTCTGCACGACCAAGCAAGGCCCCCAGAAGGGGCAAGCTGGCACCGTGGCAAACTGGACAGGGATGGACCCCAAGAATGTGCGTTGCAAGCCAGTTGACAGAGCCAAGTGTCTTGAGCCTTGCCTAACCCAAGTCATACGCCAGGGCTTTTTTCTCGACCAACTCGCAATAGCTATGGCAGGCTCTTTGGAGGTGCTGTCGCGGCAAGCCTTCTACAACTTTGCGGCGAACCACTGGAAATGCCGCTTGTCCGCACTCGCAAAGGGAAATCGTCTCCCAGTCAAGTTTGCGCTACTGCTTGCTTTCTTGGAGCCGAACGCACGGCCTTGACTAATGTTCTCAGAACTTTCCGTTCCACCCTCTATCGTACCCGCCCGCCCGCCCACCCCCCCGTGACAAGACGTGGGGAGCTAAGTTCTCCACTCGGACCATGCCGGGCTGCTAGTTTCGAGGCTTCCAGATCATGGACTGGTACCACATGGGCCAGGGCCTTAGCCGCAGGGTGGCTGTTTACCGTTTAATCATGCTAGCAGTGGGCGGCGCAGTTTCAGACTTGCTCCGGCCAGTCACTGGGTCGATTCCAGTGCTTGGAAGTTGCGTTGTGCAACTTCCTAGCACAATAGGCAGCACATTGGCTGTCGCACCTTATTGCTGTCCGTTGCGGAGGAAGGGTTGAAGCAGCTCAAAGTGAAAGATGCTGAGCTCTGACAAATCCAAACCGCTTGACAGAGACTCCTGGCATGAATCGGGATGAATCATTTGGCACGTAAGCATCAAAGGCTGACTGTATAGTCCATATGTGGCCCACGGCGATATTGAACCCTTCAGGGGCTGATATGCATTGAGCCTTTGCAAGCAGTGTTATTTAGATGGTTGCCGAGGCGAGGATATCTTCACCTTCCATTGCCTCCGCCATTTGGGCATTTGGTCTGTGCACGTGGACGAAGCTACTCGGCTGGATCAACGGGTCGGAGGGAGCTTTTGGCCATTGCCTGAGCTCATGGAATAAACATCGTCACATCCCGGTCATTTGGCACACCCGGGGCAAGGCACGCAGCACACCTTTGAAGGGAGCAACATTCACAGTGGCTGGCTTGAAGGGATGCTCAAAGCAGACCCTCACCGAGTGGTGACGAGTTTGCTGCCGCCAAGAGGTGGCAAATGTTCAACCTTGCCGCTCGTAAACACGCTATTTCCTGTTGACGTTATGCTTGGTATCGTCACTTTAAATTTATCAGTTGTTTGTCGGGAGTTTCTTCGCGCAAGATGCCTTTGCTGGCCTTTTGCTGCCACCAAGCTGGTCTCCAGTACTTCGCGCCCTGTTTGCTCAGATGCTGCACGACTACTATTGCTCCTATAGCGGCATCTTGGCGGCACAGTCACACGTTTGGCTGGTTTTGGCCTGACTTGACTACCAGCGGTCACTTGTTTGAGGGCCACATAGTCGTGAGTTTTTGGAAGAACTGCCCATGGCTATCAGGGGCTGCGGTGCAACAATGTCTGAATCTCTGCTTCCGGTCCCGATCTGTCCTCGTTTCTTTTCGTAAGGGAGCAAGTGGCCTGCTGATCGCCCTGTTAATCTGTTCGCCCTGTTGACCTGTTCGCCCTGAGGATTGCCTAGGTCAAAATGTAGATGGCGCAAGTTCCTCTGCCAGATTGTGCCCTCTTCTCTAGCCACCCGCATGAGTGAAGTACTTGAGCATGCTTTTTGATCCAGCGTACGAGGCAAACCATAGGAAATCGGATTCGCTGTGAAATGCCAATGTCGCTTGGACTTTGACTCATGTTGACCTGTGTGAGCTTCCCTCGTTCTTCCGGCCCCCCCAAATTAGATGGTTGCTAATGTCAAGCTCGTTGATTTGGCCTTAAGTGTCGCAATAAAGCAGCGCGGTCCCCCCCTGCTCCTGGTTGACTCTACGTCAGTCATGTTTGCTTTTGGTGGCCTCTCCTTTTTCGAATTGATCCTGAGGATATCCAAATTGCTGGCAGCCGGACGTGGCGGTTTTCCACCCGCTGAAGACCTTGGATGGGCTGCTGGATTTGCAATGCGTGTGTGGTTTTGGGGCAGGTCCGGGCTTTAAGGGTGAAGTGGGTCCAAATGGTTTGCACCTCCACGAAGCTGTTTACTTTGTTTGGGGGAAAAGGGTCAGACAGATACCAGAAAGGAAGGCTGGCAGGCACGGTAGCCCAAAGCAGTTTCAGATGCGGCCTCCATTATATATATACATATATATATATATACATATATATATATATGTATAACTCAACCTTTATAAAGCCCATTGTATCACATGGAAAGCCGGACTGGTTGAGCAAGGGTGGGCAGCATTCAGTGCAGCCATGGCTTGTGTCCTGCAGTTGTTGGCAACCTTGGTTGTACATGCAGTTGGGGGCTGCAGCATGTTGGCCGTTGGTTCGGGATGAGAACCCAAACCAGCCTGGACCCCTCAAGATGGGAGGCCTGAATTGCTGTCAGGGTTTGTACCGCGCCGGGTAGACAGCAGTTTTGGGCTCAAGGTATGTGCAGAAAGTTGCAACAGATGCTTGCTTTGACGAGGTCAGCCTTCAATCGTCACAATTTGGACATTTGTAAAAACTGTTTAGGCCTTGTGGCATCAATGTTTGCATCAATGCTTACATTGGGTAGGCGCACTGACTGGTAAACACAACCAAGGGAAGCTGGGAGCTATAGCTGTTTCAGCACTGGCACCCAAAGCGAAGGATTGTCTGCCAGCACATTTGCTTTGGATCGTTTTTTGGTTGGGTTTGGGTCCAACAAGCTCGCGCGTTGTGGTTTTTGTTGGGAGGGGGGTGTCCGCCCCACTGAGCCGATAGCGCAGCCCTGCGAGCCGCGAGCCGGGCTGATGGCTGAGCCGGCGGAGGCACCAGAGACGAGGCCGGTTTCCACCGCCCCCAGCCACCCCTATGGAGATCCATATGCGTATGCATATCGATAGTGTATATATGTATGTATTAATGTGTTTGTACATGTATACATACCTCATATATATCTATATATCTACAGGTCTACTGAGGCGGAGTGGAAGCCTCTTGCAGCAGCTGGCAAAAGTCAGGCGGCATTCTCTCTGTTTTGATCGGGGGAGAGAGCGCCCGTTGCATGGTATTGTTGCCGGATGGTTTTTGCATGCGTCACCAGTTCAAAGTGTGGGCTGGGGCAGAGGTTAGGATGGCAAACATTTCTCAGGTCGATATTCGGTATTCGAATTTCTTTCAACGCGCAAATCTGGAGCATCATATTCATAAGGTGTTTTGAAGGATTCCTTCGTGAGCGACGAACATCGGGACGCTTCTTCCTTTAAGGTTGCGTAGTTGGACGCAGTTGCGCTGGTCGCTTGGTACCGGGCTGCTTGTTAAATTGAGCAACACAGCGCAGCCAGGTTCATCTAAGGTTGGCGGGACAGGATGCTCATGGTGCGTTTGGACGTGCTGCAAAGGGCCAGGTTTACCCGCGTCGGCTTGTGCAAAGTCGCATCAATCGCGCGTGGCCGCAAACCGGCCTAACCCTATGCGTTGGAGTGGGGTCGGCGGGTGAACGCACAGCAAGACATCAACTGCATGTTTTTTGCTTGCTACCCGGCGCACCGTGTGGAGGCGCGTAGCCAGTGTGATTGCACGTCGGAATTCGGCGTTCAACCTCAAAACTTGATGACCCGAAAGCTGGGACGGTCGGTGGGGAAACACAGAAAGTCATCCATTGTTCGCTGGCTGCTTTAGCTGAAAATCCTTCTTTCACCTAGGCGTGGGACCTAAACAGCTAGTTTTGCGGCAGGGCGCGTCGACACTGTGGAATCGCGTGGCCAGTGTGGTTGCCATGAAGAACATCATGATGAAGGTCCCTCCCACCTGCACCGCAACGTTGGATGTGAATGTGCATCTGAGGCAAGGATCTTCCCGAGCCGTTTGTAGGACAAGTTTGGGAGTTTCCCTCAACTCGAGGTTTGCGACCACCACGCGCATGCCAAAGGGCTGAAGTTGGTGCCCAGGGACCTAAAAAATGCTTGCAGGCAAATGGGCAGGTGCACTCAAGCCAGATTATTTTTTTGGGCCGGGCCGCCTTGAAGCACACAAGCGCATCGCCAATCACACGGCCAAAGAAAGTACAATCCTGAAAGTCCGAAAGCGTGGGTGGGGCTTTGGGGTCGGAGGTTGGAGGATGGAACCCCTGAGTTAGTTTCGATTTCGAGGTGGCGGCAGCCCATGGAGGCAGTGATGCGCCGCATCCTGAAGGCGCATTGGAACATGACTTGCAGGTTCCCGGCAAGGAAGCAACTGGTTTTACTCGAATGAACCTAGGAATCCCGTAACAATAAAAAGGAAGCCACAAGTTTACAGGGGCCATTCCCTCGTTCCCTGCTTCGAACCAAGATGAAGGGCTCTGCAGAAGGAAGGCTGCGATCCACGTCTTTTCGGAGAAGTCTCTCTTTTTTGAGAAATGTGGAAAGGGATCTTTGTGGATACTATTTTGCATAAGGCTTATCGCGGACCAGAATGGGGGGCAAAGGCTGAGGTAGGACGGTAGTGTGCGAGGTCCTGAGAGGGCTCCCTGGGTGTATTTCCAGGGGTCTAAGTTGAAGGCAGTGGTGTGGCCTGATTCGTCGGGGCCGGTGACCTTGGGAGGACTACCAGGGCCAGGCGGAAATCCGGGACGGGACACTCGGCTGCAGACAGCTCACTGTGCAATGCTTGAATCGAGTGGATACCAACCCAACTCACGTGCCTTCAAGCTTCAGAGGGTTTGCCAGCCCCAAACCCCTGAGAGGGTGTGAAATGTGATTAAACAAGTTGGCTCAAGCAGTTCGTTGACTTTGGTGTTCTGATTCCTCTTTCTCCTTGCACGTAAGGGAATGCTGTCAGAATATCGTTTTGAACAAACGTCTGTCAAACACAGCTGTTTTGCGGGTCAGGATTTCGAAGCCTAACATACCCACAGATAGCTTTGTCGTGCAACCAGTTGCAGTACTTCTGTGGTTCCTGGCCAGCCCCTCAGAAACTATCCGCTCGCCCCAACTTCAGCCCTGGACCCGTTGCGTCGCGCCCAGCATGGAGTCGGGCATGCGGCGGCTCTTCGAGAATCCCTACAGGAAGGAGCTGGGTGCCTTGCTGGGCACCTTGGCCTGAAAGACATGGGGTGGAGGTGAGGTGGGGAAGGTGGAAAGGAGATATGAAGGGAAGGAGTTGAAGAGAAGGTTGCTTTTGTCTGATTTGCTCCTCTGGGTGGTCACAAGCTTGGGGACTATTGTTTTGTCAAAAAGAGGCCAGCCGTAGTTAAGTTCGGAGTACCTTTTCCGTGGCTCAAGCTGGTATGTGCTTGGGCAGTTGTGGCTTGAAAGAAGTTGTTCCAGGTTTGGCATGATCAGGTCAAACAGTCGCAGTTGAAGCTGGCCTTGCTAAAGGCATTGCATATTTGTAATGGAAAGGCTTTAGAGGATATGGAGGTGTTTTGTTGGACGATGGCATTTGCTCGATTGGCCTTTCACTTGCCCCTTAGCAATCGGAACCAAAAGGACAAAAGGACCCATCTGAACGCGCCAACGGGTGGTGAAGGGGGGCATTGGGCCTTAGGCATGCAGAACTGGGGCAAGTATCCTTCCAGGTCCACGCCTCAAAGGGCGGCCATTTGACCTTGCGGGGACTAGGGAATGATCCGGGGTTTTGGGAATGAACCTGGGGATTGCATTAAAAGAAACCATAGGAATGGGCTATAGTGGCCATTCCCTCATTCCCTGAGAACCAGCACGTAGTGGTTTTGTGGTTAATGCTTCCACCTCATGCGCCAGGGCAAGCCCAAGGGAAATATGTTTTTTGCCTGATGGCTGCAAGACTTGAGGCAGAGATAAGCTTCCATTGGAGGAGGCCCAGCGGATCGTTTTCTTCCCCCGGCTGCCTGGGCCTGAGCGGCCCAAGCTGTTTTACCAGGTAATGTTGGACCCTATGTGCGCAAGCTTTAGCATCGGGATAAGTGCCTGCCATTCATAAGGAAGTTCAGGGAAGGCGTTGCAACGCCCTGTCCACCCAAATCTTGTGCCCGGCACCCCCACTAAAATGTTTGTCACATGGCCCTTGCTTAAGAACGCCCATTGGCGGACAGTAGGCACGTGTCGGATCTTTGGGTTGCATTGACTTGGGCTGTGGCGGGTCAGGGTCATTTCATGAGTGCGCTGAGGTCCGACATGGAGGCCTCGGAAGCACGGGGGTGGGCGGCAGGTTGGCAAATGATTTGCCGAACCTTGGGCCCCAAACATGGAGCTTACCCCGCAAAATGTGCGGGAAGGCTGGGAGTCAGATCCCCGACATGATTATTCCTATTGGCATAGCGTAACTGGCTTTTAATCTTCAATGTTGCGCCCAAGAGTTGAAGGAGCCGTGCTTCAAAGGAGGGAGTGAAAGTTATCATCGAGCACATGAACTTAGACCCATGGTGGGCCATCCCTTCGATTGAAACCAACGTTCAGCCTTCGCCGTTGGCAGCTGCTGAATGCAGCCAAGAGATGCCAGGTGTATGTGACGGCCTTCAAGCTGGACACTCCAGTCGCAACGAAGCGCAAGGTGGGCTGAGAAGAGTTGTGCAATGCTGGCTAACGCTGGGTCTGGAAGCCTTAACCCGAGGGATTGCATCGCATCCAACCACTACGCCAAAACACATCAACATGGAAGGGGGGCAGCACTTCTAATTAGGAGAGACTTTGCAACAGCACTGAGCAAACCTCTTAATCGTAGCGCTTGAAGGTCCTTGGGGCACACCTTCCTCACTCCCTCCACTCCCTTCACTTGCGTGGAGAAAGGGATGCCGAATCGGCGGGAGGAGCAGCTGATGAAGTTCAAACTACTCTCGGTGTTCTACACGCTGCATCGCCTCGACGGCCTAGGCCCCAGCTTGGCAGTTGCGTTGTTCCGTTGCTTGGTGGCTGGTTTTATCTGAAAATGGCTGCTTGGCTTGTTTGTGTTGTTTTTCAGGGTTTGCTGGTTCGCTCTGGAGTTGACTGTGCAGTGGGACGAGGCCTTCATAGGCCTTCCCTAGCCGCCCACTGAAGGCCACAGTAAGTCAGCAAGGCCCCTGAAGCGCCCACGCTTTCAGCAGCAATAGCTTGAGCCTGGAGCTTGGGGCTTGAGCCCGGAGCTGGGATGGAATTACCTTGCAAGCCCTTCCGGGAGCTTCTGTGCCAGATTTTTGCTGCCGCCCGGCAAGCCGTTCATGGTCAGGAAATGTCAGGCTGCCACAGCTCCAAGCTCGGCCGAGGTGGCTTGATGGAGCGCTTTATGCACTTTGGCGGCCTGGGGGCCTTGGTGAGCCTCCTTGGTGAGGAGAGGGGCCTCGGTGAGGACAGGGTCGTGGAGACAGCCAAATCACGGCACAGTAAATGCTTTCTTGGCAGCGGCTTTCCTTGGATAAGGATCCACTTTCCGTAGAGACACGGCTTTGCCAGCGCGAGGAGCAACGATTCTGGCACTGGGCAATCAAGCTGTGGCAGCAAGACACCCAAGTCCCTGCAGGCCCTAACCCCGGATGCATCATTTGGGTTGGGATGCGGAAGTTCTGTCCATGTTCTGATTGGCTTGGTCGCCGGCGTTGCCTTATAAGTGTCCTTGCGAATGATTCTTGAAGCATCGGCCTTTCGGCAAAGGGGCCCAGACACAACAAATCATCCCCTTGCAAGACAGCGGTCCATTTTCTGAGAGGCAACCCCTTGAAGGGTAATTGCATACGTCCAAGCATGACGCCCTTGTATGAATCCCCATCTTACAGATAAACTAGCACCTAATGGCTTAATTCTGAGGTGGGGTGTATTTTGAGGCTCCCCTTTTCAGGTGAGGGAAAACCACACGGAGAACCACAATGGCTTAATCCCGAGGTGGGGTGTGTTTTGAGATGAATCGGAAAAGGGTAGCAAGGGAAAGCCCAAAGGAAACTATAATTTTGTGGACCCTATTTCGGAGGCTACCCTTTTCAGGTTGGTGAGGGGGAAAAAACAACACCCGGAGCACCGGTTGTTTTCTTGAGTCGCCCCATGTCGGCCCCGGTCACGTGCCATTTGTTTCCGCCAGGAGAACCGGGTGATCCAGTCCCAAGCCATGGAGCTGCTGACGGACTTCCTGGAGCCGCAGATGCAAATGCTGCAGCCCGCTGCGGGCAGACAGGCGGGGAGTTGGCTTCAACGGCCCCGTTTTCGGTGGCACTCCGGCACTCCCAATTGCTTCTTGGGTAGAGGGTGTGTTTGCGCTCCCTGGGGGTGTGAATTACTTGGAGGGAACCAAGTTACAGGCTTAAGGGCATTTGTGATCCGGCTTGGATTTTTGTTTTTGCCAACTCGGGAAGTGAGTGGCGAACCACCCTGAGGTTGGGACTCTCGGGGAGAACCACCCTCTGAAGGGGTCCCTGCATTCTCCTGAAAGGGACGTTTACAGGCAAACCCGGCCACCAGAGAGCCGCAATCCTCTAGCCTTGTCTTGCTACGCCGACGAGTTGCGCCCTTTCGGCGTTTCCATATGTTCCCGTCCATCTCAAACGTGTCCTTTCCCTAGGAAGTGCCCCCCCAATCAAGGTATATCACTGAATGCAACAAACGGATGACATACCGGCTCCCTCTCCTGGGTGCACACATGCACAACATGGACGAGGTGTCCTGCAAAAGTGACACACACACACACATATATATATATATATATGTGTTTATACACGCGTGTAGGGCGGTGCATTTCTTCATGTGGCGAAAGGTCCCAACTCAAGCAGTTCAACCATGTTTATGAGACAAACCACTGAAAGTGCGGACGACTCCTCGCGCCTCCCAAGACGGACTTCTCAGGCACATCTGCAGCACCAGATTTTCCACTGCAGCTCTGGCAGCATGGATCTCTTCCGGTTTTTCCGCTGGTCAAATCCGATCGGCCCACTGACAACTTGAACTAGATTCCACAGAAAGCGCTCAGCTCAAACGGCTGTCAATGTTGTCCATAGGGCAGTCTTTGATTGGTTTGAGGGCGCAATTGACAATCCGCGGGAATCATCACTAAATCACAAGAAGCTTCATTGAATTTGGACGGCGTTCAGCTTGCCGGCCTCTCACAGAGGCCTCAGATCTGCGGCCTTTTGGCAGAACCTCTCACAAATCCTTTTGGAGCCGGGCGAGGCCGGGAGCCGTCCCGGGTGTTGGGTTGATGAGAGCGTTGCCTAATAAAATGGTTCATCGCTGAGCCATCGGGCCTAAAAAGACGGGCGGGTGTCAAGTCAAGACTCTGTGTCGACTTGGCGTGTTTCTTGCCCACCGACCGCTTTTTGGCCTTCCACAAGCTAGGGGGCAACATGCGTGCGCAACTAGTGAAACCCAAACATTTCACCGCTACTGCGGAATTCTAGTCGCCGCACTAGCAGGTATGCAAGGATTGTTTTTTTGGATGTATGGCGGCTCACATTTGCTTTCCTTCAGCTATTGAATCAACTGGGGATGTATACTGGCTTTTGTCCAGCCACAGGCCGACAAGCAGGCCACGACCCTCAAGGTCCCCTTGTGCAAACAAGCATTCCTAAAACTACCGGTCCTTCAGGTTTCCCTTTTTGAGGGGACCAGGGCTTGGTGTCCGCAAAGGTTCCCCAACCCTGGCCACCCCATCCCTCGAAGGTCTTCCCCCGCAGCTTTGCCAGCAGCATCCGCCTCATGGCGGGCTCCATCGGATGGCTGGCAGGGGTCCAGGTGCAGGCGCCCGAGACTGCGGAGGCGGGGAGGGTGGACCCCCAGTGGACGAACACCCACCAGTGGCTGGGTGGGTTTCTGCCGGCATTCCTTCGCGGTTCATCCATCCCAATTTTGCGAAGCGGGCTTTCTTTAGAGAAGGCGGTGTTTCCAGGAGCTTTGCCTATGTTGCTTTGCAATTTTGTGTGGCATGGTGTGGGAAGGGAAGCCTCGGAAATCAACCGACCCAACGGCACAATATCCCTTACTGGGGATTCCCTGTTCTAGGCAATGTCCATTCCTTCTGATTTACGGGTTTCGTTCTCTTTGCCAATGTGAGTGGCACTTCTTTGTGACCCCTCTCCAGCCTTTGGGTGACCTTGCAAGACTTCACTAAACATCAAAGCAGAAGATAGGAGCGAAGGGCGCCCACGAGTTCAGGGATTGGGTAAAGTGCTTCTTGATTCGCAAGGCGTCACCGGCAGGAGCTCTGAGGGTGCTTCAGCCTAAGTATTTGCCTGGGAGCTCAGTTCAACTCGGGGGGAGTCAGATTAGACGGGCTCAAAACCACTGCAGCAATGACATGACCACGAAGGAAACAAAGGATATTCGCAAACAGAAGCAGAGGCATTGCAGCTGATGTGCAAAAGTGCACAGATGCAGACACTAATTATGAGGTGCCGCGGTACAGAAATCAGTGAGCCCGGAGAGTTGCAAAGAGCTCATATTGGGCATCACCATTGCCCAGCCCCGGAAACTCTCGGTAGCCCCTCAGGAACCAGCCAAAGCCACGGCTGCCCCACACCTGGGCTTGGCCAAGACCCCATAGCTGTCGCTGTTGGGGGGAAAAAGTTGCAGACGTGGTGCACAACTTCTCCCCTCAAACGTAATCATCAAAACCAAGACGAGTCACCCGTTGGAGGCCAAGCTGGAGGTGCAGAACGCAGCAGCGGCGGTGCAGCAGGTCATGCCCAAGCTGCAGCCGGAGCTGCGGGGCTTGGCCGAGGACCTGATCGAGGCGCCATCCGGGGTTAAGGGGCCAGGGGGGTTTCAAGGGGATAGGGATTGTGATTCGATGCTTATGTTAAGCAACAAGGAACCAACATACTATGTGTTGGTTCCAGATCCGTTTCTTGTCCCTGCACTCTTGTTTCCTCAAAGGTTGGGCTGTCTTTCAAAAAGGGGTTTGCAACCCAACTGGTCAGACGTGCGCACTTTCTTCCCTTCTCGCATCCCAATTAAAGTGCCCTTTCAGTTTTTTTGGAACAACAAAAAGTCACATTCCAAGTGATGGACTCAGCGCGGTTCCTGTGGGCTTGGCTTGATTTGTTTAAAAGGCCTTGGCTGAGTTCCGTGTCGTTCGGTTTAGTCCGGTTCGACTCAGTTTGGTTAGACTGGGTTTGGTTGTTGTCAGGCGTTGAAAGATTGCCGGCAGTTCTAAGAGAAAAGTACGTGCGGGGATGGTTCTCTTCCAGGGGCCATTGGTTAATGGCTAAATAGCTGGGGGTTTGTTAATAGAGCTGGAAAGGCTCGAGCCTTCGGCCTTCGCCTACATAGGGTGATGCGCTGACATTGCGCCACAGCTCTAGCTGAGGCCCCTCAAAGTTTAGCTTTCAGAAGCAGACAGCGCTGCCAAAAACACTTAAATCGCAGGGTCAAATCCTGCATATCCCAAACGAACTTGAGCATACGCCAACATTCCTCTATTGCTTGGTCGGAATGGTTTGCTTTTGTTCCAAGAGGTTCCCCTCCGCAAAGGGTCGCGGGAGAACTTGGCTTCAGTCTTTCTTGGCGGGATCTCGTGCAGGAGCTTTCGCGGGTGCCTGCCATCCGTCAGGGGCTTAGGGGATGGGCATGTGGACCCTTTGGGAGATAGCTTTCCTCTTTAAAGGGCTGCTTGGCTTTCATGTTAGCCTAAGGGCTGGGATGTGAGGGCTATTTGAGTTAGCTCCAAGCCATCCAAAGCCGTCCAAATCCGACAGGTCAGTGGAGTCATGTGAGCTTGTGGCAACCGCGTTTCCAGACACTGCTTAGACTTGTCCGCTCGGCCAGCACCAACCATCTCCCCAGCGGCCTACTGGGCGCGGGGGCGGTTGCCGGAGGATTGGGGAAATTTGTTTGAGTGACCAGCCTCAGGTCAACTCAAAGGGGACACTCAAAGGGCCGTTGCTTTCGCAGTTTTGAAAAAATATAATGGGTTAAGATTCACTCACATGTTTGAAGGGTTTGGCCCAAGCCTTTGCAGCTTTTTGCCTGCGAGGTTCGGACCCCCTGTGCGGGGAAGCCCTGGAGAAGGTGCGGCGCAGCATTTTCAACGAGGCGGCGCAGCAGCGCGAGGCCCGAGCCTAGAGCGCCCGGGAATGCGGCGGAAGAGGTGTCACACTCGATCACCTGAGATCCCCGCCCTCAGCATAAAAGCGAATTCCTTGGCAGTATGTCAGAATTCCGGTCTCCGTTTATTGCGTTTTCAGTATGGACGTTTCTCCAGGAACTGGGCAAGAGGCTTTCAGCTCGCGTTTCACTTTTCGCCATCAGCGTGGCGCCATCCCTGGGATCCCACAGGCCTTTGGGCCGCGGGCGTTCTTTCTGGGCGCAGGACGCGGCACACGCCTGGCAAGCGCTGAAGCTCCTGGGGAACGAAGCCTTCGGAGCCGGGCAGCTGCGACTTGGACCCTGTGTTCGGGGGCTCAGCCGTTCAAGAGAAAGCTAAAATGCAAAGGGCCCCGAATTCATAGCTTCCCCATGATGGAAAGTTGGGTAGTGCCACTTTCTGGTGATACTTGTGGGGAGTTCCCTTTTGAGGTGATCAAGCAAGCAGTAGCTTACCCAGGTTGTAGAAAGGTGGGTGTTAGGGCCACTTTCTGTGATACCTGTAGGGGTTTTCTTTTTGGGGTGCAAGCTGCGATGGCAGTGACCTATATTGGTATCTCTGGAAGGGCGCTGGAACACAATCATGCAGACGTGTCTGTTTGATTGTTCGGCTTGTTGCAGGCGAATTTGTTGATCCCTACCCAGCAAGTAATGTATGACAGGGGTCATGACCCTCGGGTGCTTTCTCATACAGCTTCCCCTTCTAACAGCCCACCTTTTTCCCGGTTTGGGCCTTTGACCCAAGCCCACCTAGCTATTTTCTCAGGCTTGAATAGTGGTTGCACAGGGAACTCCATTATCCACCCAAGGATACCTAATTGATTGAGCAGCGCCCAAAACACCACTGGCATTTTAGTATGTGGTTCTAACTTGGGGTATATGGTTATTGTATGGCCTAAGCTTGACGAGCCATCTGAATTGGGTTTGCTCAATTGAAATCCCTCAAGCACAGGCACAAAACTCCACATCCACAAAATCTCAACGATCCCCCAATTGAAATTCACACCAAACCTGGCCTCGCCTCCTTGCACCCCCGCTTCAGGTGGCCTGCGGAAGCCATCTACAGACTGGCGCTCGAGGACTGAGAAATACCAATGCGCGCCGCGGCAAATGGATCAATGCGCCCCCCCCCCCCCCACATATTTTGCAGGATCTTGCGGAACAAATGGAGTGGTAGCCACCCTTTCCTTCAAGGAGGATTCGTCAATAGCGTCATCATGCTGGAAATATGCTGAAGGTGGAGTAATTGAATCCAGAACGGTCGAACATCATTGGCAGCCCAAAGACAGGGGGTCAGGAGAATTTGTTCGACCCTACATATGTGACCAATGAAAAATGGCAAGGAGCTGAGATGCTTTCTTTGGACTTCTTCCCGATGGTTTTCAGATCCGGAGCGTCCTTGTTTGTACCGCATGCGCATCCAGCAGGGCGAGCTTCACTCCTAGTGTGTCGGTGGAATTTGTGTTTGCCAGGTTTTGGGGCAGGGCTCGCAGCATCAAAAGCATCTTGAACGGGTAGCGGCCAATTGGCTAGCCCTTTTTGCATGAGAAACATCGGCCCCGAACACTTCTACCCCAACGGGGTTTTGCCTAGGCCTAGGACACATCTTCCTGTTTTGACGCACATCCATTCGCCCCTTCGCAGCGGGCGCTTCAGGAGGGCGAGTCGGTGCTGCCGGATCCGGAGGCATCGGTGCTGGCGTCCAACAGGGCCTGGGCCTCGCCGGGTCTCAGTTAGGTCCTAAATGATGCATGGCTGTGGGTCAAAACCAATGGTACCGTTTTGAAATAAGTGCGCCACCCATTTTAGTCTAATTGTAAGCGGGATTGGGATGTTTAGTGGGGGTACGGGATTTTGACCCATGGCCACATTGGTAGTTTCCGACAAAAAGGGCTGTCTATGTGTGCTTGGCAAACTTGGCCTTCGGTGTTTCGTTGGTTTCTTCGGCGCAGGTGTGCAAAGCCGACCTTGCGATGCCCCGTGCGTGCCCTTTGCCGAAGGTGCTCTTTGCCCATTGACGCCCATTGCTTCAAAGCAAACTAGGGCATACCAGACCAGGGGTGATGTCCACGGGTAAGTGTAGAAGCCTTGCAGGTTCACAAGGGTCGCTTCCCAGCAAAGTGAACCACATTCCCTGGAACACGGGAAGGCCCTCCGATAAAAGCAAGGCGGGTTTATTCAGCAGCTGGCTCAGTGTGGAAGAATCTCTATTTGTTCAAAGCGGGCTAACTAAAAGTGTCCTTGCCATTTCACCTTGAACACACCCTTCAAACCAACTCTCTGTGAAAGCATCCTTGCTTCGTTATCATCACTTGTCCAGGGACCCCTGGCTGGCAAAAAGGTCTCAAGGCGTCGCCTTGCCGAGGCCCTGGTCCTCCTCAAGGCCGGGCACTTCGCGGAGGCCGCGGCGGCGGCGGCGCGGGCGCTGCAGTGGGACCTCCGCAACGCCAAGGCGGCCTTCCGCCAAGCGCAGGCCAGGGGGTAGTCGCGGGGGGGGGGGGGGCCGTTTCACCTTAAGACCGTTGGTTGGTTTAACCTTTGGTGTTCCGTTTTGTGCTTCTGTTCAGCATCAATAAAGAATATTTGGAACATTATTTTCATCTTCCACCTCTAACTTTGGAGACCTCTCCTGTCGCCGTTGACCTGCGGGGTTCGCCATCCGTCTCCGAGGCCCTCCTGGAGCTGGGCTCCGACCCTTCTGCCGCCCTACTCGCGGCGCAGAAGGCGGCGGAGCTGGCGCCCAGCGACGCCAAGGTGGCGGAGCTGTGGCGCGGCTGGGGGGGCACGACGTGTGTAGCGGCGGCGGGCGGGGGCGGGAGGGGGGGGGGAATGCGGGGGGGGGAATGCAGGGGGGAGGGGGGTTGAGGCTTCTGCGGGCCCTCAGGGAATTTCAAGGGTATTGGCAATGGCAAGGAATCCCCACTGGAAGGAATACCGCGAGATGCGTAGTGCCCGCAGAAGTCGCCCAATTTTGTGCCGTCGAAAGATTTGAGGTTCGGACTGGTAAATGCCAAAGCTCGACTTAGGCCGAGTGTGAAGGGTATTGGCGTTGATTGTCTGATGGTTTGGGGCACATTGGCATGCCGGGTGAGGGGCCAACTGTGCAGTGGCTGCTGAGGAGCATCCTGAAACATGAACAAGGGTGAGACAAGCTTTGCATACATTATTTACATGGCAGCTTCGCCACGTTGTTGTGTTATATGATTTGTTTGGCCAGGCGGAACCGGGATGACTCTTGCGGTTGCAACCGGTGTTGTGATTGCAGGAGCAATCAACGCATCAAGTGGGTAAGCTCGGGTAAATCTGCCGTCCGCTTAGCATGTTTTCCCTTCGCGCTGCCAGCAAGCTTGCCAAGCACCAAGATTAGGCGGATGGCTTGGGCTCCCGATGCCTGGCGTTTCAGATACATCAATGCGCGATTTGAGTTTGCGTGCCTTCGTCCAATGTTTACCCTGCACGTTCTCAAGTTGCCAAATACGTAGTGCTTGCACGGCCAGTCAACACAGCGAGTCCGTTTCGGAGGGACAGTTTCGGACCCTGATATTTGGTGGCATGATGGAGTGCTGAATTGGGCATGCAGTTTGGATCCCACCTGGTGATCAAAAGAACTGACAGGCTTTGTGGCTGGCTCCTGGGCACTGGTTTCTGGCTCACTCAACTATACAGCGCTTTGCTGCCAACCAGAAAGTCCATGAAAGCAAACCGGGCAGTTTTCAGACGGAGCACGAGTTCTTGATTGACGCACTTCTTTGGCCCGGAGTGGGTTGACCTTTGATTTTTGTTCTCCCTTCAACGCTGCTCTATCTTTTACGCTTCTTCATATTTCGCAGCTGCTTTCGCATACCTTTGTAGGTGCATGTCGAAGTTGAACATCAGCTTGCTGTGATATTCCCTTGCGGGGACTCAGGCTCCAGAGAGCTCACGCTGCCTGCCCCGCAACTACCTCTTCCCTGGACGGCTTGGACTGAGAGGTGAAGTCTTGGGTAGTCGCTGCGGTGCCCCGGGCTTGCGCGCTGTTGCTCACTTGAAACGTTTGTGTTTATCGGCCTTAGTGAGCCTTCCACCCGCCTGCCGGTTGTTTCAACTTGTGCCTTTATTGTTCGACCGGGGGACCCAAAACGGTTGGTTTCCTGTGGCGCCCCGTCCCAAGCCAACACAGGGCATGCCCCATACCCTCTCGGATGTGGCATGGGCCTTTGCTCCAACTGCTCATTAACCATGGCCACGAGACCAGGGCCACGCTGCAGGTGCAAAGGCAAATTCGAATTCACTGGCGAAGTGCCGGAAAAGAAAAGCGCATAAGTGGAATCTGTGGCTCGAAGTTTTCACCTTGCCAAGATTTGCCTCGAATCAAAATGTCACAGGGGGTTGTGCTGGTTGCCTGTGAGAGAACTGCGAATCCCTGGGTTGGAAATGCGTTGGTTGTGGCACCCCGGCATCTTGCTGCATGTGCTTGACGCAATTTGAGGCTGTTCCTTCAATCACAAAGATTTGTTATTCGGTCGCCTTGCTTTGCGAAAGCCTTCATGAAAATCCAGTGTTTCAGCCATGGCCTCGTCAGGCCCAACGGTATATATATATATATATACATATATATATATATTTGAGTCGCCTTCAATCTGCAAAGATTGACGAACCCTGGTCACACTGGCCACCCATGACCACTCCATTTGCAAACTCCACAGTTCCAACACTTAGGGAACCCCAGAGTCAGAAAGGGGCCTGCATTGTGGCTGAGCCCAAGCGAGCTGGCCATAAGTCAGGCAGGCTGGATGCCCCTGACCTTGTTCTGCCAGCTTGGGTATGTGGTCAGATTGAATCGCCTGAGGCAGCCCATAATTCATGCGTAAATCTCGGAAGAGATTCAAGCTCGGCAGCAGGGGATAAACCTCTTTACTGGAAGTGGGGGGGGGGCAGCCCCTTTGGTTTTCATGTTTTTCCTGCAGCCGGCTTCAACAAGAAAAGGACTGCGCTGGGATTCGGCTCAGGCAGGGCGACTGCTGGTGGAAGATGAGACAGGTGGACCGCGGTCGCTCGGCTTTGGATCCGAGCCATGGATCTTTGGAGCCCAGGAGGTCTGGGACCCCAAAGGAAGATTCCAACCTCTGCCAATGATTGTTTTCGTTTTCCTGTTTTTTCTTCCGGTGCTTTGGGGGGTGCTTTGTAAGCTTGTGGGAAGGGCTCCTTCCAACTTTGTCTTTCAGGAACCCCCGAACATTAGTGGTTCCTACTGCAGGTCCCCAGGTGAAGGATGAGGCTATTCGCTGACTTCGGACCCTTGGGAAAATGACTGGCGATTCGTGACTTTGCCTTGACACAATTACTGTATTGATGTGAGGATGTAATTACGCATCTTGCAGCGCAAGACCGCATTGCTGGCTGATTCAGGCTGTACTCGGTACAGCCTGGAAAGCTGTGTGGCCACCTTTCGTTTGTTGGACAGAACCCTATTTAGGCATATTTGTCCCGTTTGGCAGATCACCGAATGGCAATTTGTTGCGTGGCGTAGCATGTATGGACAGAACCAGGGCTTCCAGGAAGCTACAGGATCCTCACCCTAGTGTAACAAATGGATCCGGGGGGTGTTCCACCCCCAGTGGCGAAGACTGCTAGGAAAGTGAAACTGGCTGACCCCCAGCCCAAGGGGGATGCTACTAGTACCGCAGCCCTTTGCGCAGCCGATGAGTCAAGCAGTTTTGGGTTCTTGCTTTGAGCCGCTTATCAGGAGGAATTGGAACACGGTTCAAAGATGCTTTGATGCTTCCAAGGCCTTTGTCAGTGCAAGTCAGCTCAGACAGCTTTGTGGTTTTCGATGTTCATTTTGCGTCTGTTTTTGTTTGTTTCTTTCTTTTTTTGGTGTCGCGCATACGAAGAAATCAGTTTTGGGCTCAGGCCCCCAAGCTTCCTAGTGGCAACTTTCCCCAGAATGCTGCGCCGTTTGTGTCAGTAATATCACTGCTGGTTGATCACCCCTCCGAACTAGCTAGAGGTGGCTTGTTGTTGGGACATGATCGGTTTTAACAGATTTCTCTGATGAGAGCCGTCTTTCTTTCTAAAATCCTATAAAATCAGCGTGTCTTGCATCTCCTTGCTTCTCTGGCTATTTGGCAGCCTGGCATTTTGTAGCAGGTGGCTCATCGCGAATTGATTCGCAACGCCTCAGGCCTTGCAGGGAAGTATCTGAAGAAATGAGCGAGCTGGCTTGCCTCCATACCGGCCGAGTCTTATCGGGCAGGAGCAGGTGCCTTTCAAGTATGGCAGCAATGAGAAGCCGACTTTGTCGCTCTTTCAAATTATGCCTGGTTCATTCAGCGGCAGTTGATTCAAGATGCTTGACTAACACACAGCCATAGTTTAAAGCAATCTATATGCAGTTTACTTGAAGCGCCTGAATGGCGTGTGACAAAGGCTTCTTACCCTTGTCGTGCCAACATCCCTGCCAGGCCCATGTCCTTGTCTTTGGCCATTTCTGCGATTCCGCTGCTCAAGAATAATGCCTTTGCCTGTTTTGTGACAAGCTCACCTGGGGGTAAAACGCGCTCACCATCTTGGTCCTCTATTTTGGGAACCCTTATTCAGGTTTTGCATTGGCCCAGGCGCGTAGCTCCTCTCGAGGATGGAGCTCTTTGACAGAAAATGTGGTTTTTACATTCAACCATGATGGGCTTGGACCCCTCTGGTGGCAAGGGGTCATTCGTGAAAACAATGGCCTGTTCAGATATGGTGAATGCGTGTCGTGGTGCCAGGGCGATTCTCCAGCAACCCGCAAAAGACCCAAAGGATCCACGCGGCCAACACCATACCTGCACACGTCCATCATTGAATATCCGCGGCTGTCGCCTGGGCCAAAAACGGCCCAGGCCAAGCCGAAATCCAGCGAGAAACTCGCAAGGAGTCCCTTGACCCGATTTTTGAGCATGGCAATGGGAGATGGTGTGGGATGAAGGGGGGCTGCCCTTTACTTTGGCACATGCGGCACATGTTGTAGACCTAACTCCCATCGCCTTGCAGTGCACTTTCCTTGCAGTCTCGGCCGCGGCGCTACAAAGAATGTCCAGGCCACGGAAGGCCGGCCTCTGCCCAGGCTCCAGGAGCCCCAGACGAAGCAAATGAGACATCGAAGTATGGAGCATGGTGGAGCTCCGGGGCTTAAATGTTTCTTTTGCCAGTATTTACCCATGGGCCCAACCTTCGGGCTTTGCTTCGAGAAAGCACCCTGTGCGTTTGCCTGCGCAGGATCTTTCAGTGCACTGGCAGTCTGGATTGAGCTGCAGCGGGTTTCAAGCGGCCCACTCAGAACTGCATCCCTGGTCGAAGTTTGTACGACAGCTTATCTCACTTCCGAGAAGAAACAAAAACGTTTGTTTGTTGGGCATCCAGCCCAATGGCCTCAGCTCGAAACCTCTCGGCTCAATGCGCAGTCAGACAGCGAAAGTTCTCGCAGAGGGGTACGGCGCCACTTTTCGTAATAGAGCTCAATTGCAACTACACATGGATATCGCACCTGCTTCCCCTTGTGAGCATCCTTCTCCGCGATGCGTTTCCCCGCCCCCGAATAAAAGTGGCCAGAATCCTTCGGCCCATGCGTTGAGAGACTCAAAAAGGCGCGCAGGGCATTGCAGGAGGGAACGCCCATTGACAATCACCTCCTTCTTGCGGTCCCACCTGTCACACACGCTCCAGACGTTGGATTCAGTGAGGAGGGCAGGTGGGATTTCAGGGGCTCGTGCAACCCCTTGCGCCGGGGTAATGTGAAACGGTCGGGACTGGGTCAAGCAACGGGTCGGACACGGGTTGACGACTTGACTCACTGCACAATATCTTATCTTTGGAATTCCTTGGCTGTTCAGGTGACTTCCCTGGTGTGATGAGAGCTCGTTCGGGGGAACGATGAGTTTGCCCAGAAAGACATGACAAGCTGTTTTGCGTTGGCATTCGTTGTGCCCAAACGTGCCGCCACGTTGCTTTCTCTGCAGGCGCAAGGAAGCCCCAGTTGTTTTCAGAGGGCCCAGGCCCTGGGCCGGTTTGATATTTTGTCGCCCCAAGCCACGAGAATGTTCACGATAACTGGCAGGAATGCTGTTTTCTCACCTTGTTCCGGTTGTACTTGGGAGGTTGAATGCGAACGCTGCTGGCCCGACCCAGCCGGTGGCTGTTTTGCCTGTTTTCTGCCAGGTTTCCCCTCGAAGCTTAAGCAAAGGTGGGCGCCTTTGCTTACCTTGGCCACACTGCCACTGAGGTTTGGGATATGAGGCCTGTGTCCAAAATGTGCCACGCCTTCCTCGTGGCTCAAGTTGCACATGGGGGCATGCGTACTTTTCCCTCAGACGCTTTTGCCAAGACGGTCGCGTCACTTTGGCACCAACGCCACAGTTTTCCAGCTACATGACACCACCCCCTCGGGCCAATTGATCCCAGCCCTGGCCCGCGAGTTTCCCACATGCAGGGGCGGGTATCGTCCCGGGCCCTCTACGTGCAGTCCAAGGGGCTTGAGGTGGCTGACAGCTCAGGCGGGCATGTCAACAGACGAATGCTCTGTTTTGCCGATCCCTTAAACCACTGAAAGCAGACCCAGCTGTACCGATGCAGGGGTTACGTTGCGTGGCTTGTTGGGGTGGTTCCACTACAAGTTTGAATGGCGGGGTCTCTTGATTTCCATGTTTTTAACTGCATCCATTTGTATCCATGCAGAAGATTTTGAAGGACGCAGGCCTGAAACCCCATTGGGCAAGGGGTAACGCATCGCAAGCCACAAGCAGCGATACTTGAAAGCGGCCTAGCAGTCCTAGGGTTTAATGCTTCAAACCCCACTCAACCTTTAACATAAAAGAGCGCCTTCACACACAACGATGTCGCATTGAGGTCTTGTGCGCTCAGGTTTCAACAAGTCAGCGCGCACACGACCGACTGACATGCAGCACAGGATCAGGGCCTTCCAACTCGGGTCAATGCAACCCAAGCAAATCGCAGCACAAACTTCCGGATACGATTGCCAACCGAGCTTAGCATCCAGGATGGTTAGCTCCCTTCGACTCAAGGGCACCAAGAATCAGCCAGCAAAGTTCACACCGGGGAGCACTGAATGACCTGGGTATTGCTGCTGAATGTGCAAACTTTTGACTCGCCTTGTTCCGGTTTTCGGGGGTTCGACTTGTTTGATAGGAAGGCGCCTTTTCTGCGTCTTTGACCGAGCTTGGCTTTTCGCTTTGGCGGGCGGATGTTCCTTGTGGCTTCTACCCTGAACCATCCCTAAAGCTGCCCAACACCAACCGCAAGCCCAAGCCAACCTTAAACTAAACCACACCCAAGCCAGTCAACCCCTATTCCGCTTCTTCCGCTCGTTATAGAGCGAGTGGAACAGGTGCTGGAAAAGAGAAATCCGTTATTCCAATTCACTTTCCATTCATGTTGAATCCAGATGGTATGTTTGCCATCAGGCTAATAATCTTACTTCAGATTAATGTGATTTCTATGAAAACGAAAACAAGCAACGTGGCTTTGAAGTGCATGCAAGGCTCAGTCTGAAGCCTCCCTCCCCCTTAATCGGCCGATCCTAAGCCCACAACCCCAGCCATAAACACCCAAGCCAATCTAAATCAGCATTACATCCATCCTGAGCCGACCCCAAACGCACCAGCCAACCCAAAGAACCCTCAACCTACCCAAAACGAGTCCTCAACATGTCCTTTGACCAACCCCAAAATATCCCACAATCCAGAATGCGAGCGTGGCGCTCGCGCGCGCGCCTTCTCTGCAATGGTGCGTGGACGTTTGGGCCATGGTACTAGATGCATCGCAAGGGTGCTTGCTTTTAGGCGGTGATTCAGTAGACAAGTAGTTTTGGCACGTCATGCAGCGTTTGGTGCGGCTGGATTGCTTGGCATTCATTGCCACATTTGGACGAGCGGTCCTGGTGGCTTTGACCCCAAGGCTCCCGCCCTGAACAAAACAGACAATCTCCAAAAGGAGGTAGTTGCACAGCAAGTTGAACAGGGCCACCCCATGCTCCACCCGTTTACCTTTCAGATTTGATGGAATCCTTGTTGGCCCAAGGGGTTAGGGTTGTTGAAGGTTCCTTGGTTTCCTTGGTTTGCCTCCAGTCCAGAGCCTAGGCACATCTAGACACCACCCCCTAACAAACCCCCTTCCCACCGCCAGACGAAGTCCAAGAGAAGCCGTGCTTGTCACCCCGAGGCGCGACAGGGTGATCTGATTGTTCCTGTCGATGGCTTTATGGGGTCTCAGGAGGTATCTGAGTTTGCCGCTAAACTCACAAGGAAGGCCACCAAAACGCTGGGGGGGGGGGGGGGGAGGGCTACGTAGCTTATCCACAAGTGCTGGATAGCTGCAGCTGGCTTGTGAATGTTGAATAAGGGCTTAGGAAGGGCTACCCAATGCTTATCCACGCATTGTCATTCACAATCTTATCCAGAGCTGCCTTGGGAAATCAAGGCAAATCAAGGCAGAAGGCGGATTGAACTTGCAGCCGGTGCCGCAGTATGGCTAGGATATGGTATGGGTAGCATAATTTAAGGGCTGCCGCCCTGTGCCGCCGGTCCCTGCTTGCTGACAGGGGACATTGTTATGACAATAATGACTACGCATTTTTTGTCGGGTTTTAACAGCACACTTAAAGCATATATGCAAAAGCAGAGCAGCACGATAATAATGGTATGTTTGATGTATTTTTTTACCCAACATTAGGGATGCTGATAATTATTACTATGCATTCGTATTATCGCCAGCAGTTATGATGATAATTGCTACTTTGCATTTTCAGCATCACCAGCAGTTGTTCTGATAATTATGACGACGCATTCCCTGCAACTCAAACAAGCCACTGCGGGATAAATTCGCATGATAATAAGCACCTCATTGAATTTTACAAGAAGTGCCCCGGGTGTGCGGGAACGGGCAGGAAAACCATGTTGGGGCCTTTATTTTTGTTCTCAAGACTGTGGATGCGAAGTATGGACTTTGTGTCATTGCTCGTCTTCGCGAGACGTAAGCCGTTAGGAACACCTCGGGATGCAATGAGACGATGATGATGATGATGATGATGATGATGAGGATCATGTAATGATGATGAACTATGCACCCCCGGCATCAGCAGCAGTTATTATGACAATCATGACTACGCATCCCCTGCATCTCAGGTCAGGTCTATCGGCACACTTGGAACGTATGTGAAAAAGAAGAGCGACACGGTTTTGATGATGAATGATGAGGAACATGATAATGAAAATGATGATGATGAAGATGATGATGAACATGATGATGATGATGATGATGATGATGATGATGATGATGAACATGATGATGAAAATGGTGATGAACATGATGATGATGAATGATGATGAAAATGATGATCATGAACATGATGATGATGATGATTATGATGATCATGTAATGATGATGAACTATGCACCCCCGGCATCAGCAGCAGTTACTATGACAATCATGACTACGCATCCCCTGCATCTCAGGTCAGGTCTATCGGCACACTTGGAACGTATGTGAAAAAGAAGGGCGACACGGTTTTGATGATGAATGATGAGGAACATGATAATGAAAATGATGATGATGAACATGATGATGATCATGATGATGATGATGATGAACATGATGATGATGAATGATGATGAAAATGATGATCATGAACATGATGATGATGATGATGATGATGATCATGTAAGAATGATGAACTATGCACCCCCGGCATCAGCAGCAGTTATTATGACAATCATGACTACGCATCCCCTGCATCTCAGGTCAGGTCTATCGGCACACTTGGAACGTATGTGAAAAAGAAGAGCGACACGGTTTTGATGATGAATGATGAGGAACATGACAATGAAAATGATGATGATGAAGATGATGATGAACATGATGATGATGATGAACATGATGATGAAAATGATGATGAACTTGATGATGATGAATGATGATGATGATGAGGATGATGATGATGATGATGATGATGAACACCACCATCATCATATTTATCATCATGTTCATCATGATCATCATCATCATCATGTTCATCATCATTCATCATCATTCATCATCATCATCATCATCATCATCATCATCATCATCATCATCATTTTCATCATCATGTTCCTCATCATGTTCATCATCGTCATCCTGATGATAATCATCACTACGCATCCTCAGCATCACCACAGTTAACGTCATCACTATGCATCCTCAGCATCAGCAGCAGTTATCATGACAATCATGACCACGCATCCTCTGCATTTCCAGCCAGGTCTAACTGCACACTTGAACGTATGTGAAAAAGAAGGGCGCCACGGTTTTGATTGCTGATGAGTGATGAGGAACACGATGATGAAAATGATGATGGTAATGATGATGAACATGATGATGATGATGATGATGATGAACATGATGATGATGATGATGATGATGATGCTGATGATGCTGAACATGATGATGATGATGATGATGATGATGATGATGATGATGACGATGAAGATGATGATGATGATGCTGAACATGATGATGATGATGATGATGATGATGATGATGAACACCGCCATCATCATTTTCATCATCATGTGCATCATTTTCATCATCATGTTCATCATCATGTTCATAATCATGTTCATCATCATGTTCCTCATCACTACACATCCTGAGCACCAGCAGTTAACGTCAATATGCATCCCCAGCATCAGCAGCAGAAATCATGACAATCATGACAACGCACCCTCTGCATTTCCAGTCGGGTCTAACGGCACACTTGAAACGTATATGAAAAAGAAGAGCGCCACGGCAATGATGATAATCCGGATGCTGTGAACCATCACCCAACATCAGTGGTGATAATAATCATCACTAATACAAGGACAAAGGCAAACCCTTCCCATGCGCCTCCCCTTTGGAGAAAGGGGTCGGCGGATATAGACAGGATATGTGCAAGCCCCGAATGAGCTCTAGTAGCATATTCTTGCCTCTATCCCTTGTGAATGGACAAGCTAAGTAGCCCCCCCCCCCCCACTCGGAGTTTCCATGACAAGACTGTTGGACCCTCATATGTCTGCGCAAATACACGCCAAATTGCGACCTGACATGAACAAAGGCCTGAGTTTTGTTTAGACTCTTTGTTACCTCGTTAAGTGGAGAGCGCTGTTGCCGTGTTTGTTTCTACCAGCCTGCCTATCACTGCCCACTGCTTCCACTGATCATTTTCTAGGTGACCGAGAGGGACCACCATTGGTTTCCTGTGGTTTGTAGGGAGTCTACTGGGGCACCTGTCCCCTTGGTAGTAGTGGGGTCAGGTGTTGGGCATGAAGGGTTTCGCAGGTCCCCCGGCATAGGGTCGCTGGTGTCTACCTTAGCTTGAACCGAGGGTTCAAGGTTTGATTCAAAATGTGGCTCGGGGCTAGTTGTGGCTGAAGAAATTCCTCGTTGGAAATTTAGCCATGGCTGCATTCCAAGGATCCAAGACCTTGAGCCGCCTAGTTTTCCAACGGTTTCATCCACTGCTGGTCTTGTTTCTTTCCAGCTTCTCCACTTCCAGTGGTGCAAAGACCAAGCGGCTAATCGTTGAATTCTGGGTTTTGGGAACTGAGCAACGTGATCGGCTATCTATGCTTTCCGCTTTGCCAGTCGTGTGGCTGGCCCTTTGCACTTCTGCGGTCGCCCGGGCACCTGGACAGACAAAGGCATGGGCCCAACAGGGCAGCGGATTCATAAGCTAGCCGGGCATGAAGTACAGCAATCCCGCAAAGGGATTGTTTTGCCGGCCTCGCAAAAGGGGAAGGTTAATTGGTGATCTCTTTGAAGATGTGTGACTTATAGTAGCGAGGGGACACCTGAGATTCCACATCAGTGACTCACCAAGAGGTTTGGCGACCTCACCGATGAGTGGGTCACTGTCGCCAGATAAAGCGCACACAAGCGCTGGTGCAAGGTTCGGCTTCGAGCTCAAGAACCAGCAGCTACAGCTATTGAGTCTTTGATGGTGGTGTCCTCGCATGTAAAAAAAAGAAGAAAAAGCCGGCGTGGTGATTATTTGGTAGCCATGAGCTTTGTAAAGTGGCACATTGATTCATTTCAGCCGATTTCTCTGAGTGGCAGCGTCCTTCGGGCTGCTCCTAGACTGACCAATCTTGATCGGTGTTGACTCAACACACCCCCAACACAAGATTTGTTGGGATGGGTTAAGCATGGCGAACCTTTTGGCCCCACCCTATCCCAGGGTAGATTTGCATCAACACGCCAAGTTGAAACTGCACCTAATCTTCCTCACATGTACTTTGGATCCTCAGGAAGAAATCAACCATAAAGACAAATTCGGACGACGAGCAGTTTTGAGTTAGGCCCGGTACTTGAAACAACTGGGCGAACGTCAGGGGCACACAGCCCACGACGAGCTGGAAAATTGAACGACGCATGAAAAGCTTCTGAAAAAGAAAGCGGCATTGTCCAAGTCTAACCCTGAAGCTGGCTCTGGGGCTTGTCCCAGAGCAAGGCCCAGGGCTTGTCCTGGGGCTGGCCCAAACTTGCCAGCACCAGCCCGGCTGCTTCCACCATTGCTCCATCTGCCCTTAAGTCGGCCCCTGGCCCCACACCAAGATCCACGACCCAGCAGTGTGATTGTCACAGTCCCATGATCATGGTCATGGGCTCCCAAGCCCGCCGCCCCTCCTCAAAGACCAGCCAATTGGTTCTCCAAATCAGGCGATAATGAGGTCTGACTAAAAGATCCATCAAGCTTGCCTGGGCAAGCCACCAAGGGCAGGAGGGTTCGCAAAGTCAGGAGGGCTGAGTGCCGGTCAGTTCTTTGTTGACCCTAGTCTAGCCGCAGACCCTGTGAGGGAAAAATTGCCAGGTGTTCCCAGAAAAGATGAATTCTGTCTTCGACTCGCCCGCGTGCATTCCCAGCTTTGAAGGACCTATGATTGAGGCGAAGGAACTTCCTAGGGACAGACACATGTTAGCATTTCCGTTGGGCGATCGCGTGGCTGGAAGGTCCTCCTGGTACTGAAGCAGGTGCTGCCTTGTCGGAAGGCCTGGCCCGGTTCTCTTTCTGCATTTTGAGCGGCTGCAGCAGGTCGAGTTCCTATTGAGCAACAGACGCAAGGTGGCAAAAAACATTCTGAGCATCGAGCAGAGAAGCAAATCTACTGAATGTTGGTAGGCCCCCCCAATTGCACACCAACTGGCAAGAAGGAGCATGCGCCACTAACCAAGTATGAATGTGTGTCGTGAAAGGTGCCCTTTGCAGTGACAGGAGTGCCCCTGAGCATATTGTGGCTCAATCATGCAGTGGTGTAAGCAAAACACTGCTTGTGTAAGGGTGAGGGCAAAGAATGCAAACAGGGAAGAATACGTACCCTCCTCTAAACGAAGCATTTTTCACAGAAGGGGCCTTGTTGGGGCGGGCGGATCCCAGCATTACATGGGATTCTGCAGACACCCTTGCGGCCGACGAAGAAAGGACTCCCAGAAATATTGCGTTACCGTTTTGATGGACAACCTCCTGCACAAAAGATCAAAAAGCCGAGCTTTGCAACTCAGATAACAGCGCGGACAGTCCCTCAACGTCCCCTTGCAACATCACCCCAAAAGGAAACACGCTGTAAGTTGGCCCAAGTAGTTATGATCCCGGAACCTTTGGCTTCAAAGTTTAATCATGCCACTGCTCTTTCGTGTTTCTGTTCTGCCTTGTACGGCATGGCCGTGTGGAAGCCCCGGCCCTGTGACCCAACCCTGTGATGGCGCTGCCATGCGGGCAATTGACAACATGCCAGTCCTGATTGAAATCTGGAGTGCGTGCTGAGCATGGCATATTTACATCGGAACTTCACGGCATAGCTTCATCATGCTGTTCATCACATGTGACCCGGCGCTGCTCGAATCATTTTTTTGCATTGCAGGAAGTGCCCGCTGCTACCTGGGACAGCGCCATGGCTGGCCTGGACAACTGACATAATTATTGCAAAATGCGGTCGCGCAGGTTTTCCCGGTGATACAAGGTGTCACTTCACGCCGGGTAATTACTTGGACATTGGATGTGAGGACACCCCATTCTCATGCCTTTTTTTAGTTTGAAGCCATGGTTCTGCGTCTTACCGCCTTAAGCTTGGGATGTATGAGGGTCTTTTTTTTGCCCAAGCTTTCTCTCACGAATGTTCTGTCGACGTCTGTTCACAATCCTGGCTGCCAATCCCCGGGTTGTTCGGGCTGTCCTGCCTTTTTGCACACTAACCGCCGTGCTACCTGATGTCCTTGAGGCAAGGCACAGGGTGATTGTTGCTATTGTTGGCCGTCCTGACTGGTGCAAACAGCGAGGTTCTAACAAGTACACGCTGAATGCCTCCCACGCGTCGCTTCGCGACAAGTCGAAGCCACCCCTGCCGCTGCCCAACATCACGCTGGCCGACCATGCGCTTCGGGGTGCTGGGAGCACTGGGCACGACGGTTGGCCCAGTTCTGCTGAAGCTCGGCCAGGCCGGTGGTGCTTTCCGCTTTGCGCGCCCATTCAGGTTTCACGCAGGTTGGTCAGGGCCATAGAAACCTTAACAACAATCTTACATGCCTCCACAGGTCGCCTGTGGCGAATTGCGCAACTTCGTTGTAAGGAGCCTTGACGAAATTCCGGGGCAACAGTTTGTGTGGGGCCTCAGACATGTGCAGGCCAAGCGCTTGACAGAAAAAATGCTGATTACAAGTTTGATAGTTTAACATCTTTTGACACATGGCATACAATTAAATTAACGAACATATTTGGACTACACTTTGCTGTGGCCTCAGCATGTTGCAGCCCAAGTCGTGTCAAAAAAAGGTCACTACATGTGTGTGTGTGTGTGTGTGTTTTCTTTTGTCTAAAGTAATGTGTGAACCTATTTTGGCAAAATAATTATCATGGATGACACCCCTTCCTCGAGGGGCTTCAGTTCAAGTTGCCATGGGTGACACCCTCCTTTCAAGGTGTTGATTTCAATCAAGGTGGTTGAACATCATTCGCCCTAGAATGGAACACCACATATGGAAAGTTGTTTAGTGTGTTGCCTTCTTTTTGGTGGGGGGCGGCCTCAATTCCGCATGCTTCCCAGCAATTAATGTTTGATCAAGTTTGGTCAACCGCACTGTTGATCGAAGTTGATCAAGTTTGACCCAGTTTAGTATTTAGGCGGGGAGCCTGCAAAAGCAAAAGTTAAACCAATTTGCAAGAATTCCAGCACCATTTACCCTGGCCAAGGGACTACTGGAACGCCAGCAACCCCTTCTTTTTCTGGTTCATAATGTTTGTGTAATGACCCATGCGACCAAACCCAAGGTAAGTGCAATGAGGATGACAAAGTTGCCTTGAGAAAAGGGAAAAGTAATTGTGATAAAATGCTATCTGAAAAACAATAACGGCAATTTGGCCAGGTGACACCCGCAAAGACACAAAGAAGAACAAGAAACAAGTGAAGGAACAAACACAGGAGAGACACTGCAAATAATCTCAGGGCAATGCTGGGAAACGGAGGGGTTCCAGGGCTTGGTCTAAGTACCAAACATCAACCAAAGCCAAAAGTAAACGAAAGGGAACCGTCTGTTTGCCTGAAAAGCCGGCGAAAGCCGTTTGGCGCAAGTTTCAATATGTTCAGAACTATAGTTTGCAGCACGCTTCTTTTCGCATGCTCTCATCTTCTCTCTTTCTTTCTTGCTTTCTTTCTTTCTTTCTTTCTTGCCTTCTTACGTTCTTTCATTCTTGTTTGCTTTCGCTGTTCCTCTCTTTTGCATCGCCTTTGAGCATTTCCCTCTTCTCTCTTTCTTGAATTCGTTCTTTCTGTCTTTCTTTCTGCTCTTTCTTTTTTTTTCTGGCTTTATTTGTGTCCTTCCTTTTTTTTCTCTCTTTCTCTCTTTATTTATTCCTTTTTGTCTTTATCTTTCTCTTGTTTGTCTTCTTTCTCTTTCCCTCTTTCTTTTTTTCCTCTTTCTCGTCCTCTTCATCTTCCCCTTTCTCTTGATTTTTATTTATTTGGCTTCTTTTTCTTTCTCGTTCCCTCTCCCCTCTTACGCCCTGCGGGTTTGCTTTTCATCTCAGCACAGCTGCGGGCTGCGGCCCGGGAGTGGGCTCAGGGATGCGAAGCGCAGTGCGGATTGCCTTCCGGAGACACGGATTGTGCGTCGCTCGCTGGTGGCAGGAGAAGTGGCTTGTTGTTTGGGTTCTCCAACACTTTTGGCGCATTTTGCGCCGTACTACCTGTGCAAGGCGATGAGCAATCGCGTGCCCAGACAGCCTTTCCCCCGCTGGACCTCCACTTACTTCCCATGTCACTGGCTTTGACACTATAGCCAGAGCATGCCACGCCCCAGCTTCAAACATGTTGTGTTGTTACGTGTGGGCTGCGTTGGAGCCAAATCTGGTTGTGATTGTTGGCCGTCCTGAGTGGTGCAAGCGGCGAGGTTCTAAAGAGTACACGCTGAATGCCTCGCACACGTTGCCTGCCAACAAGACGCTTGACGACTATGCCCTGCGGGGACATGCGAAGCATGCGAGCGCTGGGCTCCAACACCATGGTCGGTCCAGTTCTGCTGAAGCTCGGCCAGGCCGGCGGCGCTTTCCGCTTTTGCGGTCACAGTCAGGCTACGCAACACCACCTCGACCTGTAAACGTGCTAAGCAAGCAGGCAACAATTATTTTCTTGTTTCTACGGGGTGCCTGTGGAGCTTTGCAAGGCCCTGGTATTCCTCGGGGATTGTAAACGAGGTGTTCAAAAAAGCATGCAAACACACTGGGGGTTTATAATTATATAGGCTTGCCTAAAAAAGACCTTCAAATTCACTGGACCAGATTGTCCAAGTTAACCAGGCCAGGCGCGCGCGAGCGATGCCTAGTAGGTGCCATGCATGGAAACAGCGCTAGGCGGGAGTTGGGCGGCAGGGTGCGCGTGGGCGGGTGTGCTTATTGGGTGAGTGCTGGCGGGTGCGCGTGAGCTGAATGTTGCGCGTGAGCGGGGTGCTTAGAGGGTGGCAGGCATGGATATAGTACAGTGTTGGGCGGGTGCGCGTGGCTTCGGCGATCAATTATTGCCATTTTGGAGCTGGCAGCTCGGTCGAAGTCTCGCGACCGCATGCGCCGCGTGCCCAAACGGCCACACCGGTAAATTGAAAGTAGCGATCCTTGGCAAGCGGTCAAGCTTTGCCCGAAAGAGGTCAGGAAAACAAAAAAGGCGCCTGTCAGGCGATGTCGCCCGTTTGTGAGGATAGGTTGGCAACCCGAAGCAGGTGTGGCTGAAGCGAGCGCCTGTCACCATTTAGACAAGTTGGCGAATATTCCGCTTGTTGTTCAAGCCACTGCTCTCGCCCAATGACCTTGGTGGAGCCGGTGAGCCTCGGGGCCTCCCAGGCCCTCATGGCGACACTGCCGCAAAAGTTGGTGCCACCACCGTGCATAAAGCGAACGAAGCTTCAAGGTTTTGGCAGCTTTGCCTTGCAGACTTGTGTTTAGGGGTTCGCGACACGGGTAGTTCAGGGCGGGGAGAACCTAGACACAAGCTTGGGAGTCAGAAGTTTCTACCCAAGTACTCTTCAAGTAAGCATTGTTTAGTGTAATAGTGGCTGAGCTTCTGTCGCAATGGCCTTTAAAATTAGTCTAGTATTGGTTTAGTGTTCCCGTGTTCTATCTTAATAGTCTTGAGGATTTTGAGCGGGCCCGAATCTTCTAGAAATTGTTTAGTACTACTAGTTTAGTACTGGTTGTTTATTCCTTTGCGCTGGCCCAGGGGCTTTGGTTTCTTCGTTTTTCCACAACAAAAGCTATACTTATAACGGTTCCTGGGCCCCCGGCGCCACCCCTTGTAAAGTTTGTCTGGGAAACCATCGCAGTTAAGGGCGTCGTAAACAACAAAAGTTCGGTCGGGTTGCTGGCTTTGGACTGGCTTAGTTGTCCCGTTTTATTTTCTGACAGTGGGACGCTGCTCGCTTGAACGATTTGATGCCTGTTGCCGAGCGGCAGGCCCTGCCAAGATTTGGCCTTCTGTCCGCGAGGTTTGGCAGAATAGATCTTCCATGTTTTGTGCCTTGGCTCAAGGAGTGCAAAGGCTAAGGGCGGGGGTGCGGAAGGGAAGCTGTGGCCCAGGAAGCCGGGCTCGTGAGTTGTATTAAATTGCTTTTTGCTACGGCTTGCTAGCAGGAGTGGCCTTGTTTGCCCCAGTCATGTTTGCTTGTGTGTGTGTGTGTGTCCGGTGTTTGTGTGTCCGTTGTTGCATGTGTGTGGGTGTGTGTGTGTGTGTGTGTGTTTCGTGTTATTTGGTGTTTGTGAATGTTTTTTCCCACCCTTTTTGTGTGTTTGTCTGTTTGCTTGCTTGCTTGCTTGCTTGTTTGTTTGTTTGTTTGTTTGTTTGTTTGCTTCTTTGTTTGCTTGTTGAGTTGGTTCTGTCTGCCAGTCTATCTGTCTGTCTGCTGATTTGTTTCTTCGTTTGTTTCGTTTGTTTCATTTGCTTCTTGTTTCCTTCCTTTAGAACCCTCTTTTGCCCGTAATTCTGCAGGCCCCCGGGTCCTGACAATTGCTGCTTTTGGCAGCTAACCTTCTGGTTGCTGGCGCAAAGGCCCAAACCGACACAATGGCAGAATCATAGCGTGACAGTGCAGGAGGGCATCCTTGGTGTGGCAAGTCATTGTTTCAATCAAGGGATCGGACCACACACACCTTTGCAGAACGAAGCCCCAGCATTCTGATTTGTTAACGGGGTTCTGTGCGCACTTCTTCCTAGGCTTTCTGGTAGCCACCGAGCCCGAAATGCCTCTCATTCGATGGCAGCCACTTGGCAGCAAGCAGAAGGGAGCGAGCCGCAGTGCAACTCCCAAGCATTCCCTCTTGGCCAATGGCAATGTATCCGCAGTTTCCCATTCCAACCGTACGCGGTGTGAGCATGTTTCAATGGCGACTTCTGTCAAACCACGGCGGTGCCCGGAAGCAATGAACAAATCTCAGCAAAGACAAGCTCAAGGCTTCTTTACGCGCTTGTCCATGTTTATTTTTAGTTCCAGCCAGCAACTCATGCTCAGTGCAGGCAAGAAGCCCTTGCAGGGCCAAGCAAGTTTGTAATTTGCCACGGCGGTTGTAGTCAACTGGACACATGAACTTAGGCCACAGGCCACAGCAGGCAACTGCACACATCGTGCCATTCACAGACATCTTCTCTTCGACTTTGAAGATCCCCTCCTCTACCCCTCCAACATGTTAAGTGGTTTAACAATGTGTTTCTCTGTTTTCTTTTAAGCGGCGTTTACAGGGGACATCTCAGGAACCGTGAGATCTTCTGAGAGGAAGGGTTGCCTCACCAGACGTGACAGAGCCATGGGGTTGGTTTTCGAGGTTCCGCCATGGCGCCGGGCTCTTTGGATGCAGCTCCTGGGCCGTGTACTCTGTAGCCCCGGCGGCTTGGCCAGTCGGGTTTGGAGGGGTGGAGGGGTGGAGGCGAAGGGCGGTGGACACCTGCCTGGCTGACTGCAGTTTAGGGCTGTGAAGTGGTAAAACAACTATCACACAACCATAATTTGAGGACAGAAAACCATGCACTTGCAAACCTAAGCCTGAATGGGAAAGGGTCAATAGTCAATACTCCCAAGGTCAATGTTCCAGTTCATGAACCGTCAATTGCTTCAAAGGTCATTTGCCCGACCAGCCGAAACGTCTAACGCGTACAAGGGTGTGAATCTTAGCGGGGGGGTTCCCCTTGGCGGAAATCATTCTGGCGGGGTTTCATACGTCCACCCACCACTTGAGTTCGGTGTTTCCAACTCAGGCAGTTGTCAAACACTTTGGCCATAAACTTTAGCCATAAACTTTGTTCCGCACACGTGAATCGAACATGAGCAATCGTGAGCAGCCCTAGTTTTCCTTGAAGGGCCCTTGATGAACCACAATCTTGCCTCGGGAGGCTACCGATGCCTCGGGAGGCTACCGACAGCGCCCCAGTGTTTTTAAAGCTCTTCTGCTTGAGACTTCTGCTGAGGCACCGCTCTTTGTGGGGCTCTTTCCCAACGGCGACTTGGAAGCACCCAGCTGAAGGCCCTCGTGTCTCAACTGTCACGTTGAAGATTTGCCATGCCATAGCTTCTGGGTATCCTGATGTTGGTTAAAGGTAAGTGGCTTAGTTTAGGCATGGCTTCAGTTGCCGCCACCCTCCGTTTAACAATACGCAAAAGGGAACACGGGGAAGTGTTGTTGCAGGTGTGTCCGCGAAAAGAAACTGCAGCCAGCGTCATGTTAGCAAATGCTATCTAGTTTCTCTTGGCCAAGCAAGAAAGGGAGGGAGTGAGGGAGAGGAGGGGAAGACAGGGGAGGGAGAGGAAAGGGAGAAAGGAGGAATGAAGGAACGGTCCCAGTCCCCAATCTCAGGATCCACCCCTTCCACGTTCCCTGTGCAAGTTTCAAGCTCACCTGGGGGGTTCAAAACCAGCTCTCACATGATGAGCTCTCTTGGTGGAGGGTGGTCCTTACTTCCTTCTTGTGACTAGAGATGGCGCCAAAGGAAGGCATCTGGGCACCGGTATCCGAGGCACCGAGGAGTGGTCCACACCTATCCCAGGCGCGAAGCTCTGGGCTTGGGAAGGCGGTCCCATGGGATTTTGTGGGCCCGTGGAACACACAGGGCTTCTTTGGTTTCTGCCTCTTCCATTTTCGGCTATGGACCCAAGACTTCAAGAGGTTGGCCGTTGTATTTATGGTGGCCACTCCCATGGTCTTTGCCGTTCTTCACGCATCGACACCACATGTGTCCTGTTGCGGGTCTAGATGCTGCAGACCCAAAGGGCCGTACATCTGGCATGGCCTTTGCATGCGATGCTGGCAACACGCAATTGGCTGAGGATTCTTTGTCTCTTCTCCCTCTCTCGCTTCCTCTCTTTCCTTTGTATCTCTCTCTCTCTCTCTTGCTCTCTCCCTCTCTAGGCCCTCATCATTGATTCCAAGGAAGCTTAGTCAAGGGACATGTCCTGCTGTTTATTTGCTCCCCTCCGATGTGTGTGTGTGTGTGTGTGTGTGCGTGTGTCAGTGCAGGGCGCACGGGCCAGACAATGAAAAGTGCATTTACCTGGTTTTTGGCCACCTGTGCATGCTGCCTTCAGCTGCTTTTTCAGGGAAGAAGGCGAAACGAACGTCAATTTGAGTCACGCGACGACTTTGTGGCAATGGCTTTTGGTGAGCCAATCGGCCAATCGCCCAATCTACCATCGCATTTCCGACAGCTGAGGCCCTGCTGCATTCTGGGGCACTCAGTACTTTTGGGGCTGCGACCAGCCCAAGAAGTACCTCATGAATGAGACTTGGCTAGCAGACCCCGGGGAGTGCATCACAGGGCTCCCAAAAAGGGCCTGGCATCACGTGCACGAAACTGAACCCTTATCACGCTGTGCTGGGGCAGGTCCGTTCCAGCAGCCTTGGTTTGTGGTAAACCTATTCTCTCAGCAAAGTTATTGCCAGGAAAACCGGAACAAGCTGCGTTGGCGGATCCCTTCAAGCGCAGGATAAGCTCAACTTACCACAACTCAAGCTCATGGAATACAAGGGCGGTGGCCATGCAAGAAAATACTTTGTTTCTCGCAGGCGGCCCAGCTCAATGAGCTACAAGGGCTTGGAGTGTGACCATTAGATGGTACTCAGTAGGCGCAGCGTTATACTTGTATGTTGTCATATCTCACAATTTTACACAGGAACATTGGTTGTGGTCCGAGAACTAGGACGTGGCGGCTGGCAAGCTTGTTCTTCGCCGGTTCTTTCAGGACTCTTGAGTATGGAGTTTGCTGGGGGCACCCAAGATGGTGCCGTTTCACTTCTTCATCCCAGTTTGGGGCTGTCTCAACGGTGCCACCCTTGAACGTTTTGAGTCAGACTGAACTCAGACAGCCGCATTCCGTCCATCGCGGGCTTTGAAGGCCACCGGAAATTTCACGGACAAGATCTAAAGAAGCTGCCTGTGATTTGGGATGGGCCCGAGTTTTGTGTGTAGGTGCTGCAACTCCATGTGTCCCTTGTATCAGGCTTAAGGCTTGAAACGGAGACTTTTCATCGACGCCGCCAGGCCAACATCATGGTGCGCGCTTGGGAGAAAACGCACGAGCAGGGCTTTGCAGGACAGGCCGCGATGTTTGCCAAGCTGAGCTCCCCACATCCCATTTCAGGACTCCATCCTTCTGCGAAGGCCAGTTGCGTTGTGTCCAAAAATTGTTGTGCTTTGTTTTCGGCATTCCATGGAGGAAGTTAAAACAGCACCATCAGTAGAAGCTGAATTCAAATCCAAGGGACGCCAAAACGAACTTGATTGGGGAAGCCCACATCCAAGGGTTGCCAGGGGGCCTTCTGCCAATCCCAACTGCGCCCAATTTGCACCGGGCTGAACTCAAGCAGTATCTCCAGGCTATCAGGTGGATTAGCCTGGTCAAAACTGGATCTGCGGGAGGCCCTCAAATTCGTTGTGCCCAACTGGAACCAACCACCTCGCGCCCCGGTTCCAGATCTACTACCACAGTTCCGGGCATGACTCTCGCCAAAAATTGCAGCATTTAGCTTGCGCTTCACCTGGCCGTGTTCAGAGCAGTGGATTGGATTCTTCAGCCTGCTTGGCAAAGCCTGCAGTCGACATCTGAACTTGTGCTGGCATTCAACCTCAAACTCGCAGGTTTAAGCACGGGCCATTTGGAGCCGAAATCGCTGCCGGTTTGGACGCCTTGAAGGCGAGTCAGCTTGGAAGCAGATTTTCAGACCATCCCCTTGCTGCGGATAACCCATTCAACGGCCGTCTCACCCCCCCCATGCATAATTTGCCCACTTTATGCCTCGTAAAATGGCCGGATGTCCGCACGTCAATCAAAAGTCTTCAAGGTTATTTCTTCGCCGTGGCCTTCTGCACTTCACTCGACTCTTTGTTCTACTCCGTTATTGGCTCGGCCTGTCTGCTTCTTTTTGTTAAGGGCCACCCTGATGTCAAAGGCTCCCAGGCGAAAACTTGAGCCCCAGGAGCGCACTCGTGGATCGTCAAGGCACCCATCGAATCGACCGAGCGGACCGAGGGTCTCGGCCTAGATGCGTGCAGGAGCAAAGCGTGACCGTGGCTTGAAGCATGCTTTAGCCGCTAAAGGCATCATCCACGGAGGGTTAGCTCTTGTTACCAGCTTTCGGTTTGCCCCTTCTCAAGTTGTGACCTTGACGACATGTCAGGCAGGGGGTCAGGTCACCAGCGGTTCTCAAAGGGTCCTGACCCTCACTCTGCGCCAAGCTGCCAGATGGATGCTGACACCGCGATGAGCCCATGCCTCAAGCAAAGAGAGGCATGGATCCACATTCAAGAGACCAGACCATGAAAAGGTTTCAACAGCCAACACTTTGTAGCAAGCTCTCCGCGCTTCTGTAGGAATACACCGCGAAGGCTTAGAGACATCTGAGCTCACTCTATTTGTTTCTAAGCTGTATCACTGCAGGCTGGGACTTGGAGGGATGGGCCTCCCGTTCCAATGGCAAGGGCCCCCCAGTCTCCTTGAGTTGAGGTGCGCCAAGGCTACGCAGGCTCCTTGACCAAGTAGGACATGACGCTCGGCAAGCGCAATCCCCCCCGCTCTGGGGATGCCTTGTTTGGCCCCAGTCCTTGTTGTCGAGCCGGCCGTTTTCAGGCAAACGCGCAACAAGATTAGGCGACCGTCGCGGTCAGATCTCTTGCAAGCAACGCATTAGCCTTGCTCAACTACAGACAATGGTTTGCGTTCTGCTGCATTTTTGCTCGACGGATGTCAGCTTCCGACGGCTGACAGGTGGTCAAGTTTGCATCAACTGATCTAAAGGGCTCTCAGGGGGTGAAGCAAACGTCGTTCCGTTTGTCAAGTCACCAAGCTTCAGCTGAGGACAAGGCCAACGAGCGTCCGGGATGGCTTCTCGGTGGCAACCCGTTGATGCAACGTCGGCCAGCTGACATGTCTACGCACAAATGCGTGCGATAATGGGCTGCGTGAATGGCTGGGATACTGTGCGTCGAACATATCATGATAATGCATTCGTATGCGTGTGTGTGTGTGTGTGTATTGACTCCCGAATCCACTCTGAGCGCCAGGTTCTTCAAGAACTGCCAGGTCATGAACTCGATGCAGGGCTCTCTGGAGATCATGTCCCGCCAAGCCTTCTACCTCTTCGCTGCCAAGAGGAGCGAGTGCACCTTGGACTCGGAAGGCCATAGGCTGGACGCGGGCCAACCACAAGGGGTTGCAACCAGAAAACGAAGGGCTCTATCAGGAATCGGAGGCGTGAGATGCCAATACGTGGTCTCAATATATATATATATATATATGTATATGTATATGTATATGTGTATATATATATACATATATATTTAGGTATAGTATCGTTAAGAGTTGCTTGGCGCTCCACCAAACGCTTTCCGGGGGTGGGGGGTGGGGGGGATGGTTGCATTCGCCAGCCAAATGGTAAGCACACTCGCTCAACTGCACCCGCTCAGCACTGGATCCATGCCTGGCAATGGTAAGCGCACCAGATCAAGAGCACCCTCTCAGCACTGTATTCATGCCAGCTAAAAAGCACACCCGCTCAAGTGCACCCGCTCAGCACTGTATTAATGCCTGGGAATAGATCGCACGCCAGCTCAAGAGCACCCTCTCAGCACTGTATCCATCCCGCTCAGCGCTGTATTCATGCCAGCCAAGTGGTAAGCACACCCCGGCAAAGATGGGAGGTTGCAACGTGCGGTTCGTACTGCGTTCAACTCTTAACGATACTATACTGATATATATATATATATATATGTATTACTAATTATCGCGAGCCGATTTGGGTAAGAATTATACGTCAATTTTCAATGGTCAGAGCAATCAGGCGCATTCAGGTGTCAAGGGCATGAACGAAGGTAAAAAACAAAACGGGCGCTGAGCACGGTCTATTTTTTATTTCTTTAACAAGACTCCACGCACTGTTCATACGATTGTTTTTTAGCAGTCAGCACAGACGGTTTCATTTGTTCGGGTAGACTCAGTCTCCTCGCAAAGTACATATGGTTGAACGTTCAGCGCATCAGCGCACCGATTTCTTTTCTTTGGTAGACGGGCGCAAAACGTGAAAGAAGCTAGCGCGAGAGCGCGCAGAGAACTTGCGCAGATAATTTTGAGCCGAGCACTTGCGCAGAGAAAACTTGTGCAGAGAAATTTGCGCAGAGAGAGAAACTTGCTCAGACACATTTGCTCAGAGAAAGTTGCTCAGAAACTTGCGCAGAGAAGCTTGCTGAGCGAACTTTGCTTTCGCCCCCCCGTTCTTCTAGCGTATGTTTGGTTGGGGGGTTCCCCTATCTTGTTACGATCCCATATGCGTGTGTATATATGCACATATATACATATCCCAGGCGATCCCAGGCAACCCCCCACGTTAGTGTTTCTTCGCCATGTTGCTTTTTCTAAAAGGGTGGTTTCTTTGGTTGCCTACACAAAGAAATGTAATCACTGAGTACAAAATGAGGCGTCAAATCATTGCTCGCAAGGGCCTTTTGTGACTCAATTTTACTTGAATTGTCCACACAAGCAACGCCCCGCCTCAGTCTCATGCCATGCTTAAATTTAGACAGCGAGGATGGAGTTGAACTGCGGGTAGGTTCGGAGTGTTTGAAACTTCTTTTGGTGTCGTCTGTAATAACGCAATATGGTGAGTTGGTGGTGAACACTGGCGAGAAGTTGGGGACGCTTGAGAAGTAAGCAGGTGAGAGTGTTGTGAAAATGTGGGGCTGTTGTGAAAGGAGCGCAGAGTAACAGTTTGAAAGCGGTGAGAAGATTGAGAGTCAGAAGATGGTGGGCTGGTGAAAAGTTTGCAAGTTTGTGAAACGTGTGCAAGTTGAGGAAAAAACGGGAGTCTGTGAACGTCTGCCAAATTTGCGAACAGACAACAGAAAAGATGGCGAGTTGGTGAACCTTTTGGTAAGTGGTGAAAAGATTGCGAAAAGATGACTTTGTAGAACAAAATTGGTGACAAGAAGGTGAAAAGACGGTGGGTTGCAAAAAAATGCACGTTGGTGAAAAGATGGTGAGCTGGTGGAAATCTGGCAAGTTGGTGAGACGCTTGTGAAAAGATGGCGAGTTTGTGAAATTTGGCAAGTTTGCGAAGAGATGGTGAAACGATTGTGAGTTGGTGAACAATTTGCAAGTTGGTAAAAGAAGGTGAAATGCCGAAAAGTGAGCAAGTTGGTGGACAGATTGTGAGCTGGTGAATATTTGGCAAGTTGGTGAAAAGATGGTGAACAGATCGCAAACTGTTGCAAATTTGACAAGCTTGCAACATGTTGGCGAAAGCGAAAATTTGGCCAGTTGGTTAAAAGATGTGAAAAGATGGTAAACAGGTCGCGAGTTGGTGAAAAGATGGTAAGAAGATGGTGAACTGCCGAAATGTTGGCAAAAGTTGGTGAGTTGGTGAAAAGATGGTGAACAGATGGTGAACTGCCGAAAATTTCGCAAGTCAGTGAACAAAGTTGGCAAACACATTGTGAGTTGGTGACAAGATTGTGAACAGATGGTGAACAGATGGTGAGCTACCGAAAAATTGGCAAGTTGGTCCAATTTGGTGAATGTGCGAAAAATTGGCAAGTCGGTGAAAAGATTGTGAAAAGATGGTGGGTTGGTGAAAAGTTGGTGAAAAGATGGTGAGCTGCTGAAAATTTAGCTAGGTGGTAAAAAGTTTGTGAATTTGCGAAAAATTGAAAAGTTGGTGAAAAGATTGTGAAAAGATGGTGACAAGGTGGAACACTTCTGGGCACAGCTGGAACACTTCCAGAACACTTCTTTGGAGGACTGGAACACTTGTGGAACACTTCCAAGAGGTCAGGAATTTCACCATCTTTTCACCAACTTGCCAAATTTTTGGCAGTTCACCATTTGTTCACCATCTTTTCACCAACTCACCATCTTTTTACCAACTTGCAAGCAAAAGAGCCAATTCGCCAAATTTTCGGCAGTTCACCATCTTTTCACAATCTTTTCACCAACCCACCATCTATTCACCATCATTTTACCAACTCACCCTCTTTTACAAGCTTGCAAACAAAAGCGCCGATTCGCCAACTTTTTACCGACTTGCCAACATTTCGGCAGTTCACCATCTTTCCACAATCTTTTTACCAACTCACAATCTGTCCACCATTTGCTCGCCAACTAGCCAAATGTTCGCAAGTTCGCCAACATTTTGCGAACTTGTCAAATGTCCAGCAGTTTGCTATATTTTCACAAACGTTCATGTTTGTTTGTCAGTTCACCATTGTTTCACGTGTTTCACCAGCTTGCAACAAATCGCACATTTGCCAACATTTTCCAAACTTGCCAAACACTTACCAACTCAATCTGTTCACAATCTTATTGCCACCTTTCACCAACTTGCAAACTTGCCGTCAGTTCAGAATCTGTTCAACATCTTTTGAGCAATTTGCAGACTTTTCGACCAGCCACCATTGTTCGCAAAATCTGTTCACACACTGTACAAACCGCTAGGGGAAAACTGTAGTCAGGCCCAACGTATCCCAACTACAGTTTTACCTTCATGATTTAGGCGGTGTGTTGCTGGGGATGCTGGGGCCTGCTGGGGGTTTTGCCGGTGATGCTGGGTGTTGCTGGCGCCGCTGGCCTTAAAAACGCGAGGGAAAAACTGTAGTCAGGCCCAACGTGCCCCGACTACAGTTGTTCCATCATTTTTTGAGCGGTGTGTTGCTGGGATTGCTGGGGGTGTTGCTGGTGATGCTGGGGACGCTGGCCTTAAAACGCTTGGGAAACGGTTGGGAAAAAACTGTAGTCAGGCCCAACGTGCCCCGACTACAGTTTTTCCATCGTTTTGTTTTTTGGTGGTGTGTTGCTGGGGATGCTGGGGGTGTTGCTGGTGATGCTGGGGACGCTGGCCTTAGAAACGCTTGGGAAACGGTTGGGAAAAAACTGTAGTCAGGCCCAACGTGCCCCGACTACAGTTTTTCCCTCGTTTTTTTTGGCGGTGTGTTGCTGGGGATGCTGGGGTTTGTTACTTTTGCTTGTTGTGTGTGTGTGGCTGTCACTGGCCTGCTTGGTCGGGTTGCTGCTTTTCGTGAAGTGGGATTTTCCCAATAGGTTTCTAGTTTGGTTGTTGTGTGTGCCTGCCTTGTTTTCTCTGCGCAGCAGGGCTTTTCACTGGCCTGCTTGGTCGGCCTGGCGCTTTTCGTGAAATGGTTCTCTTTTAGTAGAGCTTCTAATTTGTTTGCTGTCTGTGGCTGCCATTTTTTTGTGAAGCTGGACCCCTTTCAGGGCCTGTAGTTGGCCTGCTTGGTCGGCCTGCTGCTTTTGGTGAAGTGGGACTTTTTTGGAGGGCTTCATCACAATACAGCTGATGCGCCTCGTACTAGTAGCAATGCCCTTTTGCTTGAAAAGCACATATGGCTCGCTATCTAAACTGGCAAACCCCAATGAAAAACGACTGAAAAAGGTAAAAACAGATTAAAACAAATACAAAACGATTAAACAAAAAAAACTAAACAAAGATAAAACAAAAAAGATACTATCTGTTAATATCTTCCATATGTGTTAGTAGAGAATATGTGAAAACTTATTATCTTTTACTTTCCCGAGTAGCTACTCCTAAGTCTACTATAAGTCCGCCGGAACATAGCCAAACAAATCTAAGATAAACATAGGTTAACCACCTGATAAACAGACTTATGTCTGACATACTATCCTCTATTTCCAAGCTATCTGACTGCGAGCCTTCTTAGTACTGTCAACTTGGTACAATTCTATGCGACTTTTGCGCGGCGTATGTATTGTTCAATGATTGTTGCGTATAAAAACCGTTTTACGCATAACCTATGCACAACTTCTGCATAACTTCTGCATAACTTCTGCATAACTTCTGCATAGGAATTGCTTTATGCAGCCTATGTCACTGACAAAACAACTTCTGCATATATGCAGAAGTTGCCCTACTAAAATCAGTATTACTTCTGCATATATGCAGAAGTTATGCAGCCTATGTTTTTTTATGCAGAAGTTATGCAGAAGTTATGCAGAAGTTATGCAGAAGTTATGCAGAAGTTATGCAGAAGTTATGCATGTGTGCCCTCAGGTTTTGCATATTCCACACTTTATGCACACATAGTCACATAGTGTTATAAAAAAACGATTTTGGGTTTGAGGAGCTGCTTTTTGAGGCCGACACCTGATGACATCATCAAGACCGCACTGTCAGAGGACGCGGTCATGACACCCTACCAATGGAAAAATCCCACTTCAAGAAAAGCAGCAGGCCGAGCAAGCAGGCCAGTGACAAGCCCTGAAAAAACCAACTGCACAAAAAAACTGGCAGCCACACACACAACAAGCAAACTAGAAGCCCAATGGAAAAATGCTTTTCAAGAAAAGCAGCAGGCCGACCAAGCAGGCCAGTGACAGGCCCTGAAAAAACCCACCTTCACCAAAAAAAAGGCAGCTAGAGACAACAAGCAAACTAGAAGCCCAATGGAAAAAATCCTACTTCAAGAAAAGCAGCATGCCGACCAAGCAGGCCAGTGACAGGCCCTGAAACAAATGCACCTTCCCCCAAATAAATGGCAGCTATAGACAACAAGCAAATGGGAAGCTCTACTGAAGACATCCCACTTCATGAAAAGCAGCAGGCCGACCAACCAGGCCAGTGACAGGCCCTGAAAAAAACCCACCTTCACAAAAAAAAAGCACTAGAGACAGCAAGCAAACTAGAAGCCCAATGGAAAAATCCCACTTCAAGAAAAGCAGCAGGCCGACCAAGCAGGCCAGTGACAGGCCCTGAAAAAAACCCACCTTCACCAAAAAAAATGGCAGCTAGAGACAACAAGCAAATGGGAAGCTCTACTGAAGAAATCCCACTCCGTGAAAAGCAGGCCAAGCAGGCCAGTGACCGGCCCTGAAACAAATCCGCCGTCACCAAAAAAAATGGCAGCCAGAGACAACAAGAAAATGGGCAGCTCTACTGAAGACATCCCACTCCATGAAAAGCAGCTGGCCGACCAAGCAGGCCAGTGACAGGCCCTGAAACAAATCCACCTTCCCCCAAATAAATGGCAGCTAGAGACAACAAGCAAATGGGAAGCTCTACTGAAGAAATCCCACTCCATGAAAAGCAGCAGGCCGACCAAGCAGGCCAGTGACAGGCCCTGAAAAACACCAACTGTGCAAAAACATGCATTTGATAGTTTTCTTTTTGAACCCCCCAGGTAAAGAACCATCACTTTTGGGACTCGGGATTTTGATTTTTTGATTTGTTTGAACCCACCAAGTAAAGAAACATCACGTTTGGGGCTCGGGATTTTGAACTTTTTGACTCCCCAGGTAAAGAAACTTTTGGGACTCGGGATTTTGAACTGTTTGATTCTTTTGAGCTCCCCAAGTAAAGAAACATCACGTTTGGGGCTCGGGATTTTGAACTTTTTGATTTGTTTGAACCCACCAAGTAAAGAAACATCACGTTTGGGACTCGGGATTTTGAACTTTTTGAACTTTTTGACTCCCCAGGTAAAGAAGCTTTTGGGACTCGGGATTTTGTACTTTTGATTTTTTTGAACTCCCCAAGTAAAGAAACATCACGTTTGGGGCTCGGGATTTTGAACTTTTTGAACTTTTTGAACTCCCCAAGTAAAGAAACATCACTGTGGGGGCCCGGGATTTTGAACTTTGTGAACTTTTTGAACTCCCCGAAACATCACTTTGGGGGCCCGGTGTTTTGAACTTTTTGAACTTTGTTGGTCTCCCCAACCAAGCCAGGGTTATCGACCTTTTTTGTTTGTCCTTCAGTCCAGGAACTCAGATTCGAGGGGCTCTGGATGTTGACCTAATTTGTTTTTCCTAAATTCCCAAGTAAAGAAGCATGACTTGAGCGACCCAAGTTGGGTAACTGCCACCAACCCAAACTAAATGAAACAAGCGGCCCCTCCAACCAACCAACCCTAACTACATGAAACAAGCGGCCCCTCCAAACCAGCAACCGAAACTAATTACACACCGGCCCCCTCCAAACCACCTGAGACTAGAACCATCAACCCAAACTAAAGGGAAAAAGCGGCCCCTCCACACAACCAACCCCAACTAAATGAAGCAAGCGGCCCCTCCAAACATCAACCCAAACCAAATGGAAAAAGCGGAGCCCTCCAAACTACCAACCCAAACTAAATAAATCAATCAGTCCCTGCAAACCAGCAACCGAAACTAATGGAAAACCGGCCCCCTCCCAACCAACAACGAAAATTGAATAAAGCTAGAGCCATCAACCCACACTAAATTGAAAAAGCGGCCCGTCCACACAACCAACCCAAATTAAATGAAACAAGCGGCCTCTCCAAACCATCAATCCAAACCAAACGGAAAAAGCGGCCCCTCCACACAACGAACCCAAACTAAATGAAACAAACGGCCGCTCCAAACCAGCAACCCAAAGAAATGGAAAACCGCCCCCCCCGCACCCCCCCCCCAAACCATCAAATGGAAAAGCGGACCCCTCCAAACCACCGACGAAAATTACGTGAAATTAGTACAATCAACCCAAACTAGATGAAACAAGCGGCCCCTCCCAACCAGCAACCCAAACTAAATGGAAAAAGTGGCCCCCTCCAAACTACCAACCCAAACTAAATGAATCGAGCGGCCCCTCCAAACCAGCAACCGATAGACGGAGAACCGGCCCCCTCCAAACCGCCTACCCAAACTAAATGAACACCCTGAACCACAAACCCAAACTAAATGGAAAAAGCGGCCGCTCCAAACCTCTTCTTTGCAAAGCCAGGTTTTCCCTCTTAATTTGTTTTACGTTTGGGCATTTTCAGATACTTATTTCACTGTAACAGGTACAAATATTATTGCGCCAGGATGATGCCATTGTTCGGATGATGATTCTATATGGCTATGACTTTTTAAAGGCATGTCACGCCCCACGCAGCGCGAATCTTGGTAAGGAGGTATGTAAGGGGGGGGCTCTTGTTAGTCTGTCATGAGAGAAAAAGTGCTTGACACTTCCACAGTTCCAGCACGAAAGTCGCAACTATTGATTTATCCGGCCCCTTCCCTGCTAATTACCTGTTGCAACATGTCTTCTGCTGCAGGGCAAGCTCTTTGCAACTCTGTGCATGTGTTTATCTTGTAATCGTTGTTTAATCTGTTTTTAACTGTTTGTTTTTGTCCTTTTTATCTTGTTTATCTGTTTTTTATGTTTTAACTTCTTTTTTTTTGTTATCTTTGGTTTTTTGCTGTATCTTTTTTCTTTAGTATCTTCCCATTAGAAGAAACAATAGATACCAAGTTCAGACTAAGTGTCCGGTATCTAATCTAGACTATCTACTTACTTTCTCTTATATCTGCACTATCTTGCCACGAGCCTTCCTAGTATTATGTGAATGTCGTGGTAGTGAAAGGAAGTGAACAGTGAACACATCAGGTGGATGACACTACTACATATGATGCACGATGCTTGGGTTTATGTTGTGCACTTGGCCTGCGTGAGAAAATGAAGGTCCGGCTGATGTCTGTATCGGCGGCTGCCATGACCACGAGCTGAGTTTGCACTATTCTGGCAAACCAGAGGTTAGTTTGTGTGAAACTAGGTTAGGTTGCCCTGTTTTGCCGGGGGAAGGGCTTGTCACACCTGGGTACGACATTAAAAACCCCATCCGTCACCCAAATCGGCTCGCGATAATTAGTAATATGTATGTGTATATATATATATATATATATCCTTGCATATGATGCTTCATTTGCGGCTTTTGCGGCGAAGCTCCAGGCAGCGCGCCTTTATGTGCCGGCACGTTTCCCTGTGGCCCAAAGCCAGGCACGCTTCGAGCTGCCATGGGGGGGCGTGGTGTGCCGAGGTCAACAAAGAATGGATTGGTGGCATATGGGCCCTTGCCTCAGTGGTGGCCAGTTCGGCCTTGATCATGCATTGGTTCCGACCACTTGGCAGTCAAATAGGTTGTGAACCCATCCCATGTTGGCGGAACGTCCGTCCCGGTATTTTGTTTCGTGACTTTGAAATGTTTTTTGGGACGACCGTGTGTCGAACCTTCAGTTGGCTTTTGTTAGGCCCGTCCACTCAGCAAGTGGCGGACATAATACTCTGCGAAGTCCTGCAAGTCACAGCAAGAAATGGAGTCGCTGTCAATCCCGTGCTGGTTCACGCAAGCAGCTAGTATTCACAGCTATCGTAGCGCAGGAGACGGGGGCTACTCGCAAAAGCCCAACAGAATTGGGGAAGACAACTAATCTGGACACTGACTCGCACGATTCCTATCTGTTAGAAGGTGAGGGCAGCCAACCTTCATCCTCCCATGTGATGTCCATATCCTTCTCCACAAAGCATGGCCACCAACAAACGGGCCTTGTGTTGTTGTCTTTGCATGTCTGCAATTCATTCCCGGTCCCTCTAACTCAAGCATTTGTTTGCGCCATCAATCTCCTTGCTCTTTCTGTGGTTACATTGAAAGATCCCGTAGTGCACAGCCAGAAACCCGAGTGACGTGGTGCTTTTGATACCAATATAGTCTGCCATACCTCTCGAAGCCTGGGAAGTCAGTGAAGCCATCCTTTCCTTTTGCTCCGGGGTGTTCCTTTCAGCCCCTTGGTGCGCCATTGCGCCTGGGGGGCCCGGGCTGAACAAAGCAGCTGATGGCTTGCGCGAGCCACCAAAGTGGGTCTGATGCAAGGACGGAAGCAGATCTTACCCGCTGGTTGCTCCGACCCTGCACTTCACAACGCCCAAAGAAAGAAACCACGACCACCGCAACAGGGAGTCCCTGCCAAGAACGTCACCCATCCCATTTCTGTCTCAGCAAACCTTCGGAAAGGAGGGAAGTCGTAGGCGAGGACATCTTCAGCTTCCACTGCCTTGCCTGGCTGGGCGTCAAGCCAATGCGGCTGGCCGAGGCTGGGATTGGTCCAAAAACACAACAGGGTCCACCCCAAGAGCAAAATCCAAAAACACACCGGAGGCAGTGCTTGGCACGCAGGTCTTGCAAGAAAACCTGCGCCCTCCATTGGAAGGAGTGTATTATTCTTGTCTCGAGAAATGTCGCGACTGGCAAGGTGAGGTCCAGCTGATGCCGTCCTTAAGTTGAGGGTGGTTTGGTGGTTTGCTGAAGGCCCCGCGTCCTTTGCCATCATGACTTAAAGGGCAACGTGCACCTAGGGCTTCAAGAACCTGTAAAAATGTCGTACCCTGACTAAAATATCGTGTTTTCTCGATTGTCTGAAAACATGTCTTCAGGTGCCTGTTGCGGTGAAGGTGATTAAAGACTGAAGACAGCTGCGCACTCTGTCTGTCAGGCTCATCGATGTGGGCCTTAGATTTTGAAGCATATTCAGTGTGGAGCCCTGCCCCTCATTTGAAAGCTTAATGGGTGATGCCTGTGTGAATTCCACTCCCAACCCTTGCCTTTGACCCTTTGCCCCAAATGAGCGTTTGGCCTCAGAAGCCCATGCTTGAGCGTTTTAACAAAAGCAATCCCGGAAGATCGGGGGCTAGTAGGGGGGTCATGTCCACTAATAATTCGAAGCGGCTGCGTATGCAATTTGCATGATTGAGCAGCTGTTGCTTGATGTTCATTTTGGAGAGGACGTGGGTCCACCTAATATCCCTTATTTTCTGAAAAGAAGTAGGGGGCCTACGCAATTGAACCAACTCGCATGAAAGACTCGCTTTTGCCAGGGGCTCTTGGACACTTACTGCGCCAACTCCAGCGGATGTGCGCGGGATGACCGCAGCTGGGCCTGCTCAAGTGTATCCGGAAGAATCACAACTCTCATGTATGTGCGTTATTGGCGAGGAGACCATACATTTCAAACATGCCCCCACCCCCCTCTTTTGGAAGACCAGTGCAGCCTCCATGGACCCCTTGCCGCTCCACCCGGCTTCAGAACAAGGAACAACACACAAGGCCACAAGGCAATAAAACTGGGGGAGGTTTTCCCTTGTTGTTTCCTTTTTCCGGAGGCCACATTCCAAATTCTACCAAGTTGCGCCGATAGATTCGCTGGAGCAACAACTTGGCGCGCCCCAGGCTTGCCCAACTGCTCGGTCTACCACGCGGCCTTCCACCCGTTGAAGACCCTAGACCAGCAGCTCGGGCGTTGAACGCCAACCCGGGGCATGGTGGCCCTCTTTTGCCAACTGGGGGAGGGTTCAAGTTCATGTTCGCAAGGACCACGGCGTATGCATCTTCCAGGCAAGGGGAAAACTTTGCCCCCAATTTGAAAGTTTGCCTCTTGGCTTCCTTGGGGAGAAAAAAGGAGAACGCAAAAAAAAAAACAAAAAAACGCACCCCGGAAGGGGCCGCTTCATGTTCCCAAAGTGGGGGGGGTCTAAAGGAGAATTGCAGTCTGAAAGCGGGTACTCGCCAGGGTTGTGGAGATCCCTTATGCAATAGTGATCATGGCGAGGACTTGCTTCAACTTCTTGGGCAGGTCTGCGGTGTTTTTGTAAACGGTCGTCTCAGTGCATCTCTGTGCATCTCTGTGCCTGACACTGAGGTACGTGAGATGTTGGAAGGCGATGGGGCAAGTCGACAGCAGAGCCTTGTCAGAAAAGCGCTCATGTGCGGGGTTCAAAACAAAAGAGAAAACATGCAAACAAACCACCCATGTTAATCCCATGCCAATGGTTCACTCAGTCAGGGCATCTAAGGCACCTGCTGCTTCGTTTTTCTCAAGCAGAGTCCTGATGCGAGGCCTTTGTTTGGCCAACCTGCACGGGTTCGCGAATGTTAAATCGATGTGGGATACCGCCCTTTCAGTGTTGGACACCGTTCAGACTTGTTTGCAGCACAGCGTTTGCAAAAAACCATAAGCAAACCGATTTGAGAAGGATCCCCTTCTTGACGCGCAGGCACTTGTGATCAAGCGGTACCCAAAGCAGACTTGCAGCCCCCAGGGATGTTTCGAGAAGTATGCTTCAAGTCTTTGCAAGGGCGTGTGGCACAGCAAGTCCTGTCAAAATCTCGATGTGGGTGTGATGGGAACAACAAGTTTATTTTCTTTTTCCTTTTTGTTTGGCGGCAGGCACCGCAATAGACCACCCCCATATGTCAGCACGTTCTTACCAGAACAACTCCTTCGCGGAGTGTGAATCGCCTGTTAGCCTTTCTCACGCCCATCCCAGGAAGATTAGTTTTGCCCACAATTGTTGGCCAAGACTGTGAAGTCGAGCGGCGGTCAACCATTGATTGGCTCATTGGCACTGAGTATTCTTGGGCGGCCTTGGCGCAGATATGGGGGCTGTGACCAAACGTAATGAAAGGAGTTCGGATACTGGGCACTAGCCCACGAGACATGGCGTAACTTGCGCAACACCAGTGGAAAGTGCAGAGGCCTGCAAGTTGACCTTGCCAGAGAATGTCAAGCCCGGCCCTATAAAAGTGCAGGATGGGCAATTCACAGAGTTTGCAGGTTCTCAGGCTCTACTCTTTGCAGGCAATGTTCGCATGAAATCACTTGCCCATGGCGCATATTGCATCCGAGGCAAAGGGCTCGTGCTTCCGCGGCGCGCGTGACGCGCGGCTGTCCTTGGAGCCTCCCTCTTGTTTGCATGGGCCCCACTTCGCAAGATTCTTGAACCACGAAGCAGGTTTTCATCGGAATCCTCGGCAAAGCACACGAAGCCTGCTTGTTCGAAGGCAAGCCTGTTAATGCGGAACTCGCTATTTGAGAGGCGGCAGACGCATCTCGTTCTAATGACATAGCAGATTCAGAAATTGGATGTTACATGTTGGTGTTCAAAGCCTTTTTCAGCCATGCAAACAGGATGGGCGGGCAAAGTCGGACTTTGCAAGGCGAGCCCCTGGGATCGTTCGCAGCAGCAAACCTAACGAGACTGAAGACCCAGGTCCTTCAGAACGCCGCATTTTAGACCAGTGGGTCGTTCTTCCCCAGGTCAGAACTTCAAAGAGCGGAGTCCAGCACATTGGCTGAATGGCTTGCTGCTCCAAGCTGCAGACAGCGCGGTGGAACGCCTTCCATACGGAAGAGCTCCGTTTCAACGAGCTGGGTAACGTGCAAAGTTTCAAAGCTTGAATCCGCCAGGTTAGAACTTGGGCCGCCACTCAAGTGGCCTTCCAAGCGACTCCTGAGTCACCTGATACGCCCTGACACCGTTGCAGGAGGACGTTTGGTTTGGGAAGGAAGCCTTGTTTAGAATCCTGCAATTCACAATCAAAGGACAGATGTAGTTTAGTATGTTGGTGCAAGCCAGCCGCAAGCTACGACAACTGCAGGCCATTGGGGAGCAAAAATTGGACGGGTTTGTCTCAACATGGTTCAGTGGTCTGAATATTGGTGATTTCCTTTTTGGTTTACCTTTCAAGCAACCCGCAAAAGGGTACCCTCTAGGGAAAATTGCGCCCACATGCTAGCAATCTTCCAAGCATTTGAACCTTGGGTGCTTGACGGTTGTTAGGTGCTGTGGGCCAATCTGCGGGAATTGCATTGCAACGCTTTCATGGAAGAGACATGTCATGCCCAGGGTGGATTCCGATCCCTGGTTTCATTTGTGTGTTTGTGCTCCTTTTTGGGGGGAGGACCATGGAAATGCAGAGGTGTCTAGGGAAGGGCATCAAGTGCGGGAGCACATAAACAGGATCCACAATGCCGAACCGCCTGTTGAGCAGGCAGATTTTTGAAAGCTTGCATGTAGGCACCGCGGCACTCACAAATGGCAACTGTTGATCTTTTTTGTTGGCAAGTCTCCTTCTTTGTGCAAGGATAGCTCGTTGGGGCAGAGGTGGCATGCAAGCTCATGAAAACTCGTTTGGCACGGCGTGCTCTCATTTCTCGGAAAAGACACAAACTGCGATCTGGGCGTGCAGTGGGGCCGATGCAACACCTCAGGCGCCTTTGCGAGGCTGTTGTTTTCAACTTTGCTGACGACTCTGTTTGAATCGGGCCCAGGTTGCACTTCTGGTTGGGCCCGGCTTGAGAAAACCGATCGTGGCTGTGGGCTGCCTGCTTTTGAAGGGCAGTTTCCGCAGAAAAGCAGCCAACGTTTCACATAGTCAGGGGAAGGCAAGCGCTTGACGCTCTAGGAATTTCCGTGTGGTTGTCCTGCCGTGTCCCTCCCACTGCTTACCGCAATGGTTCAAGCACTGCACAACAAGCTGCTACGATTTCCGCACGTCAAGCTGCAGCCCGGTAGGGACGACCATGTCAAAAACTGATAGTTCATCCTTGTGACTGCCTACCTGATGTTGTTGTGAATGCTATCATCAGCCACCTGGATTTGGTTGAAAGCAAGGCAACTCGGCAACTCAGACAACAAATTTGGAGGCTGAAAGTTGGCTTGATTTTTTCATTTCTCCTGGTTCTGAGCCTGTGCTCAGCCCATGAGCCAAGTGGCGACCTTAGTCATGTTGCCGTGTATGTACACACGGGACCGTCCTTCTTGTCCCAGCAAGCTCTTGATGATGAAGGGGAAGTGATTGCTTCAACCCAACGGCACCTTGTTTGGGTACGTGCCGAACAAGGGGACCCCCCAAAGTGGAGGTTGGCCTTGTGGCTTCCCTGCTCCAAGCGTGCATGCACGCCCACCCGTACACCACATTTGGACCCATTCGACTCAGCGACGCGGAGGTGCCCGGCCTTTGCCAGCAGAAGACAAGGCATGGTGCTCCGCAATGTCCATTTTTTTGGACCAAAAGTGGCACTCACTGGAACTTAGTAACCTGCAACTTTTCGAGGGGAAGTCTAGTGAGTGAGCCTTCGTTCTTGTTGTCAGGCCCTCAGTGATCGGCCAATTGACTTGCAATTTGTAAATCTGCCTGGAAAGGACAACGCACATACTCCACATGGTCATTGAACTTCCTGGGGACCATACCCCTTGTGTTTTGGACCGCGCGTGTCACCTGAAAGTTTGCCCTTCCTGTGGGCTCCCTGCAGGCCGCTTTGCCATGAGCATGGAAAGTCTTTCGTGGCTTCCGCCGGATCAGCGCGGGGAGATCGTGTCAAGGCCCTGGAGCCCTGAGGCAGGGGCACAAGTTCAGACCCTGGGGCCCTCCGGCCTGATCTCATTTGTTTTTGCCCTGCAACCCAAACTGTTTTGGAACAGTGCGACGGCTTCCGCATGTTTTGGCCAGTTAGCCCCGTGCAGGTACCTTTGATATCTGCCCGGGCTGTTCCTTGCCTTTGGGTGACCAAATGAGCCCCCGCGATGTCTTCATCGGTGTCATATGTGGATTAGGCTTGGCCAACCATCGATCTTGAGCACCCCAGCTTGCCGCTTTAAGCCACAACGCATCGCTTGCTAACCGCATTGCCAAACCTGTGAAAGTAAGACCTCGTCTCCCAGAAATATTATTTGCATGTGTTTGCCTTGCTGTTTTTCTTTTCCTGAAAGAGCTTGCGTTTCACAACACCTTGATGCCCATCCCGCCAACTTTCGGGAAGGCCCTCATGATTTCGAATTGGAGGTGAGGATGCATGAATGGATGCATCTTGTTTAGAGAGGGAACATCTTTTTCACCCGGGCCCCGCTTTCCAGCAATGCGAGCTTCCAAACCCTCGGATCGTCCACTTCCATTGCCCCCAAACACCTCCCAAACACCTCCCCAAACACCTCCCCAAACACCTCCCCAAGCCCCAAACCCACCCACCCCGAACAAGGACTACGGCGCCGTAGAGCTCCGGAACGCAGCGGCCCGCGGGGCTCTGCGCCTGGAGACGGCCTGTGGCCAGATGGCGCTCTGGTGCCAAATGCGCTGAATGGACCCCTCACTCGAGCTGCGCTTTACTTGGGACGACAATTTTGGTGTTTGGACCTTTGTGGCCAATCCACTCAGCAACTAGGTCCCCCAGTAGTGCCCTTTTACCCTTTTTTGGGGGAGGGTTCCCCTGCTAACATAGACTGCACAAAAAAGGGCACCCTTATTCTAACCTCGCTACTGGAGGACCTAGGCAAGTGACACCCTTGTAGGCCTGCTTACCTGTGACATCGACATTTCTCGCCTAGGTGGCGCAAGTAGGAAGCGCCAGGGCCCGCAAGTGGTCAGAGCGATCGCTTCAATGGACCCGCCATGGAGTTTGAGGGGACCCTGAGCAGCAAAACAGATGAACAAGGGGCACATAGTGGCTATGTGGCAACCTCATGTAACCTCCTAGGGCCGCCTCTTTCACACGAACTGCTACGGGTTGTTTCTGTTGATGGAAGTTACCCGCTTGTCGGATGCGAGTGAAAGGGAAAGCAAAGGGAAACTGCTAGTGGGGGGCTCCTGCCTCCAAGAATGCCTTCAAGTGAATCCAAAAGTAAATCTATACTTCAACTAAAAAAGGACATATTGGGCCCTTTCGTCCGCATGTAAAGGACACCGGCGAAACTCCAAACTGGAAACGTATGGTAACTTGAGGCAGCTGGAAGTTGACCTTGTGGTTTGGCTGGGGCCGTGGGTGCCTTGGGATCGCAAAAATGAGGCTCGAGGTCGATTGATATCACTGGAGAATACGGAGGCTGCAGTCGGAAGCTGCACGGTTTGGTCTCAAGTTTTGCAACTCTAACTTCCTGCGCTTCCTGGGGCTCAGGAGGTCCACCGGACCTGACACCGCCATTTTGTGGGGTAATATTCAGGTGTTGCTTCGGAACCTCTCAGGTATTCCTTAATTCCTGGTTTGGATCGGTGGCTTGGGGATTTGACCCTTTGGCGCCTGGCTTCTGTAACTGTGAAGGTCCCCGCGCCCTGACCTCCAAACCACGTCCAAAGTATTTGGAGTGAAGCTGACTGAGGTGTCGGAGGTGCGCTTCAGCCCGGAGGGCTGCGAGCTGCGCGGCCGGCCGCGGGGGAATGGAGCCGCCGGGCCCGCGAGTTCCTTCGCGGAGGGCTGGGAGACGCCCGCGGGGGACTTCCCGGGCTGCTTCTCCCTGCGGTGGTGCTGGGAGGCCATTGGCCGCAAAATGTGTGCCAGACCCCTTTTTTGGGGTGTGCCAGACCCCTTGGGGAGACCAAACGAAGGTTAAGAGTTGTGGTTTTCGGAGGCCATGCCAGGTTGGGTTGAAATTACTTGCTCATTTGGAGGGGGCATGCTTTAACCAAGTCCAAATTTGTTTACTGGGGGTTCTGGATGTTCCTTGCCTGCGTCAACAAAAGTCGGGTAGAGCCAAAACCCCCCAGGCAAACTCCAGGCAAATAACCTTGGTTGTAACCTACTCACTAAGTAGGTAGCACAACCAAGAATGCAAGTGGTTAGCCACCTGGGTTATAGGGTTATACCCCACCAATAAGAAGTTGTTTACTCCACATTCGCAGGGTGACGCAACTAAGTGGATTGGTGAGTGGTGGTTTGCCATGTTGTGTTTACTGGCGTATTGTGGGCCAAGCCATTGGAGTCTGACAAAGCTAGATTAGATGCGTGTGTGTTTGGATTATGTCAGTTTGATTTTTGCGTGGAATGGGCCAAATGGGTTTTTTGGAAGTGTGTGGTAGTGTCAGCCCCGGACTTGATCGGAATCTAGCGGATTAATAGGGATGTTGTTTCTTGTAGAAGCAGGAATGAAGGATCCTATTCATCCCCTCTAAATTATCCAGATGTTTGCTGATCCTGGGTCAACATTAGCTGGGCACCTTCGCTGGCTGGTCGGCATCATATGCATCATGCATGCTGCGTTTCTTTCTCGAAAGGTGCGGGTTCACGTTGACCCCCGATTCATTCACGACTGGGACCCTCCCCCGCCCTCCAACCCCACCTCCATCGCTTTCTTTTTTGGTTTTACTCTCCCCCAGACTAACATGGAAGCTCCCAGGACCCCATTGGAAGACTTGGTTCCATTTACAGAGGCCTTCTGGAAGCTTCCATGTTAGTCTGAGGGAGTGTAGGAGTTCGATGAGTGCTGGCTGCTCTGGGCGGAGCTCGGCACCGCGGAGACGCTGGTCCTGGAATGCATGGAGGAGAGCTGGAACCATTTGCGCCTGGTGACCTGGACGACGTCCGGCCCACCCCATTTGGAGGTCGACCTCCTTCCAAGGCCGCTGGCCAATCCCAACCAGGACCCCCACCTGAGTGGCAGAGATTTTGCGTTTGGCTTTTGACACCCAAGAAAGACTTTTGTTCCCCGCCATGCCCAGTGAAGGATCTGCAAGTCAGCCTGCTGAGCTTCCAAATCGAATGTCTCAAGCTGGAAGCAGAGCCACAGTTTCGGCAGCAGTGCGATGCATTGCAGCAGCTCCTCCAACATATCACGCAGCCGAAGCCAGAACCGCCACCGCCACAACAGCCGCAGCCACAACAGGACGGGCGTCGATTTGGAACCCGCATTTTTTTTGAAATTGCTTGTGGACCTCCCACGAACATCTGGAGGGAACCCACCAATCAGATTTAAGCAACCTTTTGGCTTGGAAGAATCCCATCACCCACAGGAGCCAGACGTGGAGATTCCGCCAAAGACGCGGCCGGAGAAGCCGGGCGACTCGGACTCGCTGCAGCAGCTCCTGGCGCAGATCGAGCAGGAGAAGCCGCAGGAGCTCATGGAGCTCACGCCGCCTCCAGCGTCCGGGCTTTGATGCCCGGGGGTCTCCAAAGCAAAACCATTTGTGGTTTCCGGGGTCTCCTCCTTCAAATCCAGTAATCCAGTTTCAATGTTGGGGAGTAGGAATGGAGCAGAATGCAGAAATGTGTTTTTTTTTCCCCGGTGCAATGTTGGGGCAGACTAAAAACGGAAGCAGACTCTGGAAATGTGCCTGTTTTCCATATCCTTCCAGGTGCGACTTTGTTTGGGGCAACCCGCTGAGGAAGTGAGGCCACTCGAGAAGCCGGAGAAACCCGTGCGACAGAGGGCGCAGAGGAAACCGCAGTTGCCGCAGGTGGGGGAGCAACACGCCAAACCCAAGCCCCGGCGAAACTCGTGCGTTTGTTGAAAGTGGCCCTTCTCATGTTTGGTGCAATGGGAAACCGAGAGAAAAGCCCCTCCCCCCATTTTGGGGTGCCAAACTCCTTCACTTATGATGCTTCTTCCCTCTAGAAGCATCATGGGCACGTTCAGTGGCACACTTTTGCCGGGTGTGTTTTTGTTGAGGGTGCCCCCCCCGCGTATTCGCTTAAAGGGAATCTACCCATTTTTGGGGCTCAAGGGGGGCGGGGCTGTTTGAAAGGGACAAGGAACCAAACCGTTTGGACGTTCCTTAGTTTGTGGACACCATGGCAGGCCTTCGTTCCAGGGGCCCCTGGTCTCATCGCGCAACCCCCGGCCCTTTTGAAGATGCAGCCCATGGCACCGGACATGGGCCTGTGGCAGGCGAGCTGAAATGCTGAATGGAACGCCTAGAGGATGAACTCTTCTAAGAACCTCTCCAAGGAGGTTTTAAGCTCAGAACAGAATCTTTCATCAGGGCAGGGTTCCTTCCAACAAACCCTTCTCGAAAGGAAGGCTTGGGCCAGAATGAGGCAGCCTGGAAAACCATCTCCCTTGGCTCTTTGCGAGGTTGCGCCTTTATGTTTGTGCTTGGAGAGTTCAATCGGTTTTCAAAGAGGTGACCCATGTGGCTTTGGCCCAGGCCCCGACCTACGCGGAGGGCATGGGGTGGTACGGCCTTTGCCCGGCTGCGGCGCATGAGGCCTGGCTCCAGGCCCAGGCCCGAGCACTGGCGCCAGCCCCGGCGCCGCCAAAACCGCCGAAGCCCCCGCCGGAACCTGCCCAGCCAGAGGAGGAGGTCGACCGCCCATTGGGCAAAGTCAGGTGGGGTGTTTGTGAGCGCTCCAAATCCTGGTTTGCCGACTTGCTAGGAAGTTTCTATTCCCTGGTTTGTGTGCCTGTTTGCAGTTTTGCGTGCTTGCTTTTGCTTGCAGTCGCTTGCTTTTGCTTGGCTATTGCTATGATTGTGTTTGTGTTGTTTTGCTTTGCTTTGCTCGCTGCGTTGAGTTTGTTGTTTGTTTTGATTTGGGTCGTTGGCCGGTTGGGGTTTGGTCCTCCGTTTGTTTTTTTGGTGTTTGTTTCGTTTGTTCGATCGGTCGGTCGTTCGTGTTTCGTTTATCTTTAATGTTGGAACGTTGTTTGCACGCCATAGCTTTATTCCCTGTCTGACCCTACATGCGTGCTTTAACTTGCTGCTTTCAGATTTGAGTATCAAACATACGTAGGGGATTGCCGCTTTGCCGCAAACCACCGCATCGCACATGAGCAAATTGGAGGCATCCAAGCAAACACCAGCCAGTTGAGACAGACTTGTTACCCCTTGCATGTAATAAAAGTAGGGGGGCACTTCCAACTTAAAGTTTAAAACGACCAGATGCTTGACATGCTTGTGGCATGTAGCATTGCAGGGCCACATGTTGGAGCTTTCAAAGTTAAAACATGTGCCTTGGTTTGTTTTTGTTGGGTTTCTGTCAAACCACCATGAGGGTAACTGTTGGGATGTCACTTTCCAAAGTAGACCCAGTTGGTCTACACGAGTTCCGTTGTGGTGATTCTCAAAATTAGGGACGCCCAAAACATGACTGGCGTGTTTGTTGGTTCCCCTTCAAGATCCAAAGAGGGGTTACCAGTAAACTAACTAACCACATGGGTACCACCATGTGGGTAGCCTTGCGGATGTGACTTGGACCCAAACGACCTACCGGAATCTCCCGTTGTTCGGCCAGGTGCTTCCTGCCCAACGCGGCTTTGCCGGGGGCAGACGGGCACCTGCTGAGGGTGCAGAGCCTGAAGTGCGGGGACCGCGTGCGGCTCTGGGGTGGCAAGGCCGGAGCCCAGCGAGTTGCGAATTGGGGCCGTTTTAGTGGCCCCCTTTCCCAGCTAAGCCTCCAAGTTCCTGCTTGGATCCGTTTTGAGCAATTGTTGAGCGAGGTTGGCGGTTGAAGGCCAACTCAAAATCGTCAACTCCAGGAAGGCTTCCCATTTTTTTGCTAGTTCCACTGGGCAACTGGGTTATCTTGTGACCTTTTCAGGAGAAGTCTTGATTAGCCACTAAAATGGTCTTCCAACTTAACTTGTGGTGACTGCCAATGCATGGGGCAGGGTCCAACCTTACTCGTTGCTGCCTCAAACTGAACTTCGAGAGCGTGGTAAGTCTAGTGGTTGTACCTGCCAGGATAAAGGATATGGCCAGGATATGCCTAGGTCCCCCAACAAGACCCCATTAAGTGGCTAATTGGCACGGCCGTGGAATCCCCCCCCATAGACATTTTGTGGGTTCTCCGATTTCAGCCTGCGAGGAGTCTGAGGTGCTGGATGTGAAGCACACCAAATCCAAGAAGAAGCCCCATGACCTCGTGGATCTCAGCCTGGGCCTCAGCTGCGTTGGGGGTCGCCGGGTTCGTTTGGTCCGGGGGGGGGGGAGAAGGCTTGAGTCATAAGTATATCGTTTTTTGATGGTGATTGTTTCCTTTGGTTGCGCAGTTTGAACTTTGCCCTTTCTCAGATGCAATGACAGGAGCTTCCTTTGGACGGGGTCCTTTACCTGCATGGACATCTTAAAGAAAACACGTTTGCCAGTCCCCTACAGAGGAGACAATCGTCAAGGAAGGGAAAGGGGGAGGTAGCATCGGGGGTTCCATATGATTTGGAAGACTGCTTCGCCAAAACAGGAGCAAGACAAGTAATGCCACAGAAACCTGAAATTGCGGCACACCCGGTGTCAAACAGAACCAAGCAGTTGGTTGGTTGGTTGCTTCGCAGTCTCAGTGGCTGGGCTGTTCGAAAGCAATCCTGCATCCTTACCAGGTGTCATGAAATCGGGTTCTTTGTCCGTTGTACCAACCAGGCTGTCCTTCCCAACCCCCCTAGAACGATTCCCTACTGAGCACCGGGTGTGTCGTTGTTTGAGGGTCCCCTTTTAGAGGGTTTACAGGGAGGCCAAAAGGCAACCAACCATTTTGGGGGGGTCCTTCATCCTGAGAGACACCCAGCCAGCTGGGCTGTTCAAAGGCAATCCTTAATCCTTAGCTTGGGTTACGAAGGGTTTCCCTTGGTGGTTCCCCTTTTGCGGATTCGGATTGGCCGATCCCTTCGAAGTTTGAGACACGGCAACATGACCTTTGCCCAGGCACGCACCAGGGCGCCTTTACTGTCTCCAAGGCCCAACGGGTTACAGTCCCGGACCCCAAAGGCGCGGGAGCCGGGTTGGTGGAAAGGGAGCTTAGGCTCAAGGCATGGCAATGGACCCATATGGACCCTGTGAATTGATTGTTTCAGTTTGGCTCTTATGCAAATCGTTTCGCCAGTGGAACTAGGAGAGTGGCTCCTCATTGCAAGAAAGTCCGTAATATGAGTCACCTAGCAGATGCTGAAAAGTAGCCGCCTGGTTCGCGTCTGGATTCCTTTGAAACTAAAGAGAGAGGGACCCCTAGGTTTGACAACAGCAAGGCTGAATCAAGCCATGTCTTTGAATTTGTTGACTTGATGCGTGTTGATGCATCATAATGACATAGGTCAAGTCTTGCAACAAATGTGCGCTGTCCACTCTTGAGACCTTCCGAAGCTTGGTACGAGCGGTAGCGCATTTGCTAGCACAAAGGCTGAAGCAGTTGAAAAAGACATACCCCTGATGAATGGTTGCTGTTCATTTCAACTATTCGCGCGCAATTGTTTAAATGGATGTGTGTCAAACTGGGGGGACCCCCAAACCGGCGGCTTGGTGACATGGACTTGGCATCAACAAGATCAAGCCACATCAATATATGTTTCAGGCCTGCAAAGGGCGAATCTGGCCAGATTGGGGGAACCGATGACGATCGAATCCGTCAATGAAAGTGAATGTCTTCACGGGAGGAATGCGGCTGTGTGCCCACTTGGTTTTGCTTGTCTTAGTTCTGGTAGGCATGTCAGGCAGTTGAGCCGCTTAGCAGGCACCGTTGTTCCTGACATCTGGGGAAGGCAAGACAGGAGATACAATAGTCATGTGCAATTACCGAAGCAGTGTCAACTGTTTGCTCAGCGAGGCAACTGGAGTCGTACAGTATCCCTTCCAATTATGTTACTACGCGTATCCTTTTGACCGCGCGGCACCGCGCAGGCCCTCACGATCAAGGTGTGGGTTCATTGAAGTCGGGTGATCTGGTGATAGTTGGCAACAAAGAGCGGGCGCTGACCAAGGTTTCAACCAGAAAGGACAGGGACATGGCAATGCACATGACGAGGTGCCAACCGATTTTCAATTGATTGTGCCCCTTCGTGGCCCACTGTTCCCCACCAAATCGAACAATCAAAGCATGCCCACGTCGCTGTATCCTTGCTCGTCATATACCAGCTATCGGTTTTGTGGTTTGAATCCGTTTCCTGAAATGCGGTGCCTTGCCACTGGGTGTGTGGGATCGTCTCATTTCTGCAACATGCCGAGAGCTCTATTTCAGTGAGCTGGCGCGCGCTATAGGAGCGCACGGATATATACGAAGTCATCCTGGACGCGGACGGTCCCCTGGAGACCTTCCAGGCAGATCTGGTCATGCGCTCCCATGCCTTCAGGTCTTTAAACTTGAGAATCCACTGGAACCTTAGGCCAGATGGGTTTCTTACTTGTATCATTTGGCTTATGAGCAACACTTCTGGCTTTCATTTTTGAAAGTTGGTCAAACTTTGAAAGCCACTTTCTCAGGTGCCCAGTTGGGGGATCCTGACCTTGGGCTGCCAGATGGATTGATGAAAGCGGAGGCGGGCAGCTTGAGGGTTAAAAGGGGGGGGGCTGTGATTTGGTTGGAAGGGCGACCCAACACCCACCCGCCGAAGCTGGCTGAGAAACATAAATCAACGGAAGCGGGCCGGGGATCCACAGACAGTTTCCCAGGCGTGTCGATGGACAACCTGCGGACGCAGGTGAGGCTCCGCTTTGCTTGGCAGCCGGAGTTCGGTATGGGCGCAGAAAGGCTGAGAGGGATAGCACCGGAGCTTGCTGAGTTCAGCTCAGGGCTCAGGTCCCCCTCTCCCTTGCGCCATCTCCCATTGGGCAGCTTCATGATTGACGGCTCTCGTTGTGAGTCGGGCTCGCAGAGCTTTGAACCCAACGGGACTTCAAAGTCTTCCGTTGCCTGCTATTCTTTGAATCCGACCTCCAGTGGCAAAGACGGCTATACGAAGCGACCAGACAGCTGTAAAAAGGGGCAGGTGGGTACTTCTGGGAATGGCAAACTTCAGAGAGAGCGTGCAACACCATCCAGGCAACGGGATCGAACGGCCTTACATTTTTAAAATCCCTTTTTCGCATCAAGGGATGTCAGCAACTCCGTGTTGCTTTGACTTCAATGGTCTCGCATAGCCCTGGATGGCCTGGCATCATTTGATGATTCCCTTCACGAGGGCACTTGACTTGAAATGGGAAGCATTCTCGCAGCAATGGAACCTGTAGCGGCATGAACGAAGATCTGACATAGCAAAGCAGTGCCTGCACCCTTTTGGCAAATATGGGGCTGCTTGGGGCATGCGCATGTGCGTGTGGCAGAGGAGGGGTGGAAGAGCCAGACGAACTTAAACTTAGATGCTGGGAATCATCGGGTTGAGGCCTTGACAAGCGCCTTGTGCGTCTCAAGCAAAGCCTGGCCCCACACAGCGCCATGGCGTGGATACTCGACTTGTTTTTTTTCTACTTGGTGGTCTGCGCTGTCGACGTTTTGAATGTTTCCTCGATTCAAAAGATCCCAATTTTTGGATAGAAGTGTGGATGATTCAAGTAGTCGTGGGGTACTTCATTCTTCGCGTGTGGAAGTGGGGCCACTCGAACCTCGCTTGGCCACCGGCCAAATCCCGTGGGGAGGCCTCCACAGAGCCGTGGGCGGCTGAAGGCTTCAGCGGCATGGAGCTTCGGTGGCGCCCGGGGGTGGAGGCGTGGGTTTGCCTCTATGAGGTATGTGGGGCCTCATGTTTTGGTGGCCGGCAGGAGGCGGTGTTCGGGGCTTGGTTCGGGCCATGTGGCTGCATGCTGTGGGACTACAGCAGCCCTTTCCCGGTGCAGCGGCTCCTTGCTACGGTGGCGCTGGGAGAAGGTGCCCGAGGGCTGGAAGGTCTGGGCCGAGGCTGACACCGGGGAGACAATGGTGCTAACGCGAAACTTGAAGAACAGCTTGCCCCAGTTTCAGTTGAGGGGCTCATGCCATTTGGCCGTCTCCTGGATCTCTTGGGCTGAGGAGGTCGTGAATTTGAAGAGAAAGACAGCAGAGCTCCAGCAGCAGTGCAGCCATCTCGCGCAACAACTCAGCGACATCAGCCGCCAGCGACATCAGCCGCCAGAAGGATCGGGAGAGGCAGGATTTGCAGCGGCAGCTTGACCAATCCAGGCATGGCCTTACAGTGCTTGCCAAGGACAAGGCGCAGGGCACGCGGCAAAGGAATGCCTTGCAGCAGGACAAGCAGGATTTGCAGCAGCAGCTGGAGCAATCCAGACACGACTTTGCTGTGCTTGCACAGCGTCAGTTGAAACAATCAAGGCATGATCTCGAGCTGCTTGCCCGGGAGAAGTTGCAGGAGGCAAAGCATAAGCAGGCCCTTCAGCGGGAGAAGGTGCTGCTGCAGCAGCTAAGCAATCCAACTTTACCCAGGATCCCCCCTCCGAGCCGCCTCAGCACCAAGAGGAGCCCTCAAATTTGTGCATTGCAAGTCGCTGTGGGTCACGATCCAATGTGGGGGCTGTGGGGGGGTCTGTGTTTGGGGAGCCTGTGGCTTGGGGAATAGGTTTGCCTCCAGACCGCGGCTGAGCGTCACCGAATTGAGCGCTGGCCCTGTCAGGCGTTCAGCGCTGCACATGGGCCTCAATCAGATGATGAAATACCAGGCCTGCTTGCGTTGTGTTTTGACGTTAGGGCACGCCGAGCGTTTCCGCAGGCCAGCGGGCGTGTTCACCACTTCTCGGTCCAGCTTCGATAGCTTCCAGCATTGCATCTTGGACTTGCATACTGGAAAGCGAGGCGGAGGAGCGATCGACCAGCGACGCGAGCAGCCGCTCCGCCAAGTGTTTCCTACCCAACACGGCTTTGCCGGGCGCAGATGGTCACTTGCTTCGAGTGGAGAGGCTCAAGGCTGGAGACCATGTGCGCCTGGCAGATGGCACGGATGCTGCAGTAGTGGAGGTGAAGGAGCACTGCTCCGGCAAGAAGCCCTATGAATTGGTCGAGCTCAGCACGCACCAGGGGCCTTTCACCGTGTCCAACTCTCATCGCGTTGCAGTTCCTGTTGCAGGCACTCAGGGTCTTTGTGTGGGGTATTGGCATTGACCTGCGGTTACACTTATGTAGTTGCTAGGCTTGGAATCTTTCCTGAAGTGCCCTCCTTAGACTATTAGAGGCCTAGGGTTGTGAAGCCAAGATAAGCCAAGGCCCGGCAGGATTGCAACCAATAGGGATGGGGGCTTTTCTCGAGATAGAGACCTGTCGCCACCGGCCGGGGGCCAGGCGCAGATTTGCTGAAGGCGGGGGATCTGGTCATTGTTGGCAAGGAGCGGAAGCTGACCAAGGTCGCCAGCCGCAAGGAGCCGGGAGATTCGGCGATCCGATCGCTCTAAGTAGACAACATGTTTGTGCCCCCGGTTGTGCTTTGGGGACGTTGTGTGGCCAAGTTCGTTTTTGCTACGCGGGTTTCCAGCCCTAAGAGGGTCCAATTGCCAATTATCGAGAAGACCCTGTTTATGTTTAGGTCCTTGCGTATCAGCAAGAAGCATGCTGAGAGGAGCGCACGAATCTGTACGAGGTGATTTTCGAGGCAGACGCTCCGCTTGAGATGTTTCAAGTGCAAAGCTGGGGGATGCTGACGTATGGGTCAGTGGCACGGGACATGATTTGTACAGTTGCAGGGAGTATGGACGGGGCATTGGATTAGAATCTGTGTAGAGTTTCAATGGTTTGACACATGCAGAAATGAGGACAATGCCAAGATGTGCTTGCAGCGTGTTACTTTGCCAATGCCCCAGTCAAGCAAGTGGCTGCAGGAGTGACGGTTCCCATTGTGAGTCGATTTCTTAGGACGCCCGGCCCAATGAGTTTGCAAAGTCTTCCATGGCCAGCTGGGTTTTTGAAAGCTGCCGAGGCGCGGCGAAGACTGCGTCAGAAGCAAACCTATTGAAAGAACGCATGCGGTCGCACCGCATCAGCAGCATGGTTTGTTATAGGCTATAGGTATATTTGGGTTGTAGGTGGATTTGGTGTTTATCCCCTTCAAATACATGGAACTCAAAAAAGGAGTTTCCCCAAAGGGAGATTCCTCTAAACATGATGGTTGTTGGGGTTCCAACGAGTAGCTGCTTGTGACAGCTTGTGCTCGAATGTCAAGCTTCAGGCCCGTGCGGCCATCCCCCGCGCATGGGGGGGCCGACAGCCCAAGGGGTGGAAGGATGCCAGGCAGCTTGTGGGGGCATTATGCTTTGCCCAAACGGCTGCAAACGGCTGCAAGAACCAGCATATTCATGGTCGACCTCGCCACTGCTCGCAACTCATGTCGTCCGGCGCTCATGTCGTCCGGCGCTGGGTGACATGAACGAGGCGCCAGTCTGAGCTGAACAGTTGTGGTGTGCAATTGGGCCCTTTGGAGCGACCGGGCCAGTCCTATCCAGCATCCCTTGCAATTCACATCCCTCTTGTTGAGACTCGCTGGTGACAATCATAAGTCGTACGCCTGAAGCATCTGTGAGTTGCAACATGTATTAGCCACGAGGCGAAGGGACGCGTTTGCAGGCACTGCTTGCTGGGAATTACTTTATGGCTTTTCCATGGCACCCACAAAAAGTTTAAACTTTTTGCAGAGGGGCAACCAAGGCTATGTTCTTGTATGTTACTGTAATTATGTTCTTGCACGTTCTTAGAGAGAACAGGCATTCCAGGAGAGCCGATGAGGCATCAACCCCCACTTTTCTTGGCCTCCTTAAGGTTATACCCTTGTCGAATATGCAACTGCTTCGGGTGGACACGTCTTGGTTGCCAGGTCGCAGCAGTGGAGGCCGGGTTGACAGCTCCGCGCCTTCGCGCCCCTTCGCAGTTCGCTCTCGCAAGATGCTTTTTTGGTTGCAAGTTTGAACGAGCAACACCCTCAACGATGTCCACCAAAGGGTCACCAGTTAAGAAGCATGCCCATTCGCCTACGCGCCTGCGACCTGCCTGAGAGCTGCCAAAGCAAGCCACTTTGAGCACCGCCGTCAGCCTGGGGACCCTCGCAAGGCATGGGAATAGTTGCCTTGTCTAACTTTAGGGTGCTAAATCGCTGATTTCTAATGGTTTCCTTGAAATGAAACGGAAAAGAGAGACTGCTTTGGATTTTCCGGACCCACCACGTTTGGTTCTGAACCCATAGTGGGGAGATGGGTCTGGGGCTTCCACGTCGAGTGCCAGGATGCGGCGCTGGCGGCGCTCTGTGGCAGCATCAGCCTGGACCACTTGCAGCAACAGGCAGGGCTTTCGCGCTGATGACGATGAGCTCAGCTGGAAGTGAAAGGAGCCGCCCATGATGAAGGTCTAGGGAATTTATGACAATTTCGCTTGCTAGAGGTAAACTGCCCAGTACGTGTCCCCCACTGAGAGACACACATGATTGGACTTGATGACTGGGAGGGTGTGCGACCAGAGGGGCAGCTGGTAGGAGGCAACGAAAGTGAAGTAATGTGTGAAAGCAGACGTGTCATGCAATTCTTGCATGAGTTTGCGCTTTCGAGGGCCCCTAGGGTTGAGACAGCTGCTCGGCCGCCCGCGTCAGGGATCAGAGGCGGAGATGCGAGCAGGGCTCCCTGCAGGGAGGCCACGACACCCCTACATAGGCTGCTATTTTCTGTGGTAAGCTCCCATTGGGGGTAAAACGAGCCCACCATGAAGGTCCTTCTCGAAGATGCCTTACTTCAGCTTCTGCACACACTGTGCGGCATAGAGAAGTGACCGTGGCGCAGTGGGCAGTGGGGCATACCCTCCATGAAGAAGGACATCCTTCTTCCCATAATTGTTACGGCGCTTTGTGCGTAAAAGGGAGGTGATGTATGGAAGGGGGGGGCCTATGCTTTCCCAGTTGGGGTGGGGATGAAGCCACCGATTGTTCACACCTTGCGTCGTTCTGGTTATGCTAGGAGGTGTTGATAATGCCTTGATCGCCCAAGGGCGCTAAAAAGCCGGGAACTGTCTCGCATTAATGAGCTGTTTCTGCCACAGACGGTTGCGGTTTTAATTGTCAAGTGCGGCTATGGCTTGCCTGCCATTCATATTTTGCAGAGTTTGCCTCGGGCTGGGGGCAGGCAACATGCCTTAGAGGCAAGCAGCAGGTCGGCTTTGGATGGCTAAGATGTGCTGGGGCCTTGTTTACGGCCATTTCTTGTGCACGTGTTTATGTGTGTTTGCTCATGGGCATTTTCTGGAAGGTTTTCCGTTTTTCCGTTTCGGTTGTTCAACAGGCAGCCAAAACCCCCGTCGCGCGGGCTGGGGTAGCAGCTTCTACGGCTCTGAATCCGATGCACAGAGATGCAGTCACGTACGCGTCACCCGTTTTCAACTGTCCCCTTTTTGCTCCCCCTTAACCGCATATAGTATGCGGATACTCATTTATGAACATTTATGAACACCATGCAAAGACATGAGCACATTTATGTTCATAATGCGCATGCTCGTGTGATCTCGTGTGCATGGACAGCCCTTAGCGTTATCACTTGGCTGGAAGGATCGAGCTGATGGTGAGAGGTAGCAGCACCTAGTCGAAGTGTTGCGAACAGCAACGCCGCGGACACAGGAACAGTTGATTGCTTCGCAGAATCGCTTTGTACAAACTAGTGGGATATGACGCACTGAGCAGGGCACCACGTCACCGGGGAGCGGGATGAAGCCATGGTTGTTCGCCTTCTTAAGCATGGCAATGGCGCAGGATGCGTCCCTAATGGAAGCTTGGCAGCAAGCTGGTGGTGAGCAGGGCTATGCATCACTTCAGGTTGTGTTTTGTTTAATGCTTTTACTAGGCTGTACTGCCAATGAGTGGCGACAACCAGCTTGTTGGATGTGCGCAACTGTTTGGGGCGTGAGCTGCCAAGGACACACTGTTCTTCAGCCACGCAGGCGGCTGGGCTTGAGGGATGCAGACTCAGATTTGATGGGAGCGAATGGAATGATTCGCTACATAATTTGTGCATGTGCCATCCTTAGTGCAAGGTTAGCATGAAGCTATGGGGGTTGTATGCTCCACCGTGCGGGCGAATGCACGGAACATATCACGATCTGCCCAATGCACGCGCAAAGACCGCTTGGCGGCCATTTGTGCCTTGATCGTGTTGAACATCCAGTTCTTTCCAATTTGCTTTTGCAAGGTTTCAAGGTTTTCCTGGATCTTTTGCCTGGTGCTAACTGCTAGAGGGTGCTTTGCGTTTGTGAGCTGCGTGTCATCAGCAAAGCAGTTTTGTCGCAGACATGGCACTGCCAGGAGAACTTGACTCGCTTGAGCCATGCTTCCCAACCTATTCTAAAAGGGAAAGCCTCCAGCATGTTTGCCACTGCGGGGAGAACAACTTCCATCCCACCAGCAAGTGATGAAGCAACTTGCCTGCATCTCGCGCTTTATTGAGATGACTGGTCAGCATAGATCGACCATCTCAAAATACACGGGATTTGTAGAAGCAACAACACTACCACTGTTGTGTTTAGCATTTGGTGTTTCATTGTTGTGTGGACATCGACCGCGCTTCATTTGTGCGGATAGCTGATATTTCTAGAACATTCTGAGGATGAAAGGCATGTCGTTGGGCCTATGCTTGACGCTTCGCCCTGCAGGGCCAGCTGACCGCATGAAGGCGCAGACGCTGCAGGAGTGTTGTCCCGTTGTTTGCGTTGTAGTGGCGGTTGTTTATGTGATTTGTCTCAACTATTTGTTGCTTGGATGGTTTAATTGTTTGTTTGTTTGCTTGCTTGCTTGTTTGTTCTTCTGTCCGTTCCCCATGTCCTGAACCATACTTTTGTCCCCTGAAAAAGTTTTTTTGTTCGGCCCAATTGACACAGAAGGGGATTCAAAAGCTAACTCCGTTGCGACAATCGAACGAGAATAGTGGAGGATAAAAAAGGGAGGACCCAAGACTGTGCACACGGACGCACAGGAAAAACAATCGTGGCAGCATTGGACCAAGCCAACGGAAGAGCCCACAGCAGGTGGCCATCGGGGCAGATTGCTTGAGGCTTCCGGCAGGCTCTGAGGAGGTTCCGGGGAAGTTGTGGCCAGCGCAAGACACGGGTCGGAGGACGTTTTGTCTCGTTGTGGGGACTTGGTTTTGTTTAGGGAACGAGTATTGTTTGATGCTGCTGGGGATGTTCCTTGGGCTTATTCATGTGGTGAGTTGCTACAAGTCAGTACGATTCAGGGAGGTGAGGATTGCAGCATTTGGACTTGCATTCGGCAATATGTTCAGCCTCAATCACTCCATGCAACTTATCAGCTTTTTTGGATAGCAAAAGGGCCATCCGGCCCCAAACCATATTTTGCAGCAACGGCAAACTGTTGAATGGCAAAAAGCTGAACTTCCATGTTCAGTTTTTGGGCTCAGCCGCAGACGTTCCTTTCTCAGGACATCTTCGGCACCGACGCCGGCAGCGGCGCGCTACCCCCGGCGCCCCCGCCCCCTGCGCCCCCGGCGCCCCCGGCGCCCCCGGCGTGGCCGCCCGGAGCGCCGGCGCCCCCGGCGCCGCCGGTGCCCGCAGCACCGGCGCCGCCGGTGCCGGGAGCCCCGGAGCTAAAGCCTGAAGCTGGATCTGTTCAGAGGGGAAAGCGGAGGAAGCCACTGGCGCATCATCTGCTCTTTGCTTTTCACGCCGCTTTGTGACACCCGGGTCGACCCAGGGTAAACAAAAGGTGCTAATTGAGGATACGCCAACTCACCGACGTCGAATCAACCACGAGGATTCCAGCAGTTTGACTGGCGGATGCATTCCCTTTTTTTCTGAGAAAATGAGGCCTTGAAAGTGAAAGCATGAAGCGAAACCAGCAACGCCCTTCGACTTTGTGGGACAATGTGTTGGTTTTCCCACTTAGACACAGATAAACTCTTGAACGCCTGGGAGCCTTTGTTGGTAAGCCTGCCATCCACGAGGGCAGGCTCGCCTGGCGGCGCCTGGTCTGCGGTGAAGCAGCTGCTCGGCGGCAAAACCACGACCGCCTTGGGCTATTCTAGTTTCAAAGGAGTTTTTGGGGCTCAGCACCACTGATTCAGTTTGATGTATTTCAAGTGTTCGTTTGCCAACAACACGTGCCACGCATTGTGTGGCGCCGGTTTTGCCATCTATGTTCAGCTGGGGTTGGTTCTTGCGCCATCGATTTTCCGCCAACCCCCGCGGTGAGCGCCCAAAGGCTGGCCTCGGCCGCCGCCGGGGAGGCGGCGCACCTGGCGCACGAGGCGCGAAGAGCCCGGTCGGAAATGCCGCCGAACGAAGCCCGAAACAGCCCTACAAACGCCGGAGACCCTTGAAAGAACAGGGAACTCATGTGCTGAAATGAGGCATTCAAACAGTTTGCTGGCAGGAAGGCTAGATATATAGGTCTCGACGAATGTCATGCCACCTCATGGCTACTTGCCACTTAGCTTTCCCTTGCCATTGTTGCCCTTCGATTTTGTTCGCGAAGGTTTGCATGAAGGACTGGCAACCAGACAGCACCAATCATGGAAGCCACCCCATCAGCTTACGGAACTGCAGCTCAAGTCCGTCCGCGACTGTCAATGACAAGCCCCCGCTCAAGGGCAACTGATACGTGGTTGCAAAGCGTTGCTTTGGCATGGTGTGGCTGATAATTTTTCTTGCCATGTATCACTCACTTCTGAATAAGGCATGACAAGCGTTGGGGTTTTGGGGCGTGCTGAACTGAGGCTCAATCGCAAAAGCACGTCGACCCAGCAGGGCATTCATGCCACCTGTTTTTGTGGAGAGGCAGGTCTCCTTATCAGCCTCGAGGCAGGAAAAACCCTTCATGTATTAGCTGAGTGGTCAGCACCCCCCAGCTGCAGCCTTGAACAAAATTTGTCCTGAACCTTAGGAGCTGGAATTCATTTTGTCTCCCTACCTTCCTTCATGAAGCCAAAACATAGCACTTTCTTCATATGCTTTGTTGACTGGGCATAGCGGCATAGCACGTGGCTGATGCAAATGACCTGAAAGAGAAGGTGCCGCAAATCCCTGAATATTTTCCGGCCCGTGCCGCATGGCGCACGAGTAGCGCGGGGGGCGCGGGGCGTGCTGGATCTGGCCTATGGTGGCTGCAGCAGGCTCGGTGCTTTTGGGCGCTTCGTGCCATTGTGCTGCGCATGTTGTCAACTTTGAAAAACTCACCTGGGATGAAACGAGCTCACCTATGAAGGTCCCAGTTGCTTAATTCAGGTTGGTCCAAACATCCCGAAAGCGGCATGCCCCGATCACTGAGGAAAGGTTCAGTCTTTGTGTGTGCCTGCCACGGCCACGGCATGACATGATGGGGGTGGTTTTAAGTAACTTCGCCTGTGGTCGAGTTTCAATGCACTTCGCAGTGCTGGACATTCGGGAGTCTCTTGCAAACGTGTTTGTGCGGTGGCATCGATCCCCAATCCACGCCTTCGACCCTAGCACACGTGTCGTGCGCCTTTCAGAAACTCCGCTAGCAAACGGTGCCTCAGGCGCATTTCTTAGCGCAACATTGGAACTTTCGGCATTTGCCTGGAGTCATTCAAAGCTTGCAGACCTCGCTGCAGGGCTGACGTTCGTAGGATCAGTGCCAGGCGCACACATCACTCATCATCACTTCTCGCTCTCCAATTTGGCAATTGGCCCTTCCAGCACTTCCCTAATTACCTGGGAGGCTTGAATCGGCCTAGACTGCGGCGCCTTCATTGCCAGCGTGTCATTTGGAGGTGTCTTTTCTTGTTTGGTGCTTGGTTTGTCTTTTAAAGTCAACTGTGAGGGAAAGTTGATTTGGGGGGGGGGGATTTCACCTGGGTTTGTCTCAAAAGGGGGGACCCCCAACATGTGACCTTAATTACGTTTCTCCTTGAAATAACCCCAGCAAAGGTCAAACAAGGAGCACGCGTGCCACACCCAGATTTGCAAGTCAGTCCTCTTAGGTGACGCGGTGAGTTGCTTGTTGTTTTTCTCGGGGCTTCCTGCGATTCTATGTTCATCTCGTGCCCGACTCCAGTCCTGCTGTCGCTGGTTCTCCCAGACGGATTGGGTGACCTCAGTTTCGGCGCCTGCGCGGCGCGGGAGTTGAGGCGCCCGCTGCTGTGGGGCAGGACCAGGGGGCTCAAGGGGAATGACCAGGGGAGGGTTTGTCGAAAATCTGGGGGTCCATTCGGAAACCACTAAAAAGGATGATGTTCGCCACTAAATGGACAGTTACCCATGGTCGTTTGATGTTTTGGGGCCAGGAATGTTGATCAACCCGCATGGCCTAGTTCCTTTTGGACCCTACTTCCGCCTTGTGCCGCCCAAAAAGCGTGGCCCTGGTTTTGACAACCCCTCCCGTGGGACTTTGAAAGCTCTGGTAGATGCTGTCATAGGTTGACGGGTTTTTACCCTTTTGCCCATGAACAGCAAAGGTTGGTGGAAGGCCAAGTCTCCGTTGGAAGCTGCTAGCTCTTAGTGAAGAAGACGGTTTTAGAACAGCTCATTAAAAAAAAAAAAAAAAAAAAAAAACGCTTCCTTTGCCAGGGGGACAACAGCTAAGATTTCCTCAGAACAGCTCATAGGCAGACAAGGGACAATAGCTTGCAGCGATCAGCATGTGAAATGTGCAACAGCACGTGCAGCTGCCTGCCTGGCTGAAGGCTGGCGCAACCTGTTTGCCTGGCTGCCTTATGGTGGCCAGCGTTTCCAAGAAACTGGGGAGGTGCTTGGACTGGATGTTTGACTGACAAATGCGGGATGACGGAGCACTGAGCAGCGCCCGCTCGGCTACTCAAAGAGTCTGAGACACCTCGGCTTCCAGGACATATGGCATGAAGCAACCAGCAAGTGGGTGGCCCAAGCCCATCAACAATGTAGAGTGGTTTTGTTGGCAAATGGGCTCAGACCAGAGCCGTAAAAGGGTCAATGCCACAGATACAGACCGGTCATATCAAGCCTCAGGAAGACCCAACACGAGATGGATTTGGGCGACACTTCACGGAAGCTGCAGAGCACTGTTATCCCAGTTGCCACTGCGCATTCTTTTCAGGATCTATGCTTCTCCCGCCGCAAGGGAGCAAGGCGAGGATTTGGTGGCTGCATTGCTGCCAGAAACTGCATCTTCCTTGGTATTTGACTCTCAGATTTCAGCAGCAGGAAAAATCTGTGGAAGTAAGGTAAGGGGACTGATTGGTCATAAAGTCCCTGCTCAACAGTTGATTTGTTGTTCGATGTCTTGTGCCCCTACCAAGGTACCAATTGCTGCAAGGCTTTCTATGCTTTAGGCAACCAAGTCCTCCTAAATTAGGCCATTTCCTGCAGTTCTGACGTGGCCACGCTAATGATGCAGTATGCGGCGCACGCTCCCGATACGCAAGCTGACTGTTTGCAACATGATGTCGCAGGCTCCTGATGTGCTTGCAGCCTTTCGCAGCATCCTTTCCCAAGGACAGCTATGAAGACTTTGCGTCGGGACTGGCTGCTGGCAAATTGGACCAAAGCTGGGCAGAAGCCAACAAAATATTTCTAGCATCCTGGCGGTTGCTCCTGTCGGCAGTGGGATCCATAGTTGTGGGGAACAACGCGTTAATGGGATTATCATGCCCTCGGATGTTTTTGTCACTTTACAGTCAATCCGAGTGTTAGCTTCAGACTTTTGTTGCCTTTCTCTTGAACATGCAGCAGCTCGTCAAGCGCTTCAGCACCGCTGGGAGTTTTCTTGGCCTATGGTAAAACTCGGCATGGTCAGACAACCAAACTTTCCACCAGTTAGAATTCGAGGAAGCTCATCCCCTTTCTATGTTTTGTGTATTTTTTCCGTGTTTGGTCCTGATTTTAGTCAAGGTCTCTGATGTTTTTGCTTTTTGTTTCTCGGTCCCGCAAACACGTCCTTGAGTTGATCCCACCTTGGCCAAGGCACCCTGGGTCTTCGGCTTGGCAGACTCGGTGCTGACGCTTGCACGGCGCGCGGGCCCCGGCTTCCATGGATGATACGTAGCTGCAACTTAGCCAGCACAACATGATCTTTGACTTGGTCGCATTTGAAAACCACACATCCAAATTTGATTTCAACCACATCTGCTTCCGTCGCAACAGCTAGCGAGGAGGGTCTAGCTTAACACCGCCCCCCCCCCCCCCGCCCTATGCCCCGGAACCCTTCGTATGTGCCTTCAAGGCCCAGCTTCGTTGTTTCAACCGATTCCCAAGCCTTGCCGCGTGCCGTGTTTCCCGCCTCGGGGGGGCCAACATGGAACCGAGTCTAAGGCTGAGTCTAAGAACAAGTTCCAGGGGAAATCGCGCTCACCCAGATCCCTGGACTGTTTTGCCCAGGCAAGGCGGAGGTCCTTTAGTTCTGCTTTTTGGGTGAGGAGCAAGTAGACCTTTCTAGAACCTCTTCCAACCCTGGATCCCACCGGGGTTCTACCTCAACTTACCCCATTCTTGTTGGAGAGCCTTCTCTTCAGACAAGCCAAGTACCCAGGAGGATTCTGAAAAGAACGGTTGGTAAAAGGAATCCGCACTGTAAAGGAGATTGCGTTGAATCCAGAATACTGGTTGCTGAAAAAAAACCTGCGTGCAACAAATCAACAATGGGTTCCACATTCAGAATCTGAATTTTCATCGCCCCAAGTTTTTGAGGTCTGCTAAGGGGTTGCCATAGAGGTGGCACAGGTTGCCCACAGGTTTCAAATAAGGCCAGCAGCGCCGGTTCTGGGCACTGGCGGAGTACGGCCGTGGGCACGGGCACCTCCACAGTGCCGCGGCCGAAGTGCCGAAAGGAACGAATCATACCCCGTGCTTTCAACCACAGTCACTGCAGTAGGTAGCCAGATATGTGTACCTGCAAGGATAACTGGAAGCACTCGGTTCGGTGCTGTTTTAGGGTCAGTTTTAGTTGAACATAGGTCGCGCTGAACGGGACATCCTTGCCCTGGATTGAAGGGGACTCAGTTTGTTGTGTGGTTTCTCGATGGGGGGTAGGATTGGCAACCCTCCATTTCGAGCAGCCACGCAGTAACCAGGGATGCATCAGGGTAGCAACGGGGCTTGGAAATAAATCATTGAACAACCACTCCCAGCTAAAACAAAAACTGAGGGGCCAAAAGCAGTAAGGCTGTGATGGGAAGCATGGGTAGCTGGGGAGTGGGGGTTGGGGGCCTGTCCAGGGTTGTTTGCACCGCTCTGCGGTGCCAGTCGCGGAAGTTTGCCAGCTCGCTCTTTTGTTTGCAACTTGTAATGCTTGTGCGTGCTGCCCCGTGTGGGTTAAATCGCGTGGGGTTGGAGATCATCGATAGGGTGGTTGGGAAGTAGCTGTTTGCCCTTCTGGCTGCGAAGAGAAGCAGGGTGCTCGAGGAAGCCAGCGCCAGCCCCCAACCAAACAAAGTGCCTTTGTTGATGCAGGGGACGGCGGTCTCGCAGGAGATGCTTTTTTCCCCCAATGCGGCTCAAGAGTTGCAGGTTGACCGACCGAATGATTGCGATCCGCTTGTTGTGATGGCTGCATCATGCTCAGGTTATTCCGACGGCTTGGGGGTGCATATCCCCACGGGCTGGCAGCGGGGCCCAGAGAACATTCAAGGAGGTGTGGCTTGGGCTGGCAAGAAAGTCGCTGGGTTCCAAGCGCTTGGTTTCTAGTCAATCCATGAGGCAGGAGCACCCAAGGTGCCGAGGGAAACAGGCAGATGGCTGTTGTCCAGCTACTTGCAGGGCGTGTAGTGACGCGTTTGTGCTTTGGCGGTTGCTTCAGCTTGATGTCCGGCTTCGTTGTTTCAACTGGCATCGATGGGCCGGATGAGCAAGAAAGGCAAGGCAGATCCACTGACTTCACGGTGCCATTTGCTTGATGACTCAGAACCACCGCAAGCAACGGCACAGGTCTTCAAGACCATCCTCACCGAGCCCCTGACCACAACCGACGCCTGTCCAAAAAACTACTGTTACTTTGATACTGCTTTGCGTGTTTGTCTGGAGGGCATTCTCAACTGGTTTGGACGTGTTTGGCTAGATTGGATCTAAGCAATCAATAGCCCAGCGACTTTCTAGAAAAACAACACACTGATGACCTGGCCAGATCACCCTTTTCCCAGCAAGCACCCGTGCCATCTGTGTCAGCCCGCCCTATTGGGTCCCGTGCGCCAACTCCGAGGACTGGGTCGGCCACTTCCAAGGTCTCCTGTCGCTGGCGGAGCGGCCACGATTGTGGTGGGCCTACACTCGGAAGGACTCCGTGCGGGTGCACTCGCCTCTCGGTGCATTTTGCCGGGCCAAATTGTTTGGAACCGCCCGGGTGGGTATTCAGGACCCATGTTGGACGGGAATCCGGAAACGCACACGTAGCATTTCCGGGCCAGGATTCCATGCCCGCAACGAAACAGCCATGGGAGGATTATAGTTGCCCTAATCAATCATATGAAAAGTCTGGAGCTAAGCCTCAGATGCTGCAAGCACGCACGGGTTTTGGGCTGGGATTGGGGGATGTGGCTGCTCCATGTTGGATGTGGCGAGCCAAAGCATTGAGGGCAGCTTTCTTCGGGCGGGGGCTAGCATTGCTACTTGTTTACCAACAGTCGGAATCCGCTTGGCGAGCTTGGCATGTAAGCCAATCTGTCAATACGCTTAGGGCGCGCCTGCTGTTACACTCAAGGAACAAACTCGCGTGGAGCGCCCATTTGTGAAGGAACCACACGCCTTTCCGCTGAGGTTCCGCCGAGTACCCTGCGAGAAGCCCTGGCCCTGCGCCGCCAAGCCGGTGCCGTTGGACGCGGAGGGGGGCCTCGCGTCGGGCCAGGCCCAAACGGCAGGCGGGAGGGTGCGAGCAGGTGGACCTGCACAGGGCGACCATTGCCGTGTGTTGGATCCATCTTCTTTTGTGGAGCAGTACCCGTTTTCCTTCTCATTGTTTCATTGTCTCTTCTTCTGTTTGGTGTGGTGTGTGTGTGTGGTGTGTGTGCGTGTCTGTGTGTCTAGACGGGCCTCCGAGCTGTTAGGCTGTTGAGGCCACGTCTCACTCTTTCAGAGAGCGCTGCATCCCTGGCAGGGTCATTGCTCAGGGAGAAGATTGACACGGTGCTTGCAGACTCGAAAAAGACCGTTTCCTTGGGTGTGCAGCTGGAGTCTGAGGTGCGGGGTTCTGTGCTGAGATTCGCGCGAACAGTTTTATAGGATCATATAGGATCATTGCAAACACGATGGCAGCACGAAGCTCATGTGTGTCCTGGTTGTATTTGCGCATGTCCCACATGAAATGCAAACTGGCTGCACCAGCCAATCTGCCTTGGCAGGTTGATGCTGGCGTGGCGGGACAGCATCTGGTATTGCAATTCAGCCTTTGGGTTTAGCTTTGTGGAAGCCACACATTGCGCTCCCGTGGCAACTCTTTGTGGCTGAAACCTTTGTTCGCTGGCCAAGCCGGCTGCCGACAGTCAACGGCAACTTGAGACTTGGAATGAAACTTGGTTCAAGGGTTTGCCAGTCAGCACTTTCAAAACGGCACTTGAAACTGTAGGCCATGTTTTAAGGTGGGAGGTGAGCAGGCTGAAATTAAGCAGACATTGGCACGGCTCTGTACCCCCAAGCCGCACAGTTCCCTGTCAGAGGCTTTCGCAGCTGCTCGTGCACGCGCTATCGCAGACGGCGGCTGGCCCTGAAGTGCTGGTGGCACCCAACGCAGGCCAGAGGTGCTGCGATTGGTAGCCTGGTCGAAGCATGTCGAAGCTGAGACATTTGCGCAACTTGCGTGTGGGGACGTTTGATTGGTATTTAGCGTGTCCATAAAACAATTTACATGAAAGTTATTGGTGTTGTTTGTTGTGCGGCGTGTGGCATGTGGCTCTTTCTTTCCACAGGGCACACACGTTTGATGATTGAAAGGCTCCCTACGAAATACGTTGCACGAGGACTGTGTCAACGTTTGGCATTTGGATCCCTTGCCCTTTTCTGCACAGTGATGGTTGTGGAGCATCAATCCCAGGTGCCGACGGAGAGTCGAGACTATCCTTTTCCCGTGGGAAGCACCATTCAGCCCGTAGGGTCTGAAGCCCAGCTTGCAGCGCGCAGTGCTGCCCGTGCACTTGCAAGGCCTTCAGGAGTGGGCTGGCCAGGATACGGCCACTTGGGTGCAAGCAAGCGTCAGGAGGCCCAATTTGGATGGAGGAGTTGTTGACATTGCAACTGCATAGAAGTCACTGCAAGGCTGTCTGCATGGATGTGTTGGGGAGCCACCCTACGTTTAGAGTCTACCATTCAAGCGCGCCCTTGCATTCAAGGTATTGACAAGGCCCATCGGTTGTGCAAGATGCGGTTTGCTCGGTGCTTGCCTTGCCCTTGAAGTATGCAAGGTAGAGATCACGTCTCTGGAGTTGATCAGCCCATCTGGCGAGACCACGGTCACTTGGCTTGCTGGCTTCAAGTACTTACGGGTTTGTAAGGGGTGGCGGGCATGGCGCATTCCGGAATTCCATGTTTTTGTTTGTATGCGTTCGCCCTGGCACGAGTGGCCTGCTTGCTTGACGCACCTGTGTGAGTGTAAGAGAAGGCGAGAACAAAAATCAAGGGATGGCCTGGGCTTGAATCCCACGCCTACACTATTACAGGAAACACATGCACCAACTTTACATTTTAACACGTCTATGTGTTTTCTTCACGTCCTCAATGACATTTGCATATGCTCGTTTGAGATAGGATTAGGATTAGAATGTTTGCATACTTCTGTATAGATGAAAATGGGTGTATTTATATATTTGTGGGTCACTTTGCTCCTTGTAGCGTCTCTCAGGCCTTGAAGCCCAACAGGGTGGTCTTTCTGGTTGCGCGGCATATCCCCCGCGCGGAGATGCGGAGCTTCCTGGCGCAGTCCGAGCGGGAAGTGGTGGCCACGGGGGACCAAAGTGTGGCAGAGGCGGTGCTCTTGGCATCTCGTCCGCAGGATGCGGATGCAGATGGGAGGGACCTTGGAGAGATTGGTGGTCCCGCTTGGCTGCACTCATGGCTGCCTGCCTTGCTTGCCTTGCTTGCCTGACTGTTTGCGTTCTTGCCTTCCCTGCTTGCTGGCCTGCCTGCCTGCTTGCCCGATGCGTGCATTTTGCTTGCTTGCTTGTTTGTTCGGGCGCAAGGGCGTTTGAACTACAGCAGCCCATTGGGCAACTTCGGTTTGGCCAAAAACCAATCTTTTCCAACTTGTTAAGAATGCTAGAGGCAAGGAGAAATCAGAACTTCTGTTTTTTAGTGGGACTTTGGCCCAGTCAGCCTTACCATCAGCTCAGGGCAAGGTGCCCTTCCAGCCGGATGCCAAAGTCTCCCAGTGGCGCGCGGCCCTGGCGGCGGACGTGGCCACAGTGCCTGCCACCGGGCCAAAGGGCCGGGGAGTGGCCCGGAAGTGGGGCCGGGGCACTTTTGGAACCCAGGCCCAGCCCGCCCTCCGCGAGCAAAACGCATGGAACCTGACAAGGCCCTCTTGACATTCGGGAAGATGATGGTGGATGATTGCGTAGCTTAAAGGAGGGCGGAAGCGACCCAAGAGCAGAAACGCAACCTGCATGGTGGTGGCTATTGGGACCTCTTTGCTAACCCGTTGTAGGGAGGGGTTGTCCTACCTGGCTTAATGGGGGATTGTGGTGAGGTTTGCAGCGGTGTTTCCTGGAATCAATGGTTAGACGCCCTGGTCGTCGTAGAACGGGCACCAACGGGCAGTAAACCTTCTCAGGGGCCCCCTTCAGGAATACAAAGCTTCATGACCATCTTGGTAGCCGGGCTTTTCCTTGTCTTTGGTCTTGTTCAACTTTTTTGGCTGTTTTCTTCACGTTGTCTTACCGAAAGTCCACTCTGGTTTTGGGCCCCCGGCGAACTGAGAGGATCTGGGGCAGACGCTGCGGGACCTTCTCTCCTCGGAGGAGCTCCGCCAGAGCTTGGTGAACCAGTCCCGGGCATACAGCGAGCTGGCTGCAAGCTGGGGGCAGAGCTGGGGTGCCAGAAGCGCACACAATAATATGTGTTGGAGGGGTTCTCGAGGGTAAGGAAGCTAATCAGCGGGCAAGAGAATGTGTTAAGTCACAGGTTGTATTTTCCGGACGCGTTCTTAGCACCAGGAAACAAGCAGCCGAATCAGCTTGTGTGCTTTAAGGAGGTGGCGAGACAATTAGGGAGCCTGGCAGTATGGGTGAAACTTATCATGAAATTTGCAAACATCGTTCTGGCGTCAACATGTTCAAAAGGGCTGGCCCAACCTTGGTTGGCAGTAGTTGGCAGGGTCTGGTTCGCGGGATTGGCTTTGGAGTCCCAATGTGTTTCATGTCGAAGTTTAGTCAGCTGTGGACAGGTCTCCAAGCTGACTGTTCGATGGTTCGAAACATAACATGTGAAGATGACCGCTATGCAGTCTTTGTGCATTTCCGACGTGCCCTTTGGTTGATGTTTTCAGGGGAGCTGTCACGTGGACACGCAACGGGCTTTGAGTGGGTCGAAAAGGCTGAAGCGATCCCTTGCCTAAAGATCTCCGATTGCTCGGCTTTCCGGCTTCTATGCGCATCCTTGTAGCAAGCAATACCTGTTTCGCCGCAGTTCGCAATCCAGCAGGGCCACCAACAACGTCGTTGAGTTGTCCGTTTGAGCATGAGGCAGATGTGTCTATTGCGTTGAGCATTGGCCCTACGAAGCACGTGAAGGAGAGGGGCCAGCCCCTCCTTCCATTGTTTCTAGCTGTGGAATCGTTTGCACTTGCACGTCGTGGTACGATCCAAGCAGGTTTAATGCCTCATTCCGACAATTCTGGAATGCAAGTGCATGAAATTAACAGGTCATCAAAAACTTCAGACTGCTAAACTCGTGGAAGTGCAGTTGGATGTGATGTGCTGGCTCCACCATTTCCCAGACCGGTAAAAAGTACGAGCAAAGGGTCGCAACAAGGTTGGATCCACAGCCCAGGGCGCCGAAGCCACTAGATGAAACGAACAGGACACCCCGCTGAGGTGAAGCTGTTGAGGCTCAGCTGGGTCCGCAGCCCACAGAGGAGATGTTGCTGCTTGCTCGTGCGGGCATGTATGGCTGAAAAAGGAGCCGCAGCGGGTGGAGTCTGGGTGAGGTCGCAGGGGTTGCGTGCCTGTAGCCTGCGTGTAAACAAGGCTCGTGCTAATGTTGAGATGGCCTGCTGTTGATTGCAACGAGCCAATGTGTATGCTTCGGCTTCTGTTGCTCTGTTCAAGCGTGCGCTGCCCCTCGAACTAGCCAACAAGCATGTCAGTTGACCGGAGGGTTTGCGAAAAGAACAGCTGACTGAAGCACCCAACGTGCCTTTTTCTAGGTGCGAGAAAAAAACACTCGAATTACCGATTCCTGCTCGACCCCCAAAAAAAGCTCCTCCCCGAAAACATGCTCGCTCAAATCCCCTTCTTCCATCCGGAGGAAGGCGGGCAATAGTTACGTCGTTTTTTTGTTTGTTTTGCACTCGTTTGCGGATATTTGATATTTGCGCTCGCTTTGCAGGGTTTGGGAAAAAACGCTCGAAGCAAGAAAAAGTGTACGTTGACCATATTTGGTGACGACAACCTGTTTTTGCAATACGTTTAAGCTAAGACATTTTAGGTAACGAAGGGCGCTCCAGGGGGTCTTAATCGTTCCTTCCGAAGAAGGAGAGACGGAAGGGATGGACGACTATCACCCAGGGGCAGGCAACAAGTTTGTATTGTCCCTTGAGCCTGTCAGGCCGTCAACTCTATGAAGGCGGCGCAGCAGGCCTGGGTGCTGTCAGCCAAAAAGTAGTTGAGAGAGTGCCCCAAAGTCAACCAGCGGCCCCTTCATGCATGCTCACTCGGCTTCAACAGGTGCTGCGTGGCAGGTTAGCTGCGCGCAGTCGATTTGAGCTTCGATACCACAGCAAGTTTTACGCATGTAGTACGCGGCGATGGTGCCGGAAGGAAGCGGCCTTCGAACGATGGATAAAGAGATTCAAGCAGTGGGTGTCCTGAGGGTCCTTTTTACAGGCTGCTGCTGCCAAGCGGGAAGAGGAAAAGTGCCTGGGCTGCAATTTCAGACGCTGATTGCGGGCTAACTGGAGCAGAGGTGGGCATCCACACCTCACGGATACAGCGAAGAGCAGGGATGCCGTCGCATTCTTGACAAGAAAGGGCCGTGATAAGTCACCACCCTGCTTCCCTGGCCTTGGCCACGCTAAGGCGCTGGGCAGACGAGATGGCTGCCAAGCGCAAGGCCGCAGCCCGCAAGGCCGCAGGGAGCGAATGGTGGCAGTGTCGCGCGGATTGACGGCTCAAGGGGGGAGCTGTACGTCTGTACGTGTGGAAGAAGTGGGCAACTTGCTTTCCCTTGTTGTCTACGGGGGCTCCGGGGGGCTGGGAGAAGTCAGGATGAAGAATCGGTCACCAGGCGAGGTCTTGGTTTGAGGCGGCCCCAGGGACTGCAACAGGTCCTCGGATGGATGGGTATGGCATGCGACGATGGTCAGGCATTGGTTTTGCAATTGCCTGGCCGAAGCTGACACACATTTCGGGCATCACCCACAGATCGTTTCAACCCCGTCGGGCAGACTCAAGGATAGCAGCAGCAGATAAAATGCTTTGCAAAATGTAAGCCGAGAAGTGGACGGATGTTCCATGCTAGCTGAACAGTTGTTCACGCTGTGCGGCAGGGCCAAAGAAGTTCGCGGCCGACATTCAAGATTGCGACTGGGCCGCAATTCAAGGTGTACTATCCTACTGAAGTAGCGAGGGCAGGCACAATTAGCTCATGAAAGTGCTCGGGTCTCCAGTCCGCAAAGAGGGCAGAGCCCGGATCACGCAGGAGCGTGGCTAGATACATAGCGTTTTGGTTTCCCAGATTTAACGCATGCCGCACGGTTAATGGTTTTGGATACTTCAATCCAAACCGTCCAAGGTTTTATGGGGCTGATGGCCCATGCATGCTCAGCATTTGGTGGATTAACGTTTGGCCTTGCATTGTCTACGAGCTGGATCAGATGTTGTACATGTTGTGCGCGCATCGCTGTCAGGAACGGGACTTGCGAAGCCACACCCCGCTGTGGCTTGACAAGTGTCACTTCTCACTGAGCTGTTCATCTTGGGCAGCCAAAATGTCCAGATGGACCTCACTTAGACAAGGGTAGTTATTTTCCTGCATAGCAAGGCCAAACAAGCATTTCCAGGACAAGAGGTTGTGCTCGTGATGGGTCGACGCCTATTTAGTAATCAGGTGTCAGTGCACCAAGGCCATTCCCACTGGTGGATTATTATTCCCTCAAGTGGGACCCCACGCGCTTGATCGACCAGGAGTGCATTATGGTTTATTCATCCTGGGCCGGAGCCGAGGAGAAAGAGGCGCCGGAGTCCGAGTGTTCCATCCACGAGTTCGTTAAGTGCAATGGCTTCGAGCGGCAGCCACGCAGCTAGCACGGCGTGCGCTCGCTGTATGTTGCTGAGCAGAGACCGTTCAAAGGCACTGCAGCCCGAGAGCAGCATGGATTATTTGTTTGGGTGTGTTTGAGGGTACCATTTCAAAGTCTCACCTAGATTCGTTTGCACGAAAATCAAAGGACAGCCACCATTTTGGGAGTCCCATGCCATCGACGGCCTCTACTGTTTCCAAAACGGGCGTTGAAGTCGGAAGTGTACAGGGCCCCGTTCCAGGAGGAAAGCTGTCTTTCAACAAAGTTCTGTGCATTGCGTTGGCGATGGGAAGAGAACTTACTTTGAGCACTTGCTTAAGTTTCATGGCCTTGTGGTGAGACGACCGCTTTTCACAAAATTGCCCTGGCAATTCAGGGGCAAAATGTGCCAGAAGTTAAGCAGAAGGCATCAGGAACAGTGATGCAAATTGATTTTCCAATGCTATGCAAAGGCTTTTTGGTGTATATTTCAGGGTGGCCGCGGTTCGATTGAGTTCAGTTTCCAGAGGCCCAACCTTGTGGAATAGTTTTCCGTTCGGTACCTGGTACCTCTTGAAATCTAGTCTTTGGTTCAAGTGAAGCCAACTGCAGTGTTCATTGCCGGCGCGGCAGAATCACCAAACGCTGGAAAGAGTCTTCCCCTTCCCCGAGAAGTGTGAAGCAAGAGCAAATCGGGTAGATGGCCCGGATCACCTTAGCTTATGCCCCCAAATGAAAGAGGAGACATAGTTCAATTCACCTTGCAGCAGAATGTATTTTGGACTTGGCTTAAGCATTTTCACGGTTCGCAACGGTTCTGTTCCTCAACGGTTCGGTTCGTTCGGTTCGTTTGGTTCGCTTCCACGGCATATATTCGGTTCTTTTTCCCGGCTCTGAACAACGGAGCTGTGCGGAGGTAGGGTGCACAACTGCCAAACTCATCGGCTTTCGGCCCTTGCCCTTCCTTAAGGTCATTCAGGCGTTCTTTGTGCAAACGCGCCACCCCACGCTTGTCATGAAAACCCCCCCACCCCCGCTGCTACCTTGAGAATGCGATTTGCCCACTGCCAAGAAAATTAACTTCGGTCGCGTCCATCTCCAGATCCAACGCAACGGAAAAGGCAACAAATGAAGCACCTCTCCGAAAACGTGCAGAAAGCAACGGCCGAAAGCTGGAGTTTAAGAAATCCCGACAAATGCATTGAGAATTTAATTTGGATACATGTGCACATTGATGTTGAATATCAAGCAGGCGGGTGTCTAATGCATTCCAATCTTGACTAGACACGAACTTCCGGCTACACAGAGCCCACTCAACCCTGCCAGCCATCCCCTTTCTAGTCGGTCTGTGAGCACCTATGTGCGATCTATCAGTTGAAAGCCGGGTGCTGCCTGTGCATCCGAGGTTTATCAACAATCAGCCCAAGACCTTGAAGACGGTACGCCCCACTGCATGCTGCCTTCGCAAGACAGTTGTGTGAAGAACAGCCCGCGTTTTGCCGAGGTTGGGGAAAACTGAAGCTGTGGTCTCTCTTCATCGGAGGGTCCGTTTTAGATATTCTGTCATTCGGGGGTGATGTTTGGCAGCGCGTTTCATTTTCTGGCGAGTAGCTTCCGCAGAGAGTTGCAGCGCTGGAGACATACATCATTTGTACATGTGTACACACACGCATATCGATAGATAGATAGATTAGATTAGATATTAGATTAGATTAGATTAGACAGATAGATAGACAGATAGATAGACAGATAGATAGACAGATAGATAGATAGATAGATCGGTAGATAGAGGCAGTCAGAGGTATCTAAGTATGTAGATAAAGGATGCAAGTGCTGCAGAAGAGCTTAGCTCCAGTTATGCGATGTGTGACAGATTCAGAGAACCACCATACACCTTTTTCGAACTGCATCCGTGATGAATGCACATTTCAGGGCTCAGCAGCTGGACAGCTCGCTCGTTTGAGGTCGGGCTTGGCTGTTGGCTTGACTCTTGATAGTTGCGCGCCAGGTGACAGAAGACATCGCACATTGGGAGGGTGAAATTGCCAGAGGCCGGGGTGGAGAGAGCCCACCTTGTGAATCAACGCCTTCCACCACCTGACAGGGAGTCGCCTGCGTGTCTCAGTGTCTCGCAAAAGGCCTAGTTCACCACAAAAACGGAACTGCACGTGGTGGTTGCAAAAGCCCACGGGCGGGCGGCATATGAAGCGTAAGGGTTTCATCGCACCAAGTTTCGAATCAATCGCCCCTGCTTTGAAGCGGCTTTGTGTGCTGCATGGCCCCGGAAGCCACAATAGCATGGCATGAACTTTCTCAGTAGAAACAGCCAGCCCTTGAAGCAATTAGTAAGGCAGATCTTCCTCCCGGGTCAATGTGGCCGAAGCTCCCAATTGCAGGCATAACGTCGACGCCCAACGGTCAGATGAGGCCCGGATGATTGGGGTAGCGGCTGGAAGCCATCAGGCCGTCTTTCAAAAATGGAAGGGGTCGAAGGTGCTGGTTGGCACGGCGCGCATTTGCATTCGCAAGCCCACGCCCACAAGTCCCCTCAGAATGTGGACTACGTTTTGCGTTGACACACGGAGCGGTTGAAGGCGAGGGCCCATAGGTTGCGAGAAGCCAAACCTTGCGGATAGCGCAGTGCTCCGCTCGTTGGGAAGCACCCAGTCTGTGCGCAGGTACTCCACAATGGTGAAGGTTCTCAAGGAGTTCAAGGAGTACGCAAGTCGGCAATTCATGGGAAATGTGTTGCTTCCCTCAACTTCCGCCGCCTTTACTTTCCCCCTTCTCACGCCACCTCATCAGATCACTTCCCTTGCTTCTTGCTTCCTTGCTTCCTTCCGTTCTTCATTTGTTCCCGTAAATCCCATTGTCATATGTGATAGATGTTACGTTTCCAGCCTCACCTGAGGCTTCTGGGGACTGTCTTGGGTCATCGAAGTTTGTGACGAGCTCCGGCTAACGCCAGCCGTACTCAGTATTCAAGAGCTGTGCTTGACTCGAGCCTCTGCTGGCATCCGGAGAGCTGAGGTACATGGATTTGCACGGCGAAGAGAACTTGAAGCGGCGATTCATTCGCGGCAAATTCGCGGAGCTGTGATGTTGGGCAAGCTGGGTGCAGACTAGGCGTAAATTTAAGGATTTCTTTGGGGTTGTGTAAAAGGGAGACAACAATCAAGCTCAAACCTTTATCGAGAAGTCCCCTACTTCGAGAGAAGTCCCCTGTAAAAGCGGTTCTTTTTTGCTGGCACCCGGTAGAACGACAGCTTCCTGTGCTTTGGCTGTGCGACACGCATGGACGAACACTTCTCAAAGCGTGGGGCCTTTGCCTCCCAAAAGACTGATGGGCCAGGGAAAAGGAGAGCTCGGGGCTTGCTGATTTGACAAGGAGGGCAAAGCAGATTGATGCAGAAACACAAATTTGTGGGAAAGGGGAGGAGGGCCAAAGTATGTGTAGCATGCGAGTCTGCAAGAAATCAAGGCTGAAGCAGGAGACAATGCACGTTCCTGGATTTGGGCAAATTGTAGCGACCTGAAAAATGCGCCGGTGGCCTTAACATGTTGAAGGTTGCGTTCTTCAGGGTTGAACTGCTGTAATTCACCAGGATGGATACGTGGATGCGTATAAGCGCTACCTTGCTTTCCGACGTCAGATGCGGCAAGCTCAGGATTGGACGGTTCGCGCTGTGCAGCGCGAGCCAGAGCAGGAGGCGGACGTTAATCCTTAAAGTTGGTCAATATACATCAGGAGAGACATTGGGAGCTCCGCAGCTACTAGAAATCTGTTCAGAACCCTTCCCGAGAAACGTCCCAAGAGCCGTGCCGGGGGTGGGGGTCTTCTGGCTATCTACTATTAGCGGTGTTTTTTGGCTTAATAAAATCTAAAAGCAGCTGAAATGATGGTGTGACACCAGGGTTTCAACTTGCAGGATCGGGTCCTTCTGTAAGTTGTCACGGGTTGCAAAGTCCTTGAAAGCATCAAATAGTACAAGCGTGCGAGATCGCGATTCTTTCAACTGGCCCATGCTGATTTTCTTGGAGGAAACGGTTGCAACTAAGGCCTCCACATCAGGAGTCAAACGACTTGGCAAACATAGTGGCACCGTTGTTTCATATTTCAGCTGGATGATGTCTGAGGCATGGCTCGACGCACAAGCTGTGTCCAACAACACCTCGTTGTATGACTTGGACTTTGAGAGCAGCTCTGGATGAACAAACCTTGTGGACGGCAAGCGGGTTGCCATCCCTCTCCCCCCCCCCCCCCCGGTTGCATGTGAATTTGCAAGGAAGCGGATGAGAGTTTTCAATCTGGGGGACCCCCTCCTGTTAGTTGTTTTGTGGTTTCCTTTGCTTGCGTCTGATTCTTGTTGAGGGTGGGTGGGAAGCCACCCCACCAAAATCCCTCCACCAATTGGGAAGCTGAAGCCAGAAGCGAATTACACGCATAGTCCAGCCTCATCTTCAGCCCCGGGCCCTGCGCGGCGAGGCTATGGACGCATCAAGCCGCCGGCTGACTGAGAAGGCTGGCATCCGTCCGGGAAGCCTTGCGGCTGGGTTCAACCTAGACGATACATAACCTTGTAGAACCTGATGCGACCTTACAGAACATTACATGGGCTTGTGCAGCCTGGTTATTTGGTAACTGTTCAACTTGGTTCGCTGACACGGGGAGCCAAAATTCCTTTCAATTGCTTTTCCCCTTGCTCAAAACAACCTGCAACAAAGTGAAGATGTTTGCAGTTTTCACGCTCTTCTTTCCACTTGTTTAGTTCCCGTATCGGAGCCCACAGGACACATTTTACTTTCTTCTGAGTCCCTACGCACGACAAAGCAACTTTGCAACTGGATCCATCAGGTTCCTTCGTGGAATGGCTTTTAGGACCTCGCGGCACATGTATTTTCAGGTGAGTTGCTTTTCCCGCTCAAGCAAAAATAATTACAGGTGAGCAATCAACAAAAATGGTAGCACAACACTGCAGCCGCGGAAGGTTTGCGGAAGGTTGTTTGGAAGCTCGCGGAAGGGACGGGGTTTAAATTGCCCTTTCTAGCTTGCGGAAGCTACCTTCCTGATTTTCCAGAATAAAGAAAACTTGCCCGCGGAAGGCCCGCGGGAGCATGCTCGTTATGGAAACTTGTGGACCAATCTATTTGGGAGTTGCGTTGAGGCGTATGCGCTTGCTTAGCCAGCACCAACTCCTTTCATCCAGCCGGGGGCATGGGTTGCTGCCTGTAACTTTGTGAGGAACAGTCCGATCGTCCATGATGCTTACAGGCAAATTGGCAAATCACAACGACCTTAGAAAGATGGTTTGCAACCTCACCGGTGATAGAGCTTCCTTTCTTGGCAGCCCATGTCCTATCTCAGGTTATGAGTGGTGATGACTTACCCTACCACAAACAAAGTGCGTGCCCTCCCACCAAGGTGTAAGTGCAGAGATCCCTTTGGAAGGGCTCTTGGCGCGTGAGGCATGGGAGCTCCGACTTACCGGTGATGGATGGAAGGACCGCGACCCTGCGCAGGCGCAGGGGTGAGGATGCCACGGTGGCATGTGAGGCTTGTCAAAGATGGCTACTCCTCAGGCCAACCTCCCAGGACCCTTCGCGAAGAAAGCTTTCCTGTTGGAAGGCGTACTTGGCAAGGAGCTTTGTCAAGCGGTCGCCTGCGTCCATTGGTGGAAAGACGGTAGCTATCATTTGTGCACTTATTTTATGCACAAAACTGGACGCACCGGTTTGTCCATGTCCGGAGGTGTATCCCGTTTTTAGGACTGTGGCGCATGTGAAGTTTGTGGGTGGCATGATTGTGGCATGATTGCACATTGGAACTTTCATCCCCTGCTGCCTTTTTGCTCCTTGTCCTGTTTGTTGCTGTCAGGCGCGTAACTTTCTGACATGGGTTCCTTCTCCATTCAAAGTGAAGCAATCAATCCCACACAATCCAGGTATGCAATATTTAGCCGCGTTTTTCCTCCACGTAAAACAGACGTTGGCATATATCATTTGCATGGAGTATGTCAGAATAGTTGGTTCCTTGGAATATACCGGGTCTGTTGGATTCGCAGCTAGAGGCAGTGCGGCACTACGAGTGGGCGCCCGGCCCACAGAGAGTCAGCGGTAAGCCGGGGACCGGCAGGGGTCCGTTGAGTGGGCGGCTGCAATGTTGGAAATGGGCTGTTGATCTTTGTGTTGCTGACGAAACGCGAGATGAACCTATTTTGGATGAGGTCTATTCAACATTGTCCAGCAAGGAGGTCCGGTAAGGGATCGGAGTATCTGAGAAACTACGTCACGGAAAGTGTGCAGGGAGCTAGCCGAATTCCTTCTTTTTGGGTGGGGGTTTAGCAGTTTGCCTGGAGATGTTCCTGAGGCTTGTTTTTGATGGCATAGAATTTGTGGAGCGTTGATGCCCAGGCTGGACATCCTTCGGCCAGTGCCGGTAGAGCATGCCGGCCCGAGCAGGCGCTGCAGCTTTGTCTAGGAAGATTTGAATAGGGTGCCTTTTAGACGGGGCTTAGAACTTGGCTGCGACTTGGTTGGATATTGAACGGGCACAAGCCAAAGCAACAGGAAACCTAACGGGAGGTTGCCTATTTTGCGCAACCCGGATGGTCGCGCAACAAAGTTTTGTCAGCATCGTCCGCGACAGTGCTTCATTTGAGGGGTGGGGTTGACAAAGTGCTGGCCTTCTTGAGGGCCCACTTTCAGACAAAAAATGCCCCCGCAAGTCGAAGGGGTGGACAATCGCATTCTTGGCCGACAACGGTGTCCAGTTTGCTTGGCAGCTTGGCTCTTTCTTGGGGTCTGAGATTGACACCCAACTGCTCCAGGTGCGCCTTACTTCTCAAGCTCGCACGTGCCGCGCTCAAGATTGCAGTGTTTGGTTGGTACATAGGGGTCTAGAGAAGTAAAAAAAGCTGTTTCTGTTGTGACATCCTTGGGGAAATGCATATTGAGATGTATTAGTGTCATTATGAAGCGAGGCGGATGAAGTTGTGAAACATGTAGCGAAGCCAACAAGGACACTGGCTGGGGTGAAGGAACCTTTGCGCGCCATCTGACTCAGCGATCTTTTCAGCCCACCCAAGATACCCCAGAGAGCTCAGTTGCCCAACGCCAACCTTTTGATCGTGGCTTCCTCGTTTGTCCTTCATGCCTGGCTAGGGTTTGCAAACGTTTTGATTGACCTGTGCACAAGTGACTCACCCTCGCATCCACTGCTATGGAACATGACTTGAGGTTCCTGGAAATTGTGACCCCTTTCAGGTTCAACGTTCCCCTCCTTCCAACAAGCATCGAGGCTGTCAAGGAGGTTGTGGGAGACTGCTGTCATTTGAGGGACGGGAACCAAACTTTGGATAAACCTGGAAGATGGTGCTAATCACTGAAGTGCTCCCCAAATTCCATCACAAAGAGGACAAAGTAGCCATCAATTGCATCAACCCCTGTATCCCACCTATCCAAGAAACCAGCTTCACGAAGTTCTACGGGAAATCTTGGTTTTTGGTTGGGTGTTTGGCCACCTTCATGTAGGAGCAGAAAATCCTATAGCTGCAGCTGGTTTCTGTGAACCTGAAGGCCCGAGGAACTCATGCCCAGGTTGCCACCTGGCTGGTGCAGTGGCAGACCCTGCCAGAGCGCTGCCAGCCGCTCAGCCGGTGAGACATTTGGCCTGGACCCTGAAGAGCTGCTATGGAGCCAGAAGCTTGAGATAAAGCGCGGTAGAAGCGTGAGTTGGGATGGCTGAGCAGGTTGCGGCTAAGGACGTGGGACCTCTGCGCAAGGCTTTTGCCAGCGTTCTTGGCTTTGGTCAAATCCTCCCTGGCGTCACCCCCCCGGCAGTTTTCCATGGAACCAAAACTTCCCCAAAAGGGAGATTCCTATTGGAAGGATGTTGTTTGGGGTTTCATGTTAATCGGAGGGGTCCCTGCAGAATCAAGTCGGGCCAGCAAGTTGAGCCGCCGGAGCGCCCAGGCGATGCTGTGATGAGGTCAAGGCTCCACGGAGTTTGTGGGCAATGGTCCATGTGGCCGGCGCTTGGCACAGACGTCCTCTCAGTCTTGAACCCCGGCCCGTTGCGATCTTTTTTGTGCTCAAGACTGCCATGCTGATCCGTGATGGCCATGCTCTGCCGTTTCTCGGGAGGAAGGTTGCTGTCTATTTGCATACAACTGGATGACTTGTTGTGCGCAAAGTCCAGCTGCACATGCACATGCTCCTAGTGAACAGATTGATGTAAGATTCACATTGACAGATACATTGCCAGTTGACATGGCCTGAACTGTGTTTCACCAGCTGGGGCTCCATTGACATGCTGATCTCCTGATGCTAGATGCCAAAAAGTCCAGCCCAGAGGCCCCCAACGCACCGTTTTGAACATCACGTGGATCAGTGTTGACGTAGTTTGGCATTTTTCAGGTTCTCTCATTACGAGCCAAAGGCAAAGTGTTATGTTTGAGAGGTAGATCATGTTTTGCAATGCTCTAAACGACTGGAAGCTGCGTAACACATATGCCACACATATAGTATCATTTATACACATATATACATATATGTAATATATTACATACAATGCATAGTTACCTGATCTACGCATGTTCCTGGTTGGAGGGGGTGTGCTTGGGCACTGTTGCTTGTCAGATGTAGCCAACCAGGAGAATGATCGACACGGAGCGTGGCAGGCCCGGGGAGTAGGGGCAAATGCCGTTGCTGCCTCGCATTGGGCACAGGAAGGCCAAAGGGAACCAATTTTGCATTCAGACCATGTTTGGGAGTGTTCATGTGCGGGATCCCTCACCCGCGCTTATTGCGGCGCGTTGTGGCTTCCTATGGGCATCATATTTGTCAGACTCTTCGCCAGAAGGCTATTGAAAGAGAAGGAAGACCTCATCCACCTGCACACGTGCCTGTGCAAGCCCGAGTACAAACAACTGCAGATGCCACATGCTTAAGACGTTATGTTCATGGCTTTTCGTCCTTCATCTCATCAATTGTTTGGTGTTCGATAGGTTGCCCTCCCAGGCGCCCGCTGTTGGGCGTCAAATCCCAATTGCACTTCCGCAAGGGTCAGGACACACACCGCGTGCTCAGGCTATAGCAAATCTCTTACCTTGCTATGATACTCGTTTCGTGGGTAAGGTTGCTCATCATGCATGCTGCCAGAAAAGATGTTGCCGTGGATTCGGGTTGTGTGACGCTTTCTGGTTTGGCCAGATGTCATCACACAGTATGCATTGCTTTGAGTACTGCGTAGATATCTACCAACATACATTGGTGAACGGCCATTCTGTTGGGGATTGGCTCTTCCATCAGAAACTGCATGGCGACCAGGTGTTGGGATTGTCGTGACTCACTTCGATGGGCTTACGCTCCCTTTCAACATCAAACAACCTGGAAGCCAATGGGCCGGGTTGATCAATTACGGCTTTTTGCCAACATTGTCTTGAACAAGTCCGGGCTGTAAACGGCCACATACGGCCACTGGCCAAAAACAATGACCGTACGGACAAAAAAACATCCAAATACGTGTTCCGTCCAAACAACAATGGCCATTCGGCTTTCCAGGAAGGAAGCACTGTCATGGCCATATAAACGGCTTTGCCTCACATAGTGCAATGTTTGGGTGGGAAATTTGATGGCCCCAGTCCAGCCCCAACAAATTGTCATAGGCCGAATGCTAGAGCCCATCGCGGGCTTGCTGCGTGCGAGGCAGAGGTCAAAGCAGTGCGTCAGGAAGCGAGCGCCGCGGAGTCAGTCGCAACCTGTCGCATGGGTCACATTGGCCACGTTGGCTCCGAGTCCAGAAACGTGCGGAAGATTCACTTTGAATCGAATCGTGTCTTTTCCCATTTCCTGGCTGTTGGTTGGTTGCGCGGCGTTGGCCATTCACGCTCTCTCAGGCAATCCTGGGAAGTGCGCCGAGCATAGGCTGGCACTTCACCTCACATGCCTCACAAACTCAGCAGGTGTGACACCAGCTATGTTGGGGGTGACCTCAACTATGGAGTGGTTGCTTCTTTTGTTCTTTCAAGCACTGCGACCTCAGGTTTGTTGAAGATGTCTGCATGTAGCCAGGTACCCTGCCGGCCAAGCGAGACCCAGGACCGGGGGATAGTCGCAGGTGTGGACGCTGTTTTCTGGGCAACTGGCCCTCGCCAGGTAAGACGAACCGCGGTTTGCGAGATCTCTGTTGGTGGTCCGGTCGCCATGAGTTTGGGGGTGTTGATCCGCATGAATGCATGGTTGCTATTTGCAAAGAATCCACTCGCCTGGAGAGACGTTTGTGCATGTGGAGAAGGGGTCATGGGCCGTGCATGTGCAGGTGTCCTGTGTGTCAAATCCAGAACCCCCTTCAACATTGAAACATTCAGCCCAAAAAGGGTCTTACGCCACATGTTCCTGCATGCCCCTGGCCGGCGCCTCAGAGGACCTGGCGGCGCAGCAACAGCGAAGGTCTCGACCTCCTGCCAAGTGCCACCTTTCTTTCCAGGGCTGTTTGGTAGGGATGCCTGCAATTGTGCATCCAGTGTTGTGGTCTTGTGTGCTTAGTACGAGCACTTTTGACGTACTCGCTCCTCTTGTTTGGTCATGTGTCACTGCCAATGCCGGTGTCTCATGGTAAATTCCAGGCAACGCAGCACTGCATGCGCTGCCTGAAAGGTCTACGCATGTCCCAGTCAAGCTGCCAAATTGTGTGACGTAATTGGCTGTTGGAAAAATGGTTCCCTATGAGGCCATCAGTTGGTCAAAGTTTGAGGCACCCACTCACCTCGCCTTGTGGGAATTTGTCAATGAATGGAAGGGATCCTCAAGGCCTCGCGGCCTTGCGCTGCTGAGCAGCTGGGTCCCTTTATCGAGCCACGTCAAAAGATGTTTGTTTTTGGCTCTACGCCAGCGAGGCGCTCCATTCCGTGAATAACTCAACTAGATCACAAAAGATTCTTTCTTTGACTGGAATCCACAGAACCCTTTTTCTCGAGGACGTCCCTGAACAACTTGTTGGAATTTGTAAATCAGCACTGCACGCCGGGGCCAAGACCTTCCCGTGCCCGACTCGCCTGGAAGGCTACCGCACCTGCGCGACTTGCGTCCGGCAGGCTGGAGTATCCGATTGGGATGACCTCGGTTTGATCCCTTTGATCACTTCGTGGTCCAGAGGTCAAGATTGAATGCCAGCAACCCGCATAAGATGTGTTTGCTTTGCCGGATCACTTGCGGCCCCCAAGTGGAGATTACACGTGGATGCTTTGGGGTTTTAATATGAAGCTTGTAGGGTAGCAACTGGGCTGAGTGGTGCGATCAGGGTTCAAATCAGTGTGCAGCATGCCTTTGGAAGAGGTGTTTTGCACTTGTGCGGGTGACGGGTACGATGCGGTTCACACCCTTGCTTGAGCAAATTTTGTCATCCCTCCACCTTCATGCTCAGCAGTGTGCGTTTGAGAGGCCACTTTGAAGCTTTGCAAGTTGCAACGCGGAACGAGGATTGACCAAGAGCACGTCAGCCGTGATATGCATATATGTGAGGATTTGACATGTTTGTAGACCGATCACCTGTGGTGCACAACCTGAACGTTGAGGAGGTTTGTTTTGTGGGGCCCTTTTTATCTCTGAACTTATGGCGTGCTGTTGTGCAGGAGGAAGATGTGCAGTCTGCTTTTAAATGAAGGGGCTCCTCACTCAGATATGTTGGGCCCATGCAAAAAGGCCCCCCGGCCTTGAGAATCCATAGAGAATGGCAGAGGCAGAGGGCTCTTCGAAAGGATCTCGCATTGACCCGCTGTGAAATCCTGGTCAAAGGCATCATAAATCTCCCAGCCACCGTTGCACAGCATGAGGCATCAGGTATTAGTTTAAAAAATTAGACGCCTCAGGTCCGGTGGGATGTACTGCTTGGAGCTGAACGCCGTGCAGACCTTCAACATGCTGGACACCCGCTTCCACAGTTCAGTGGGCTCCATACCTTTGTTCAACTTGTTTAGGTGGATGCCCGCTTCAAATTCAAGTGGCGAGACAGGTTGTGTTTTACTTTGTTGCGTTTGCCCGCTGTTGCTTTCAAAGGCGTACGCAGCGGCAATGGACATGATCATGCCACATGCACCTTCCTTTTCAAACCGCGCAATGTTTTGTTTCTTCAGCAGAACCATTTGCAGGCCAAAGCTTCCCCTACAAGCGTTGGCAGCAGGGCACGGTATTGACTGTCAGGACTCCACCCTGACCGACGATTTGTTCTTTGCCCTGGCCCGGGCTGCGATTCGACGTGTTGCGTCGCTTGCGTTGCACTGCTCAAAGGGGGGGACCCTTTTTATGCTCCGCCTGCAAGTATGCGAGTAATTAGAGGGGGTCCTGGAGTCACCAGAGGTCCACCAGATCAGACCCTTCAGGGTAGAGCGTTGCCCCTTGTAAGGAGGAGAAGCTACTTCCTGGCAGCTGCAAGTAGAGCATGATATTGACCACGATTTGACAGTAGCAAGCTTTTGCTTGAGCGTGCGCTGGGGTCACATGGTTTCGCCGGCTACTGGATGGGCGATCTGACCAAGCAACAAGTAGATCAGAACAATGCTTATTGAACTTGAACCTCGCCGTAATGCTTCAAGCAGGTGAAGGCTGCTTTAATAGCGTTGGTCGCATGCAGGAACATGGGGTTGGAGTTGGGGTTCCCGCAACAGCGCAGTTCTAAGTCGGGCAAGGCTGGTAATTATTTCCGTGGGTGCATGTCATGCATCCATGAGAACCCGCCAGGATGCCATCAAGGAGGATAGACTCAGAAGAGGTTGATGGCGGCAAAAAGCCATCAATTGCGCCGGTGTGTTTGTGCTTGTGTATGAGGTAATATCTTCAGACAGGATTGATCCAGTGCATCGAGGGGATTAAAGCCAGCACGAGTTTTGCTGCTTCTTGCCTTCAGATGTCCAGTCAGTACCAGGATTTCCCTGAGTCTGTGAGTCTTTTGGATCGAGACCGATGTCGTTGGACATGATTTCTTGCTTGTTTGGCCCCTTGATGCTGGCACCGTCAACACTAGGGCCCTCCCAAGCTGATTGACGTGGTCCGGTGTCTTTTTCCACCATGTGTAGCCCATTCGAGTAGCTGTGAGGCCAGGATCATGAGATTGGACAGGCTTCCTTGTTGTATGCAAGGTCAAAAAATTGCGGGTTTGGAGGATAGCCAGCAACCATTGGGCAGGGGTTTCAGTTCAACATAATGATTTCCGAGCCTACAATTTGCGTCAGGGTTCGCATGAAGATCATGACCCACAGAGAAAGGCTTGACCTTTTGACCCAGATGTTAACTCCTTCTCTTGATTTGCGAGTGCTCGTTCGCCTGTGCAGAGAAAATGGTTTGTGTACAGGATGCTGCAAAGCAGCCGCGGCTACCTGAGGCTAACCTGGTTGACCTTTCGGCTTACCCTTCATACCAGGGTGACCCTGTCTCTTCCAGGTGATGGATTCTGTGCTCCTTTGCTGCTGTGCCCAATGAGCGAGCCTGCATCAGTTATATTCCAACACCTGAATTTCAGGAAGCCCCCGCAAAAGGATTCGAGCGTTCGCCCCCAGTGAGCTCGCCATAAATATGCAAGCCAGTGCGCAGCCTGGCGGCACGAGGCACTTTTTTCCAAGGCGCCCCCTTTTGCTGTGCGGTGGTTGGCATGTGTTGGCAAGTAAGTTTCCTTGCTGACCCTGCTGATCCTTACATCTGATGGCAGCCGACCAGCGAGAGCTATACATCTGTCTACACACACATATATATACATATATATATATATACACAAGTGTAGATATATATACATATATGTATGTGTTACAATACACGTCAACCAGCATTTCGTGTTTGCTGTTTTTCGCGCCTTCTGCCCTCATCCCAGTGGAAGCTGAAGAAGCCTCTGTCATTCCACCTCCCTCATTTCCTTGGCTCGATTCGATTTGACTTGGTCTCCACCTTTCCTTCGCTCGTAAAGGGATGACGCCTGTTGCCCCAAACGCGGCTTTGGCCCAAGCTTCGTCGAGCAGGGCGGCCATCGGCCCCTGCGATGGGGTGCCGTCCATGGTCGGCCAGCGTATCCTCGCTTACACTGAGACGGACTGGAGGGGGCTTGTAGGGAGTAAGCAGCCCTGTCATGTTCTGAAGAAAAACCTGCACCATCTCACCCACCTCACCACCTTCCAACTAGTGCAAGCAAAGTGAAATAGGCCAATTTGCATTTTTATCGTTTGTGTCAGAAATTATATATATGCCAAATATGGGTTTGATTGATGTTGTTTTGCCGGTGCCGTCCATTTGATGGTGTCAAAGGGTCAACCACAATGAACCTACCGTTTCGAGGGGCCCGCCACTTTGAGGCATACCCAGATTGTGTGGCAGAGGGACGGGTAGTCGAGTTGCGATGCTGTCCGCTTGCTTTGTTAGAGCTGCCTGTGGCAGGTTCAGCTCTTGATGCCATTTTTTTGACAATATTTCAGGTGATCTTTGTGTTGGTGTGTGTGTGTGTGTTTTGTTTGTTTCGTTTGTTTTGTTTGTGGTGTGAGCGTTTGCAGTTTGAGTACGCGGCGTTTGTGTAGGCGGCAATCATTCCCAAGTGATGCACGTAACGTCCAGGACCTGCAGGAGAAGGCCGCAAACCACATCGCTGAGCTTATCCTAAAGCGACTCATCTGCTCAGAGCTTTGGCCCAGGGGTCAGCGGCAAAGTTTGTGTCAGGATCTCGACCCTGGCCCCATCGGAAAGGAAGCCGAGGCGAGGTTGAAAACAATATGACAAGATGTGCTGCATTTTTTTTACGCAAGGGCCGGTTGCTCAAGATTGCCGCGACATTTGAGTATGGCTGGGCCCTCACAGGTCGGGAGGCGATTTCCATGGGTCCATCGCTTGGGATCAGCTATGCCTATTTGATCCCATGTGCATAGTGTGTGTGTGTGTATGATGAATGCTCTTGTGCCGCTAGCCATGCTAGCCTTTAAATTGCGTTCCAACCGTTTTGCAGGCCCGCTTCTTTGACAGGTGGGGGGTTTATCATGCTGTGCGAGCGTTTGAGGGCATGCCTCATCGGGGGGATGAAGTCAGTTGAATAGGTTCGACAGGTGATGATGAAGTCAGTTCCACAGCTGGTTGCTTTCACTTAGGCACTCATGCTTCAACCTGCGAAAGAGGGTTTGCCCACCCTGGTCAGAAGTTCACACCAGGACCAGGGACCATGACTTGCAGCCTGTATTGCCCACTGATTTATTTGCAAGCCGATTGATCGGGACATGTGGCTCAAGCTTTCAGCACTCGGAATCCCTAAATCTGGCCACAGCTTATGGCTGAATTGGGAGCTAGTGTCCGGGTCAGGCAGGGGCAGAGGCAAAGCCAGGGGCAAAGCCAGAGGCAAAGCCAGAGGCAAAGCAAAGGTAGAGGCTTAAGAAGCAAAGGTGGCAGCGGCAGGGCTTGCCGTTCTAGCGCCGTGCTTCATGCAGCCACCAAGGTAACGAACAACATTTTTGGATGTGCTTCAGTTCAAGAACACCGCATGGAGAACCCGCGTGTTTGCATGAGGGTCGCCGTTCCGCTGTGTTTTTCTACGGGATGTTTTGGATGCCTCGTCCACCTGCAGGCCCATGAAAGGAGAGGGAGCTGCCGAGGAACACTTTCAGAGGGACACTGGTCAAACCCATGCGGACGCAGGGCATTCAAGCTGTTGTCTTACCAGACCATTTGGCCTTCTATCCCTCCGATTTGTTTCATCCCTTCCAAGAACCCATCTAAGCAGGATCTACAAAAATCTATCCTGGGCTTGGTGGTTACGCGGCCTTTGCTCTTTTTGCTCCCCTATGTCCGGACCAAGTTAGTTCGGCCATCCCAGGCACCAGCGAAGCTCGAGTAAGAACTTCTTGCTTGGCCTGTCTGCCACGCTGGGGCGCCCAAGGGTCGCACTCTGCAAGCACCAATTCACAATCAACATAGTATTGAAGAGATCAACATGGTTTTGAAGTGTTCTAACCAAATCAATGTACATAATTGAAGGGCGGCCCCACCTATTTACGCTTGGCACTGTCTCCCTCTAAGATTCATCCACCCAGGGTTTGAGTCTGTCAAAACAGGGGAAGCCCCAAAATGGGCGCTTTTCTTTTGGTTGCGCTTCGAACAACCCCAGAAAGGGGGGCGTACCAAAAAGCACAACCCCAATTTGGTCTCTGGCTCACCTCCTCTTTGCTAAGTGGGGGGCAGCGCTTAGCACTTGAAAAGGGAAGAATGAATCATTTTACGTTGTGATTTTTATTGAAAGGGGCGTGTCACTTAGTCATGTTGGGTCGTTCAAGCTAGTAACTCGTGTTGCTTTGACGATTTGCCGTGAACGCTATTCACGAGGCTTTGTTTGAAGCCCCTGCGAGTCGACGGACATTGTTACGGTTCCCGCCAATGTTTTGCACCAATGCTGTGCCACATGAAACCGGTTTGCGCGGTAGCCCGGCCAATGAGCAAACGCATGTGCTTGATGAAGCAGCTTTGTTCTGCGCGATGACTTTGGTTGCATGTCCAAACAGTGTCTGATGGAACAAATTAGAAGACGACCTTTCAAGGAACAGAGCGGAGTGGTTGAGCAAAGTTGCCATAAGGCAGTCTCTTTCTTACTCCCGGTTGCGAAGGTCCATGGCCATCGGCAGAAACACTTTTGTGGGCTTCCAGCCCGGAATGCAAACTGCTCTGGATATATTTGTGACCACAGCCGCCACCCGAATATCACATCTTGATGTTTCAGCAATGGAGTGCTTTGGGACTTCCCAGTAAGGCAACCTGTTTGGACCTCCAGTAGCCGTTTTGCTTGAGGCGTCGGTGCACGTGGGAATAGGTGGGAGGTTGTGACACAACCGGAAGACAACGGCATATCCTGAGCTTCTTCCTGGACAAATCAATGATGAACGCCTCCTCTGCAGTGCCCTTTTGAACATACGCTTCGCTACGTATGTGAAATGTGCACATGCATGCGCCGTTATGCTCGTTACTACCTTGGTTTGGTCGCTCGCTGTCCGGGACTTACAATTCGGACGTGTCATTTGCAGCTGCTCTGCGCAAGGAATGGCCAAGCGAGGCGAAATCGCGCGCGGGAGGCGGGCTCGAGAGCAGCGGGCTCACACAGAGTGATTTCAGGAGTTCCGCGACAAGTTTTCTTTTTCTTTTCTTTTTTTTGTAAGTATTCTTATTATCAAGGTATATTGCCACTGGGGCGATTTTGAGTATAAACAACAGCCATGCTCGACCCTTCCTGACCAGCGCAAAGGCCGAGCAAGTTCAGTAGCAGGCGAAACCAGACTATTCGATTGTTTTCCCTTTGGGGTGACAGGAATCCAAGTCCCAAATTGTTTGGAACAAGCCAACCAACCAACAGCCAGCCGGCCGGCCGGCTAGCCAGCCAGCCAGCCAGCCACGATTGCTGCATGGAAAGGTGTACAGCGCCCTCGCTGATTGGAACGTCCACCCGCTGGCCTGGGGTCCTGGTGAAAGCAGCGCCTGAGCCCACGGAGGTGTTGAGGCGTTGACAGCCAAATTTTGCCATTTCGATTTTCCTGGAGGAGGGCATGGGGGAACTACCCGAATGATTCCCCTTGTCCGAAATGGCGACCTGAGTCACGATCAAAACCTGGGTAAGTGAAGGTTAGTCAGGGACAGAGTCTCAGCCATAAATAGGTGCGGATCGGAGTGCTTGGAGAGAACAGCCGTTGCTTGAAATTATTTGCAACTCCCATGCCCAACAAATCGGCTGAAACGAAGCTATTTACAAGCCAAACGATATCCCGGCAATACCAAATCTGAGACACAATCAAAGCAATATCGAAACTCACCTCAGCAGGAATCAAAACAAAGCATCAAACGGAACCGCTCCAGCGAATACTACTTCCTAGTTCGAAACGAATTGCGTTGCCGTGTGATCATGAAACTGAGCGAGGTTGATGGTCAGGTGGCTTGATTCATCAAAGGTGAGTCAAATCAAAGCACGGTACTAAAATACCCAAACCATGCCAAGATTAGTTTGGGCGATTTTGGCTAGGTGTGAGAAGTAAACGCTGTATGCGAGCCATTTGAGTTTGCGTTGTTTCCAATCTAGTCTTGACCCTCCTTGTTGTGTTTTCATTTTGTTTGGACTGTGTGGATGTGTGTCGTCTTTTTGTTCCGGGGAGATGGGCGAGTGGGGAGCGGGAAAGCGTGTTTTCAATAATGAGGGTGAGTCATACATCATTTCGGGGAGCAGCATGTTCAGTTTTCAGGAGACATCAATCACCCGAGTATACCATGCTCATATACCGCAGGTGTGTGCTGGAGGTCTTGTTTGGCCAGGTTTGTGAATACGCCTGCTACCTGCCAGCCCCACGATTTGCGGCTGTTAGGACTGGAGCCGCGTGCGAGTCATCCTGCTGGATGAGTCACTGCGCTCAGTCGCATGAGTCGAGCGCGGGGAGAAGCGGAGCTTGATGGTTCAACACTAGTTCCGAGTTCAGTGGCCAGTGGCACCCCTTGTTCCCTTATTGCTTGGGGGAACTTACGTAACACTGTCAACCCCAGAAAGGGCTCCCTTTTGCTACCAAGGGTGAGGCGAGTGTGGGTCCCGCAATTTGGGTGAAGTGTAGCAATCAGTGCGGACGGTTTGTAACACAAGACAAGAACTCAGGCCCCATAGTCTTCCTGTTTGGCCTGTTTTTTTTTGTTTTGTTTGTTTGACATGCAAAGGTGAGCACATGATCTCTGAAGCAGCAAAGCCCCAGTGTGAGTGAGGACAGTCACGTTATGAAGACCAGGACTGCAGTTGCAGCGGAGACGGCAAGTGGAAAGATACTTGGTTCGACTTGGTTCGACTCAATCCTCAGGCGTCACGGCTTCGAGCAGGGCGAGGACTGCAACGCGACGCTGGCCCGGGACCTGGGGGCGCATTTTTGGCTGAGCTTTGATGAACTGTGAAGGGACTGCAAATAGAACCCGTCCGTCTTCACTGGTGCCTTAATTATGCCCCTAAAGAACTTCTCAATATGACAAAGCCAGCCGCCTATCTGCAACTGTGCGTCTGCTGCAGCTACTCATGTTACTTGCGTGGGTTGCCGGGACAATTGGGTTTCCAGTCAAAACAATTGCCGAAAGAAGGTTGGGGCGGGGTCTTGAGCAATGTGGCGGAACTACCAAAAGAAGGGTGCCCTTTTCCTGCGCTAGGTCCGTGAGAGCCTGGTGAAGTCTCTGCACAAGCGGGGGGTGGAGTTCCGAGAGGCACGGCCGAATCGTTTGCCCGGTGGTTTCCCAGGATGGACCCTCTTTGGTTTGAGGTCAACACTTTTTATTGTGGTTTGTGAACAGGAGGCCGAGCTGGGGGGAGGGGGGGGGGGTTAGGTTGGTGGGACGCACTTTTGATGGGAAGTGATGTGGCAGTTTCCAGTGGTGTACTCTTTGACGCCCTGCGAGAAGCCTCGGTTGCTGACAAAGACAAGTCACATGAATCCAAACTAAATCACTCGTACACAAACACGAAACATGCCCCGGCTTTCCACACCCTTGTGGCACCGCAATTGTGTCCTCAAGGTTCCAGTTTAGCCACGGTTCCCTACGCGCCTGCGATGGGTGAGGATGGTGGGCTGCTGCTGGTGCGGCTGCCGGATGCGGACACCAGCGGCCAGTGCCGCCTGTCCCCATACGACCTCTCTTGCAAAGGGCGGTCCACGCCGATGTTGTGGTTCTACGACACCGTGCTGGACGTGGAGAAGCTGACAGCGGCACTGGAGGCGGTACTAGCCAAGGGGTACGCAGTGCTCTGTGGGCGGTATGCAGCTCCGGAGACGGAGGGAGGTACCCCGCTGGCCGTGGACCTCAACAACAAGGGCGTTGTGTTGTACTTGGGCACCGCTACCGTGGACACACCGCACCTCCCACCATACACTGAGCAGCCACTGAGCTCCGCCATCCAGACCCAGGGCTACAACACGTCCGCGCAGACGCAGTGGCTGCCCCCCAAGGTTCCTGGAATGCCGAAAAATTGGTGTGGTCACGATGGTTCCAACTCATCTGAGATCAGCCTGCAACAAGGGTTGATTGTGTACTTAAAATAGAACCGGATTAATTAAGGTGTGCAGCCCTGGTTGATGTGCTTGAGCAAAACCGTCTACCCATCCATCAGCCAAAGGCCTGCCGAAACCCACTGATCAGCCACCATCAAAAATCAGACTTAAATCTAGAAATGCCAGATAAGAGCTCTGAAATTGTGGGCTAGGGTTGGGGTTGCAGCCTGTGAAAGGAGCCGATGGACCCGGACAAGGGCAACCCGGAGGCGCCCATCCTCGCACTAAAGGTGACTACGATCAGTGGCGCCTGCAGCGGCACAGCCATTGGCATGCTGGTGCAGCATGGCGTGGTAGATGCCGACTCGATGATAGTTTTCATGAAGAACTGGGCGGAGTGTTACCGCGGGCAGGAGACTCTCTCTGTCCCGCCGTCTCACGACCGCAGGGTGGAGCAGTGGCAGCTCCATGGCGCTGAGTGCCCGCCCAAGCCAGACGCATTCCGCATTCGGGCGGTGCCAGCGGGCGAAGCGCCGCTGCCTGAGTTCGTGCCGGTCATGCCCAGGATCATGGGACCGCAGGTGTGCGTGCTCCCCATAGACAAGACCACGCTGTCAACATGGAAGAATGAGGCACAAAGAGCGACCGGCACGGAAGACTTCCTGTTCTCGCAGGATGATGTGCTGACCGCGCGGGTGTGGCGAGCACTGGCAAGGACGCGGTGTGAGCAGCTGGAGATCTCGTGTGATTCCGACGAAGTCACCACGTGCTCGCGCGCCTCCAACTTCAGGCAGCGCTGCTCGCCGGCCCTGGATGAAGGGTACTGTGCGAACGGGGTGTGCCAGGTATGGACGCAGATGTCGGTCAAGGAGCTGCTTCGGGAAGATGAGAGCATGGTGGCGGCCGTGGCAAAGACGCTCCGCACGGATTTGTCGGCGCACACATCCGAGGTGGTGAAGCAAAGAGCACAGTGGCTGAGCTGGCAGCAGCGCCAAGGATGCCGCACGATCCAGATGTTCGACGCAAATGCTTTGACATTCATCCTGAGCAGTTGGATGTTCGACTGGGAAGGTGCGGACTTCAACGCCAGGCCTGTGGGCTACGACCACGCGGCGCACACTCCCATCGTGGCCGTGTTTGTGCCGCGGAAGGGCGTGGGCGAAGGCAAGCTTTCCGGAGGCGTCAACGTGTATACATGTGGAACCGAGGCTGCCGTGAAGAGGTTCTCCGAGCTGCTACTCTCCAAATAGATTAGAAGCAAATCCACGTCAGGGGTTGGGCTTCATAATGTTCAAAAGTGGCCTGTGCCGCGTTGGTTTCCTCCTGGCGGGCTGGGTCAGAATCGATTCGATGGCATCAACTCCACCTCCTGTGGAAGACCCAAAAAGCAAATGTAGTGAGAGTGGGAGGGTCGTGTTGAGCGCTCGCAGCATGGAGCACTGCCTGAACTGCTTGATTTGTGGCTGAGCGTGGGACCAAACCTGCTGAGCAAGTAGTTTTGCAAAACTATGCCATGTTACAAGGAAGCAGCAATGACTTTTGAGCGATGCCCTCAATTGACTGGCAGGGGATCACCCAACGATGGGCAGTCGCCACTTGTTCAGGAGCAGCTCATTGCACCAGATACCAGCAAAAGCTGGCAGGCGGGAGGGAAGGGGAGGCGAGGGTAGCATTGCTGGTCCTGTGAATGTTTGTTTGGCTTGCCCTGAATTGGAGAGAGCACATTGGCCGCCAAGGATATTTTGTTCTGCTGTTGCCTGCGGATTATCCAAAGCTTTTGCAAGAGCTATGCGGGCCAGCAACATGATGGTCTCTCTCAGAAGTCTTTCATCCTTCTGGCCCCTGTCACCATAGTCATTCTGGGCCTCGCAGAGGCAGGAACTAGGATCTGCTCACAAAAGAGCTAACATATGTCCAGGGGTAACTTCCCCATTCTTTCCAGGCATCCTTCTTTCTAGAAAACCACCAAACACCCTGAGGAAATGGCTGGTTTTTGAAAGAACGATGGCTGGAAAGAATGGGGAATCAACCCCTAGAATACTGAGCTATTCCCGTCACTGCTCGAGCAACAATCATAGGAGCCTTGGCCGGCCGTTTGTCAGGTGAACAGGGGATTGCCAGTTTTCCAACAACCCGATCGCACATTTCCCGAAATTTGGAGGTCCCCAGCACTGGCCAGCTGCTTCGATCTGCAGCTTTGCTTTGCCTTACTTGCCGCAGGATGCGGCGGCTGACTACCATCGAAGGCTGACTGAGCTGTTGGAGGTGCGGCACACGCAACTTTGCTGCCCACGTTGCCGCGGGAATCACTAGAGGGCCCCTTTTTAGAGGAACATGGTCTTCCACCCAGAGGTAGGTTCCAAGTGGGCGTGCATTGCCGACCTTGTTGGCTGTTGGAGTGTTGCTCGTTGCGGGCATTCGTGCCCACACCTGTGTTTGACCACATTCCAGCTTGGTGTCACAACCGCTCGGATTGTTTGTTTACATTGAAGCTGGAGTGGGCCCCTGCATGATTTTCAACACAAATAGCATCTTGTGGGTGGAATTGGTATAATTTGTGAGGCGGTTGCTCCGATTGCATCCGGTGCCCAGCAATGGCAGGCAGAGGGCACGGAAGGCCTAAATCTGGCCTCGACTGGTTTGGAACTCAGCACCTGCGTGGGCGAGGCTGCTGGGTATGGCCTTGGCGTTTTGGGATTCTAACATTTCCGCAACCCGCTGGTATGCTGGGCAGCCGGTTCTGACGTCCTGTCAGCTGGGAAGAGGCGATAGCAAATTGTGTGGTATCCAGGTGTCGGATGCTGCATGCCCTGGGTGAATGAGACATGGTTGCACTTGGTCCAACACATGTTGGTGCCGGCTGTGTAGCAAGAAACGCGGAGTGGAGGAGACGCGCTTCCTACAGGCAGCATGAAATTGAACCACTGCGAGCAATACCTTGTCCGTGTTAAGCCCCATTTGGCACCCACAAACTCTACTCCAGCCCTCAGTCGATTTCGCATCCCATGTTTGTTTTCGAGCTGGTTCTCCACGAGCAATGAAACAACCCCCAACAAACTAAGCCCATGTTTACCGCTGTGGGAGCTGGTTGCAACTAGGCGAAGGGGTCGCTTCTCTCCTTCCGCTCGCCGATGGAGCGGCATGGTTTGGCGCTTCGCGCTGTTCACGGCGCTGGCGCCGCTGGGTTGCGAGAGCGTTGCCGAGTCCGGCGGCCTGATTTGCCGGTGCTCAGAATGACCTGAATGACCCCTAACTGACCCCTAACCATCCACTTGAGCGCCAGAAACCCTGACAGGCCCTGACAATACAAGGTAGTGGTTGCGGGAAAGCTTGGCGAGTGGTGATGGGAATGCCATTCCCTTGAGTCTCGCTGCCGGCTGCCCAGTGTGCCCCCACGCCAGTGGGACGGATTCCGATGGCACGCGAGAGAGAGAGAGAGAGAAACAAAAAAGAAGAAGGGGGTGTCCTATAGAATTTCTGTGAAAGCCACAACGCAGGCCGCGAAAGCTTGCGAAAGCTTATCGCGAAAGTAACTAGAGAAGGTCCCGCCGCAAAAGACCCGCGAAAGCCTGCATGCTGATCGGGAGTTGTTTTACATAGTCTTACATTTGGGGTGCACTGCTGTTTGTGGAACTCAATTTGCAGAAAGGCGCGTCAAAAGGAACCTGCAGCTTCTGAGCTCATGCAGCACAAAGCATGTTATTAACATATGCACAGCCCGCTGCGAAAGCACCGCGAAAGCAATGCTAAAGAAAACGAAGCCCGCAAAAGCAAAACATGGGGTCGCGAAAGCATCGTGAAAGGGTCCGCGAAAGCAAGTTCATAGTAGCGCTTTTTGCACAAGAGTATTCGCCAAGGCTCACTTTGGCTTCCTTTAGAGGAATCCCTGAGTTCATTCCCAAGACACTGGGTCACTCCTTCAATGAGCACCGGCAAGATGAAGATGATGCCCTAAGAAGGGCGTCCTTGTTCTACCAGGGTCACTGGGCAACTCAGAATAGGTCACGCATACCCGACTTTACAAGACCATTTTAGCATTTTACTGGTGGTTGATCTCATTTAATTTTCTATCTCGCCCATTGCGTGCGGGCAGGGTCGAACATGGACGGCGGACTGGGCCGAATATGTTGGTTGCCTGTCGGGTGGCCAAAGTCAGACACTGCAGAGTTGCCTTTGAACATCAAAGATGACTTTCTGAGAATGACTTCTGTACTGCAATGGGGCGAGAAGAGAAGTCAACAATGGCTTGGGATTGGATCTGTATCCAATTTTGTCCCAGTCCCTGCTGGTCAGTCTTCCCAAGGTCTCCACACCTGTTTGTGGCGTGCTGTCACTTGCTATCGGCTTGATTGGCGTTTGGAGCAGGTGCTCCTGGTTCATACCCCTTATGCATGAGACAATGGTCTATCTTGCGAGTATGTCATTGGTCTCAACTCCACTTCACCCCCCCGATAATGGTGTTCGATTGGCCTGCCCCACATTGCAATACTGCTGGATACTGCTGGCCCCAAATCAGGACTTGTTCGGGAGAGTACTCATAGAAGTTTGTTCACTGTACGAGGTTGCCGACGCCAGCACATCCTTCCCTGGTTTGCATTGGAGCCACAAGTTTCCCAGCCAAGCAGCAAAGACACTATGAGGTTCTTCGCTGTGTTTCCTCTTGGTACGGCTACGGATGTCCATGGACAACATCATAGTTGGCTCCCTCTGCAAATGTGTCCATAGCGGGTCCCCAGCCTAGACTTCGTTCCCGCATGGTCGCAAGACGCAGCCGAAAGGATGCCCGTGCAAAACTGCGGCCTTGCGCACATACATTGTATTTCTTCTTTGGAAGTGTTGCATGATCAGGACTGGCCGGCAGACTGCCCGCCGAACAATGCTGAAATTCACATAACCCATTCGCAGGTTGTTTGAGTGTGGCCACGAGTTCGGGTACGCTCCTCGTTTGGTTTCTCTTGCTTATGCCAAGGGCATCTCTGTGCACAGCATGCTGAGGAGCTGCCAGTGCACCTTGCGCCTTGCGCCGTCCACCTTGCCCAATGCAGGCGCCGTGAAGCCCGCAGTGAAGCAGCTGGCTTGCTGATTTGTTTGGAGGGCTCACCCATTCGGGCATAAAGATGGACCCGCAAAAATCCTAGTTGTGGAGGAATGTTCCTTGTAGGGCCCTTTTTGGGGTTCCATGATGTGATTGCTTAGAAGGGTACGCGACTGGCGCGCTTGCTTTTCCATTCTGGGCTCACGACTGGCTCCATGTGATCCATTCCGGCAGAGGGTGTTTGGCGCTTGGTTTCCCTGGCCAAATTTTGTGTCATGCCGACAGGTTAACCCTTTGCTTCCGGCTTTTGCCAGTGAACACATGTCCCACCATAGGAGACGCCTGACCTTTGTTTTGAAAGCACCACGAAAAGTGTAAGGAAAACACACCCGCACACATGTAAGGGTGCTTCTCAATATTGGACACCCCTCCACGTGGGTGATTTCCCTACAGCCATCCAGAGATGCCGTTCCCTGGAAGCTTAGCAACGAGGCACTTTTAAAGTGCACATTGCGCTGGTTTCAGTCTGTGGCCATCGGCACCCAGCGGAAGAGGGCACCTTGAAGCCTCAAAAATGCACTTCTGACACTCGCCGACGAATAGCCATCCATGAAAGTGACCATGTTGAGTCCTCAACATTCATTGATCCTAACAGGCTAGCGTTCAGCACGTCACTTGGGACCCGGGCCCAGGCCGCGGGGTCTTCGCGGGGCGTGCGGCGCCCGCGGGCGCCGTCCTGGCGCGCGCCGTGGTTTTGCCCAGCCGCAGGGCGGAGCTGTCGCAGTGGCTCGGTGGGTCAGCCGGGGGATGGAGGGGAGGAGGGGAGGAGGGGAGGAGGAGGAGGGGAGGGGATTTTGAACCTTCAACTTGTTTGGACAAATGCATGCAACCACCAAACCTTCTTGAGCTTGAGGCTATAAGGCGGGTTGGGGCCGCTTGCGAAATTTGGGCTCAACAGGGGTCCTAGCTTGTGGGGCCTTCGTAACTTCGGGCCGTTCCTTGCGTTTTCTGAGGCTTTTGGACCAAGAGATGCTCAGAAGGTCTTGGTTGAAAGCGCCCTAAAAGAGTACAAGAGAGGATGAAATCCCGAGGCTGTCTCAGCTGCTTTCCAGTTTGCCGACCTTGGAAGCCCCTTTATGAATAATTTTGAAGCTCAATTCGAGTGGGAGTGGCAATAGATTGGCTAATATTGGCTTTCTACGCAAGAGGTGGAGCTAGTAGGCTGTACATTTAACCCCGGAAGATGCATGCTCTCTTGCGACTTTGCATGGTTTAGTTTATTGGAAGGTGTGGTTGGTGTGTATTTGGCTGCTGGGTTCTCGCCATTCCTTTCCAGCTGCATCTAGCAACGGCATGACGGTTCACCTGTTGTGCCCTTGCTTTGAAACTTTCGCAATTGTGATGTGACTTGGCTTGCTGGGGGTCGGTCCGGTGTTGCTTGGTGTGGTGCTTTTGCCTCGGCCCGTCCCAGGCTGTCTGCATATGTGTTCGCAGGTGTCGGAGAGGCCGGGCGCTGATTTAGAGAGAATGCAAAAGAAGTCACAGATACTGCTTTAAGCTTTGCTGCAGTCATGCCTTGTGCTGCTTGTCAGACAGCTGGAAGTAGTCTATGTTGCAAAACGTCACTGCGCTGGATGATGTTCTACACAGTTGCAGGCTGGACTTTCCCTGCATGTGGTGTGCTTTGGGCCGTTGTGCAGTACAAGGCAACGCCACTCACGGCATCCTAGTACCAAGGACGTACTCAAGGAGTTCAAACAAACTCCTAGAGCACTTTCCGGGAATCAACTGGAGAGTTGCATTACCTTCCCCAGTGGGGACTGTGTCCTTTCTTTGCAGCAAAGGAGCTGCATGATTGTCTTTTGAAGTCAGCTGGGTTGAAAATGGTTGATTCCACCAGCTTCAAATTGATCATATTTTTTCCCGTGCCATCAATCTTCCCAATGGAGACCTAATTAGGTTCGGGCCCTTTGGAGACGGAATGAAGGGCAACAACAAGTTGGCAGGCCCATGTCAGGGCCATTCACCTTTCCATGCTTCGTGGGCCTGTTTTTTTGACGCGTCTAAGTAGCGCATGGAAGGGTAGAAACAAGACGTTGAGAAAGGAAGGATGGAAGGTGCTTTTTCGCTATACATGTTCATCACCCCTTTGTGTAGCTACAAGGGCATCTGCTTGTTTATGTCTGAGTGGCAGCTCGCTGCTAGGCTCCCAGCCAACTCCTGCTGGGCGCGGTGTCGCTGGTGAACCATGGGGCGCCCGAGCAGGCGGGATGTCTGCCAGCTTTCTTGTTTTCTTGCTTGCCTTGATTGAAAATTGTTGCTTTGAGCACCTCTCCCTGGGGTCCTGATCATGATTCAGGCATCGCATGTTGGCTGCCTGTTGTCAAGATGATGCTTCTTTTGGCGGGGTGATGTTGAGGGCTACAAGGAACCTCTAATCAGGAAACCCTGAATTGACGTTTTGGTTTGGTGGCTTGGGGATCTGAGCCCCTGGTTGTTGCAGAGGGAAAATGAGAAACTTATGTTCCCCCCCTTGGAACCCGCCGAATGGGGAAGCTGATTTTAGGGGCCCCAGCCCAGACCGAGCGCCAGGTGAACTGCGAGCTGCGCATTCATCAAGGCTTCGGCGAGCTGCGCAGCCGCCGAGACCTTGCAGCAGGCAGGCTGAATAGCCCATGGCTTGTCATGTTTTCAACAGGAAGCTGAAGCAGCTGAAGTGAAGCGGTTGGTTTTGTCTAAGTCTGCGTGTGTTGCTTCTGTCTTTCTAGATAGCTTGAAATGTGCTGTGGACACAGGCTGTTTCTGCTGGGATGCGGCCTGCCAAATTCCATGAGCTGTTTGGCAGAGTATGTTGCCAAGCAGGCAAAACGAGTCAGGGTCTTTGGGGTGCACGGCTTCATGGTGAGCGAACTTGCGGCCTGCTTCTCTGACCTTACTGCCTTTCATGACTTGTTTGTTGTTTTGTTGTTTGCTTTGGTTTCCGGTTGCTGTTTGACTGAGCTTCACGCTAATTCTTGGTTTGCCTTGGTGGTTCCCCCTACAAGAACCAAGGCGTCAAACCCCCACCAATCTAAACCAATAAGGGGAAGCTGCTTGACATTGGCTCTCACTTGTTGCTGTAGCCTCCAGGCTCCTCAGGACTGCGTGCCCTGGACTGTGCGTTTCGCTCGCGACAGGCGAGGAGCTGTTCATCTCCTACGGCGCCAGCGAGTGGTTCACAGATCGCGGCTTGGCGCTGGAAGACGCGGAATCGCCGCGGCCGGAAGACGCAGGCCGGGAGCCTTGGAAGCTCTTCGCTCGGGGGGGTTCGAGAAGTGAACATGGATGGGGCTGCAAGAAGCCGCTGGTAAACGGAGTGCTTAAACCTATCACCTCTTGCCTTGATTGAGGAACTAATGGATTCCAGTGGCCATTGGCTTCATGATGGCCAATTTGAATGAGAATAGGCCAACACAACAGGTTTGTAGAACGAGGGTGGGCATGAGCTTTCCATCTCATGGCGGCACGCCTGCTGCGGATGTCGGCGGCGTACTTCTCTTGCCCACCTTGTGTGCACGCCTTCGCATTTGTGCCCTGCAGCCCAAGAAGCATGGCATGGATGTGGTTTGTGACATCACTTGTGTATGAGGGTTGACTGTGTGTCAGGCGGACTTTTGATCTTTCCAACCGGTATTCTACAGGCTCGGCCCAGTTGTCCAAACCTGGCCTTTCGGCACATGTGTTCCACTTGTGCGGGCCATTTGGGGCCATCCCGCGAAAAGGCGACAAGCACGGCTAAGCGCGCCTGCTGCTTTGCCTTTGGAACCGGTACAGGAGATGATGCAGCCACGTTTGGAGTCACAAAGGCAAAATGAGATGTTTTTTGTTTGAGTGGCGGGGAGTGATGGCATTTTTCTCCTGCAGAGTTTTTTGGTCAGCAGTTGCCAGTAGCTGCGGTAAGTCGAGGGTGGCAATCAAGGGCAGAAACTGAAATCAGGGAAGAGGGGCCAGGAGAATTGGGACCCTGCCTTTTTGCCCATCATCGGTTGGCAGAATTCCCTTTGAGTCAAGGGCTTCATCATAAGGAACATGCAGAACTATTGGTGGGGGCAGGGTGGTGGTGTTGGAAAGGTAGGATGACCAAGCTTGCGCTAGTGTTTCAAGAAGGGACCTGGGATGCGATTCGAGTTGTAAGCAGGACGCCCTTTGATCGCCGGGATGTTTCATCTGGAGACAAGCGACTGCAGTTGGCTGGAACCCTTGGGAGTTAGTTAATTGTTCATGATTGGTGGATGCCCTAAAGCACTGCAAAGTTTGCTGCTGGTAGTCAGCGCGAGCAATCTCAAACCACTTCAAGCATTGGTGTCCGTGAAAGAAAACTCTCCAAACTGGGCGGTTTCCCATTCGCTTCCTTGAAAACGATTGAAAAAAGGGCTGCGTAGACGCGTAAGGCACGCCCACCAAGACGCCTTCCGTCCGCAGGCGTGTGCCTGAGCCACCTCGCGGGCTCGCCGGGGTCGATGTCGCTGACCGCGGGCTTCCGCATCGCCGCGAAGGCCGGCTGAGCGAATTGGCCTCGGCTTCCTGCGCCCTGAGGGCCGGCCATCGGAATCGGGGCCCTCTCGTCGGTTGTCACGGCAGTACCCTCCACTTAGCTGGTCTTTGGCGTGACCCCAAAGGCCTCTTAGATTTGGAAGCAGATGGCGAACTCATTACACCTACAAAAGGTGATCGACCTTCTTCTCGGGGGGAGAGCAACCAGAAGAGGCGCGTAGCACACTGTAACCATGAATCACATGTGCGCCGCTAGAGTAGTAGTGGTACAGTCTAAGAGTCTACTTCAAGACTTTACCCCGTAGAAGGGCAAGAGTGATGGCTGGTTTACTCAAAGAATCATGGCTAAAATGTGCTTAGGGCACCTGCCAACCCAAATCCAGTGTTTCAAGCTCTCATAGTAATTCACGGGGGGGGGTCCTCCGGAAATGTGGTGTCACAAAGAGTTTGGAACCTGAATGATTCCGTGGACCTTAAGAAGAAGACTCGAGACAGGTGTCATGCCAAGCCCTTTCACCATGGAAGTTGACAGCAGGTGTGCGAACCGGACTTTCTTTTTGGGGAACCTCCCTGTCCACTTTCATGATTGTTGGGCAAGAGGGTAGTGGAAGTTGGCTGCAAGGTTGGCCTTGACGTTCTCCTTGGGTTAGGCAGTGTCACCTCTTTCTTATTGAGCTGATTGAGCGGGTGCCCGGCGGCCGGGGCATCAGGTGTGACCAGTTTGCAGGCCTTCCTGCACGGGCAGCCTGTGTTACTAAGACGCTACTCAAGGCTAGTGACAGAATGAACTGTTAAGAAGACCTACGCTTCAGGCTTTCGCATAGGTAGCTTAACTACTACATACTGTTTGGACGCTTGAATCAGTATGGTATGTGTGTATGCATATGCGTGTGCAGCCTGCCGGTGCAAAGGCGGCAATCCATAGCTGTCACCGCAGGAGCAGATTACCACGCCGGCCTTCCTGATAGCTGCCGATGTTGCGGACGCAGCGCTTTTGCCATTCGCCTTGCCAGTCGGCGAGGCGGATAGTGACTGGATAAGGGTGATGTTTGATGTAAAGGATTATTGTTCTAGGGCCATTTGAATGGGCCCTTGGAATGGACCCTTGATGTTGCCCCCATATAGATTTCCCATATACCCCTTATATAAGTACTATATACCCCTATGGGATCCGTTGCGCATAAGGACTACATGCGAGAGTAACAACCAATCGTCAGTTTCAGCTCCCAGTTCATCCCAGCTTCTTCCCCAACCACAGGTCCCTCACGTTTCTATTCCCCAAGCAGCGTCCCCAACCTTTCACCTCCCCCCCCAAACCTCTCCCCAGCCTTCCCCCCAACCTCTCCCCAGCCTTCCCTAGTCACGCCAACCCAGCCTCCCCCAACTGCCCCGTCCTCCCAAGCCTTTCCCGAGTCCCCTCCAGCCTGTTCCCCAGTTTTTCCCCTTCTCCGACCCCCTACCCACATAAAATGCGAAAAACTGCGTGTGCCGTTGGGGCAAATGAATGCCCCCCTAATTTTGGACGGGGAGGGTAAAGCCTTGTTTGTCAAGCCCTGCATCCTTGGAGTAATTAGTTTGCTCCTTCGAAATAATTTATCGCGTCTCCCGTTTTAACGTCATGCAGCTACTGGACGCCCCTCATCTTGGTGTGCTTTTTTGTTTTGGCCGAGGCGCTGCTCTTGCCAAGCTGGCCGGGGCGGCTGGAGCAAGCGGAGGGAGAGGCCAATGAGCCCGGGCTGAAAGTGGCAGGAGTCTGAGCGTGAATTTTTGCCGAGTTGGAGCTGATGTTCATTGACAAATGCTCATGGTGCTCCATGTTTCGTTCAAAGATGCTGAGAGGGGAATGATCTTGGCTGGTTAACATCCCTGAAATCCGCTTTGATGATGATTTGGAAGTTGATGGATGTTTGGACGGGGGACAGCCCCTTTTAGCTCAAGAAAGGAAAGCAAGCGCCTGCACAGGTATCAGAGGGTTATGAGCCCAAACCTCGACCTGTGCTGAGCCATGGAGGCTCTTTCGTCCTCATCGGCAAGGACTGCCTGCAGCTCCCAAAGGTTCCAGATGTCCACCACCGGCAGGTTCTACGCCCTTCTGGCTCACTCTGCCAGGGCTTCCATAACTAGCACCCCCGTTGATCTGCTCCTTCATCTCCTTCAGCTCTGCCGCCATGTGCTGGTTCTGCGCGATCAGGCCCTTCATCATGTCGATCAGTTCCCGAGGAACACCACCAGCGCCTTCAGCACGTCCATGCCCTCCACCTTTCTCAGGAAGCTGAGCTCCGACATCGCATAGCGCCAGCGGTCCCTCTCCATGTCCTGGTTCCTCCACTGGCAGGTCCCGAGGTCTCATTGCCCACAGTTGGGCCTCCTCCTTAGCCTTCTCCGACCAAAAAGGATTCACCACCGGAGCCGCCAAGTCGCCGCTCCTCAAGGGCCCATACGCCGTGGGCGGCCCTCGAGGAGCTGGTGATGAGCGAGCACTTCAACTACGATCGGGCCAAGGGACGGTGGCTATGAATACCCTGGGATGGGGTGGGATGAGGCCGATGGCAGGGGCTGCTGAAGCTGGTGGTTTCGCTGCTGTGGGTTTTTCCGCAGGTCCGGATCGAGGACGTGAAGGACTACCGCTGTTCCCTGATCACGGAGATCGCGGAGGAGCAGACGCCCGAGGCGTAGGGTGGTCAGATGCAGCCAGCCATCATGGAGGTGATCTGTTTGGCAGGAGATCGTGGTTTTGGAGGTAATGGAGTACCTGGTCAACGTCCTGCAGATGAACGTGGGCGTGAATGGCCAGGAATGACGCGAGTACCTGAAGGGCATCCTGCTCGGGATCATGGTGGTCATGGAAGTGCAGGAGTACCTCAAGGGCGTCTTGCTGCAGGAGGTCGAGAGCAACCGCGAGATGGTGGGGGAGGAGGACAGATCCCGGTATGGATGGGGTCATTGATTGCGCCTGCCTTGCCACCGCAGTGGATGGGTGATGGAAACGGTCAATTGGGGCCGATGTTGCTGGCTTTGTTGCCAACTTCATCGAAGGGGGAGATCCTCGCCAACAGAGCTACCTCTTCCGCGCAGGTGCTGTTCCGGATCTTCACGAGGTACCAACCGGGAGGTCTGGATGAACGGGCGATGTTGTTGAGGCAGCTGGTTGACCCGAGGACGCCTACATCCATGTTGGAGGCCTTGGAGCAGTTGCGGGCGTGGAAGCGCTACCTTCGGAGGGCCCAGGAACTCAAGATCGCCACGCCAGATGCAACCCTGCTGGTTGGAGCGCTGGAGAAGTATGTGGGGGTGATTGTCAAGGCCTCGCCTCAAACATCCTTCAGGCTCAACTCGGCAAGAGCGGGTTTGAGGATTGACGTGGCGCCGGTGGTGGATTCGGTGCTGCAGTTTGCGGATGTGGTGCTGGCGGAGGCGGAAGCAGGTTTTCACAGCACGGCACAGGGGACGGCGGCGAAGGTCAAGGCCATGGTGGCAGGAAATGGAGGAAGTCCCGATAAGACAAAGGACAGTGGCAAGGGAGGAGGAAAAGGCAAAGATGGAGGAGGCAAGGATGCTGCAACAGCGCCGGTGTGCCGGTTCTTCCTCACGGACGGTGGATGTAAGAAAGGAGCAGATTGCACCTACAAGCATGAGTTCGACGGGGACAAGCGAGGGCGCTGCTGGAATTGTGGAGGGACCTTGCACACCTTTGGGAAAGGCTGGTCGAGAACTGGCATGAGGAGCATTGGGAGAGGCAAACGCCATGGAGGGGGTCGTCAAACTTCAGGGTCCTGAGGAGGGCCGGGCCCGAGGCGAGCGCGTCGAGTTCGGCAGGTTCCGGAGGTGGAGGACCTTCCGGAGGTGGTGGAAATGGTGGCTCTGGCTCGGGGCCTTCGGGGTCTTCAGGAGGGACGTCGTCGGCTTCGGGGCGGGGAACTGCGAGTACGGCACGATTCGGGACATCGGGAACTACCGGAGGTGGGAATGAGGGCACTGAGGAGGTTGCGGCCAAGCGGCCTCGGGTGTGCGGTGAGGAGGTGATCCAGAGGCGTCTTGTCGGCGCCGATGGGCAGAGCATGCTGGACATTACGCGGATGGCTTTTTTCCAGGATGTGGAGGCGAGCGAGGTGTTGATGACCGAGATCTTAGGCCCCAGGGGGTGCGAGATGAGTGGATGGACGTGCCCCTGCCGGGTGGCGTTGCGTTCGGCGTGCAGGTGCGCAAGAAGGTTCGACACGGAGCGTCAGGGCTTCAATGAGGTGCAAAATTGCATGGTCCGTCGGAGGAGGAAAGTGGATCGATAGATCCATCAGGCGCGGGCGCAAGGAGAAGTATGAGATGATGCCGTGGGTCGGGTACACGATCTTCGTGCGGGACAAGGGGGCTTGAGCGCGGAGCAGTTCTTTTGGCGGGCAAACCCTAAAAAGAGGGGGAGCCCTGAAATTCGCTTTGAGGATGAGACTTTTTCTGGGGGACAACCTCCTGATTTGGAAGTTGATGGATGTTTGGACGGGGGACAGCCCCTTTTAGCTCAAGAAAGGAAAGCAAGCGCCTGCACAGGTATCAGAGAATATCTCACGTTTGGGTTGCTCCTTAGGCAAATGGAAGTTGGCGTCCATCGCTTATAGGTGTGAGTCGTTATTTGTAGTTCTCCCATACTTTGGAAAACCGCTTTGTCAAAACTATCCTTCCAATCGAAACTGTTACTCCCCCCCCTCCCCCCGCTTTAGGTCACAACTTTGCGGCGTTATCCTTTCATCAAGCAGCTGTTGCCAACCCTGGTAGCTTTTCACTTCTCCGTTGCTACTGCCAAGGCAAATGCAAACGAATTGGCCCGCAGACAAAAATGCCTGCACAAGCCGACCCTGTTGGTATGATTTGTTTGCGGGGGCTCGTTGTTCACGACGATTTTGAGTTTTGTTGCGGGTGCAGTGCGACGGTGGAGGCTTTGGGGCTGCATGTGCAGTCAGATGCGCATGTTTTGCCTGTTTCAGGTCCCGCTGGCCTCGCTGCCAAACCTAGGGCAAGCGATACGGGCTTGATTTGTTCGAGGATACCTTTCTCAGGCTGGCTCAAAGGGAAGCCGAAAACGAAGCCACCGTTTTGGTCGCGCCAACATTGACACATACCCATAATATGTAAAGCTCGATCTGGGACGATAGCCCAGAGGTTGGTGACAGCGGATTGCGCTGCACTGGGGGCGGGGACTACGCATGCCAGCTTTGTGTTTGGAAGCCGATTTTTTGCTGAGGTGCACCTAGAAATCCGACTGGATGGAGGCCCTCTCACTGGCCAAGTTGAGGCGGGGCGAGTTGTGCCCAAGCGATTTCAAGGCTGCCAGGTAATTCCAACAGACGCCACTAGGGCATGCAAGCGGGTCTTGCAAGACCCTTGCGGCAACGTGAGGGCATTTAGTGTGCCACTCCAACACGGCTGGCACTAGGGGCTTTCCACCCAGGAAACCTGGCGGGCAAGTCAGCAATGCCATGAAATGCGCGTGTATTAGCTGACACTGGGGGTGATAGTTGGAGAGGCTGGATGACACTTCCGCCATGCATTCGCCACGCATTGCCTTGTCAACTTCAAGACGCAGGCAGCTGCCCGATTCCATGTTGAGGCTTTTGCGTGCTCATAGCTGACCGTGGCAGGCGCAGAGCCTTATCGACTCGCCGACGTGGGGCGGCTCAGTTTCTTGCAAAGTTCGAACACAAATTTGGACTCTTGAGACCTGAGGCAGGATGCCAATGTTTCCAGCCATGATTCTCCTAAAAAGCGGTTTCTGGGCCCTCAACTTCAAATGACGAGAGCAAACCAACACTCGCTAGTCATGTTAAGAGGTGCAGTAGGCAATTGTCCCGTGGCTGTTTTGTTTGGTCCACGAAGAATCCGCATCAACTTGCATCACGCACTTTGTTGAGCTAATCCTTGGGCCCTGGCACTTGCTTTGCCATGTCCGAGCTGCAAAGTAAAGAATATGTCGATATTTTTTGGCCTTAGTGCATCCGCAAAAGAATTGACAAGCCGAAGTGATGCTTCCTTGGCTAGATTGGCGGCTGCGGAAACATGGCAGGATGCGACTGGACGTAGTCATGACAGCCACCCGGGAGATCGAGGAGGGTGAGAAGCTCGTTGCACAAAGATGCGACGAAGGCACGCTGTGCAACACATGGATGGGGTGGCACTGGTACGCCAGATGCCTAAAGGCCGCCCGCGTTTATCAAGCCATCGTCCCTGGCACTGGTTCCAAGGGACCTTTATGTTTGCTTCCTTACTAGCGTCCAACTTGGCTTTCGTGCAGCCACGGCTACATGTTGGGTTCCGAATGGCGCCTCCCAGTGCGCCACCCCGAAGTGGCTCCACTCATGGCTTCTAACCTCCAACCTCGGCACTTACCCTCAAAACGCCAGGGACGGTAAAGGCAAAACACGCACAAAGCTCTCCGCTCAGGCTGTCTCTTCCCGGCAGCGTGGGCGCGCAACATCTCTGCCGCCAGGCGCGCCACGCACGGCAAATGCCTTACGAAAGAAGGCGCTGGGGCCATTCAGTGACACGGTTGCCGTTCCCTCAACATTGCAGATGGAACCTACCTACATGTATAATGATCGAAGGGTGGGCTTGTTTGAAGAGCCCCTTCAACACTGGGCGGGGTCCATGAAGATAACAATTAGACTTATCTGATGGTAAGCTGCACTTCCACGGTGTTGGCTGTCGCCAGAACATGGCATGAAGACGAGATTGCGAGGGGACAAGGGATGTATGTATTCGACCGAATCGCCAGGCTGAGGGCGGCGGAAGGCGGTGAGGCGTGGGCGCAGTTCCAATTGGCTCAGCGCTGGCGCCAAGGAGCGGCCCCACAGGGGAAGGTTCTGGGATCCTCAGCAGGAAGTCTTTGCAAGATCTTCAGGTGTCCAAGGCGCTCCAAAGGACTTCAACGTTGACAGGGGTGCGGCTTCTGCTGGTGTTGGGTGAAGTGGCAACATTGGAGCCCTGTCACAGGATGTTGGATTTGCCCCTACGCACCGACTTCTGATGCTTCTGTCCCACCTTGGGGGATCACAACTACGGTTGAACCCGGAATTTCGAGCAGCCTGTCCCTTTCCGTAAGTAGGCAACCAGAGGGAACTATCACGTGAAGCTCAGGGGTAAAAATAGCTGGTCCCCAACTAGAGTCGATTGAAGGGAAAGGAACAGTCAAAACAATAATCACAGTGCAAGGACTGACATCGTTAGGACTTCTGTTCGTCGAAAGTCGGCTTGGAGGTTGGTCCAACCATGAATACTCATCACCACGTCAAAAACCTCCGTCAAGCCTACGTCAGCTTTCCACCAAAAGACATGCTTGATTACTGTTCATATTTGATGGAACCTGGAATAAACAACACCCTGTGGGGGCCACATAGGCCCAGCAATTGCAATGGCTCGAGCACACTCCAAAGTAGCGGCGGACATACGTCCCCAGGCAATTGTTGACCACCAAAGCGTGCTCAACTAAGTTTCGTACCGTGTGTTGCAAGTGGGGTGATATTAGAAACCCTTTGTCATTCCCAGACGTGAAGAGCAAGTGGACCAAGACAAACCATGGTGCGTTGCAAGCAAGGTGCTCGGCGTGTTTCCTAATTCCGTCGCTTCCTGGAAATTGGCAAAGCCAACCTTTTGATGACCTCGGCCACGCGAGGAGTGCCCGATGCCAGCGCAGCCAACACCTCTCAGGCGCAACGGTGACCTCCCAAAATGAAGCGAGCTCCGCTGTGGGTAAAACGAGCTGATCATGACTGGGGTCCTTCGCTTGTGGATCTCTTCGCTTTTCAAATTAATGTAGAAGAGACGTGGTCGTGGTCGTGGTCCTGGCGCGTATTGGGACGGCATGCCTGAACTTGACATTTCGCACCAAATGCCTGATCCTCCTGAAATGTGGAGGAACACCACCACCACCACCACCACCACCACCACCATCACCACTACTGCCACCACCATCTCCGAAAACAGTAGCTCAAGTGAGCCTCTCCGTTGGAGGCCTTGGCCTGGTACCGGCGCGCGGCGGAGCAGCGCCACGCGCCAGCCATGCTGCAGCTGGGGGCCTTGCTGCATGACGGCAGCAGGCGGCCCGGAGTCGGGATGTCTGGGGACGGGGGTGTCCGGATTGCGATTTTCTAAGGGGTCGGAGCCCAACTACTCAAAGGGCACTGCGACTTTTTGTCGAGCCCCTTTAAGAATTCCCTTTGATTCTTCATCCCAGGCCCTATTTTAGAGACAACTAACTTGATAAAGCCATCACTGCAAGAGCGGGGCTTCCCATTTCAATGCAGACAAGGTCTCGCAAGAAGGCACTTGTTAGACAACTGCGAAGGCTCAGTTCCTACCATCCAGTGCCTCAAATGACAAGTGCGCACCCAAATTTGGCTTTTGCGCCCAGCAACATTTAGCATAAACAACGAGGGCGAATGATGCACCTTCTCAAGCCCAAGATGTCCAAGTGTGCTCCTTCTTTGTTGGGCAAGCCTTTGTACCCCGACATCGTGGCCTCTTCTGGGAGGGGTCGCTCTGGTGGGAAGCAAGTTTGTTTGGTTGCCCATGCCGATCAACACAACATCGGGGGAGAGAGTTTGGTTTCTTTGGTCAGGAAACCCTCGGCTTAATGGGTGGTTTTGGATCAACTAGTAACTAGTGAGTTAGGGGTTTTCAACACCTGTTGTCGTTCAAAAATAGAATACAAGTGTCCCCCCTCCAGACCGGTCATCCTCAATTTCCCCGTGCAGACTCCCAGATATTCTTATTTGTAGAAAAGCTTCTTTTGTGTGTGCGTGTGTGCGTGTTTCTTTTGCAGGGGCAGGGTTTGATGCACCGCCCGTTGCTCCCAGCCACGCCGACCCGGACCCAGCAGCTGCGGTCGCCTGGTACCGCCGCGCTGCGGAGCTGGGGAGCGCTACAGGGCAGTTCCTCCTGGGCTTGGCCTACAGCAACGGCGACCCTCGGATCTCCGATGGCCCCGGGGTGCTATTGGCTGTTTCTGTTTTTGGTCGATTGGAGGACGTCCCTTGCAAGCCAAAGGCCGGCCGAAGGGTACCGTTTTTGTGCGCACATGTCTGGGTCAGTTGCCCAGTCATGGGAATCAGATCTGTACACGATTGGGTTCTTTTCGAAACAAGGAAGGCAACCAAGCCTATGAATATCAAAGTGACACGAGACAAGGCTTTTGTTGCTTAGACGCCCGGTCAAGCGAGCATCATGCGAAATGCTGATTTGGCAACCGCCGCTCTGCTGAAGTTTTGGCACTCGTTTGCAAGATCGAATGGCATGGGCGCGGCGCCTCACTTGGCACTGTTAAGATACCTGACCAAAAGCCTTTCGTACTTAGAGATGTCTAGGCGGGCACGGTCAAGCTCCTCAGATAAACGGGTCGGTTTGCCTTTACGCGTCGAGCCCAGTCAATTGGGGCAGTGGAAGAATTTCTGCCGCAGTATGCGGCTGGGCAGAACGCCTTCCTAAACATCATGTTTCGCTCGTTCTTGAAGCCATTTTCTGTGCAAATTACAGTGGCCCTCGCTAATTCGGGGCATCATTGATCTAATTTGGGGACCCCTTATATACCTCCGACCAGCAGAAGTTTGTTTTACTTTGTTGACCCCAGAGGTGGTTCAAGAGCTACGCCTAGGTCAGGCCAAAAGAGCATGTGCGACTAAGCCAGAAGCAAGCGCTTCTGTTTGCTGCCAGTGCATCCGAGGATGGCGTGGTCAGGAACATCTCCGAAGCCAGCATTTGGCTAAGAACCTCGTCCAAACCAGCAGCATTTCCGCTCGGCTTGGGTTCATAGCCCAACCAGCACCAAAGGAAGCTAAGCCGAGCAAGGCCTAGACAAGCCAATATCATTTACCCTGAGTGCGAAACCTTGCCGCAACTCCGCTGATCAGAGTCTAGTTTGCGTTGCTTTTCAAAGGAAACATGCTGCAATTCCCAATGGCAACACTGCAGGTTGTTGGCCCACCGTAATTTAAAGTGAGACGCTGGAACCAGTTCCCGGGACTTTGCAAAATGCTTGCCCGCTTTTGGGTCACAACAAAACCACCAACACAAGGTTGCTTTTTGGAAGGACCAATTCGTCGGTTGTCCTGCATGGTTCTGACAAAATGCTCTAACAGACAATTTCCTTGGTTGTTCAATGCTTGTTCCATGGTTGGCTTGCCCCGTTTTTCACCAAAGACACCAAGACATGGTCCTCTAATGATGACCCCATATTAATTCACCTCGGTTTCTTAATAGGGTTTTTCCCCACCCGACAGGAAATGGTTGTTAGATTTTATGATGGAATCCGCGTTTGCGATGCTTCTACACCACGCCCCCACCCAGTATCCCGCCAGAGCAGCAGCTCGCCACAGTGGATCCCGCCGAGTATCCCTCCAGAGCTGCTCGCCAGTGGATCCCGCCCAGTATCCCGCCAGAGCTGCTCGCCAGTGGATCCCGCCGAGTATCCCGCCAGAGCGGCTCGCCAGTGGATCCTGCCGAGCATACCGCCAGAGCGGCTCGCCAGTGGATCGCGCTGAGTATCCCGCCAGAGCGGCTCGCCAGTGGATCCCGCCGAGTATCCCGCTGAGTATCCCAGAGTAGCTCGCCAGTGGATCGCGCCAAGTATCCCGCTGAGTATCCCTTGCCGGTGGATCTTGCCGAGTATCCGGCCAGTATCGAGCCGGAGCGGCTCGCCAGCATTTGCCAGTGGATCCCTCCAGTATCCCGCCACAGCAGCTCGCCAGTCTGGTTTTGCTTACTGTCCCGCCCAGCGCACAGTTGGGTTTACATTTCATGTTAGCTCGGAAGTATAGAGGGTGGGGATTGCTCGAAGCGAAGTAATTGTTCCCGCCAAAAGTGGTCTGATTCCAACCACATTTCACCCAGGGACCAACACCAAGGGGTGGTCCTCTGTGAGGCCGCGCGGCTGCCCAGGGCAGCTCCAACTTCGCGAAGGCGTCCAAGGCCATGCGCCTTGGACAGGGAGCGTTGCGGGGGATTTCCATGGGGCGAAGACTTCCTTCCCGGAGGTTTGGGGTGAAAAAGGGCACTGCACAAAGAGAATATCAAGGGGGGAGGGAAAGCAAAGAGCACATCTAGAAGTTGGGGGCTTCCTTTTCACTTGACCCCGTTGCCCAAGTTGCTGTGGTATCAAAAGGGGAGCCTCGTTTGTCCCCAAGAAGTCGCCGCCTGTTACATTGCCAGCCTGTCGCAGGCAGTTCATGGATGGTACCTTGTTTGCTTCCCTTTTAGCACTGTCCAAATGGCTGTTGCCGGATTTTAGAACATGCACCGGGATTGGATGCTGGGCCCCAGTTCGGAGATGCCAAGGCCCTGGCATGACTGGGGGCTGCAGGCAAAGCCCCTCACAGCTTAGCCATGATCTACATATACCGACATACAGCGAAACTTTAGCCTAGCCCCCTTCGCTTGGGCAAAGGGGATGTTGCTGTGCATACAGCCATCGTCTTCATTAGTCAGCAGTATTCCTTAGTTGCCCTGCCCTTGTTTTTTCCCCAAGTCCCACACTTAAGTGCAAAATTGAAGTTTCTAAAATGGCGACGGTAGAGTATTAACGTCTTTGTTCTCCGGTATTCCCTTAGCTGTGCAAACGTGTGCATTTGCTCAGGAAGCTTCGGAGCATAGAACCGGCAGCACCAGTCTTTAGGTACAACTTGGCCATCGCCTACCGCGAGGGCTTGGGCATCGCCCAGGATGCCGAGCAGTCCTTCCAGTGGTGCAAGAAAGCGGCCCAGGGCGACCACCCCAAGGACCGGCGGATGTGTCCATGGAACAAGTGGGTGGCAAAGCTTGGCTAGAAGTGTTGGATATTCCTGGGTTGGATCTTCGACCTTTACGTTTTGGGGGAGCCGCTGTTCCTCGCAAACCGCGAACACTTAGACATGCAAACACCCTGGTCATTTTTGCATTGCGTGCAACTCATAAAGTCAAGCATCCCCTATCATCAAGCCATGCCGCGCTTCCAGAGCATACTTGCTTTTCACCAAATATTTCTGGAAACGTATGCGCACCCATGACAAGGGGATGGCAGTCTTCTGAGCAAGCTGCGTGTGTCCCAAACTGGAAGTTTTCCTTTGGTCGTCCTTTCCCAGCCACCCCCGACCAGGGCATCAATACAATGAACCCCGTATGCGCACGTGCATGTTGTTCTTGCTGCAGCAGCCCAGCCATGGCCAGGCGATGTTCAACTTGGCTGTCGCCTACGGTCGTGGGGATGGCACGCCCGCAGACGCAGCGGAAGCGGCGCGATGGTACCGGGAAGCGGCAAGCCGAGGACATGTGATGGTGCCTTGGCCCAAATGCATGTGTCTGTGGACTGTCTCGGTGAGGCGTTGTTGTTGCTCTTGCCGTGTGTCGGATCTAATGATCTAGCGAAAGCCGTCCAGGCACCTCGTTGCACTAGCATGTGCGCTCACATATTGCATTTTTGCAATTCCGACTTGAGGGGTATAAACCAAAGGGCGGGGTGATCAAACAGCAGCCAGGGTCAATGGCTGAGCCCCATGCACGCGCGCAAAAACCTTGGCAGCTGCGCACTGAGGCGCAGTACAATTTGGGCTATGCTTACTTCGTGCCTCGCCAGCAGGGGGTGCGTTCTAAGATGAAGATCTGGGCTGAAAGGGAGCGTGTGAGCTTTGTGTTGTGCGTTTGTGGCATCATTTGCTTTTATGAGATTCGGTCAGACTTTGTGAAGCAGATTCAAATGAGGGTGTCATGTTTACAGTCTTGCTTGCAGTTGGCATGGAAAGCGACGGGGGCTCACAAGCAACATACCATTGCACAATACCCCTGCAAAATAAAAGAACCTGGCAAACGGCAGGAGGCTCACTAAAACAAACCAAATGACTCGTGTACGGGTGCAACACAGATAGTCACTTATTTTACTCAGCACGGGAATGATCCACGCCAGGGCACTGCCATCAGGTCTTGTGTTTGCAGTTTTGGTGGGAGGCGATGGCGGTCGCGAAGCCTTCGCCATGAGTTTGCAGCGAGGTTGGCGCCGGCGTGCCTCAGAATGAGTCCGCCTCCGCCGAGTGGTTCGTGCGTGCGGCCGAAGGGGGCAGTAGCAACGGCCTCTCAGCGGCACGGTGCTTGCGATTCAGTGGACGTGTCATTGCCAGACTTGGCATACGTATTTTGACTCTTTGCCTTGTTGGTTTTCGTTTGTTTCCGCTTTCAAGCAGCACACCATTAACTTTTCGAACGGGGGGCCTAAGTCATCTCAGCGTGAAGTGGCTGAAGAAGGTAACCCCAAAGGCGATCAGGAACTTACCGAACGGGAGTACCAGTCTGAGGCCCATTGACTACAATGCGGTGTTGTTATGTTTGGTTTTCAAGCAGCAGGAGAAGCGATAGTGTCACACTGCAACCACGAAGGGTAGCCAGCAGAAGAGTTGTGGAAGTGTTCTCAGCAAATGGCCGTGGTTCTGCCCGGGGCCCTAACCACAAAAAACGCGCTTGATTCACTACTTGGTAAAGCAAGTACTGCAAGCCAAGTCGCTCATGTGAGTCGAATGAGCGCCATTTGACGGGAGCTTCTATCAGGGCAAGTGATGACTGGACTGTACATCTTGCCACGTATTCAAAAATGGATTCCAGGAGAGGTGTGAAATGGCAACTGTTCATATTTGGAAATTGTGGCCGTTTGTTCTCAGAAGGGTGGATTGGAGGAGCTCCTGCAACAACTGACAATCTAAATCTAGACAATGACCATGGTTGCTGTGGTGGGCGCGAGCAGGTCCAGTCAAGATTGGCGTTCATTATTGGTCGAGGCGTCGATTTACATGTTACAATGGTTCATTCAATCGGGCTCAGCATGGCTAGCCATGTTTACCTTTGAGAATAGCCCCGTTTGGTCCTCGAGCTGATTCCTTGATCAGGAACGGGAGAATCCAAAGTATGTTTTGCAAACTTCGCGCCGTTGTCAGCCCAGTGAGTTACCGCTGGATTCGGTGGAATGTAGCGCATTTGCGCATTTCCAGTTGGACGGTGGCACCCTCTTACCATATTTTACCCTTTTCGGTGCCAGTTGACAATTGATAGGAGCCGAAGGGCTCGACAACTGAGCCCAAACGGTTGCTCCCCCCCCCTCCCCGTGACAGACAAGCCATTGGGCAAAGCCCCGTGCCAATGTGTTTCTGTTTCCCACTGCGTTCCCTATGTTTCTGCTTTTGCAGTTTTTACAGGTTGCCTTTCGGGCCAATTCAAAGCGAGTGGCCTTGGGGGGGTGATGTGCAACATGTCCCACTGGCAGCTGTTTTGGCTTTGCGCCTAGGCCAGTTCATGATGGGAGACTCGGCGTGGTGCAGGGGGCTGCTGACAAGAACCAAGGGAAATTGAATCGCTTCCCCCAATAGTTAAGACACCCCCTATGTTTAATAAATACTCGCACTGGGGGCCAAACGCTATTATTAACAGGGTAATTAGGGGTCAGATGGGCTCCCCCCCAGAAGCAAATGTACTCATCCGTTGAAACCGACTCGAGGCGTACGTTTGAAAGTACAAAGTTGGAAAGCTTCGTTATTTGATTGTAGTACAAACTCTTAAGAGGGAGTTTGGGTCTTGGAGTGCTCTTCACTACGACAGGCGTCGGGTTTGGCAAGCAATAAGCCAGCTTAGTATGCTTTAGCATTGGACAATTTTAGAAGAAGTATTGGGTACCCAGCGGCCTGGGAAAACCAGGCTTATTGATAGAGTGCTTGCTTTTATTATTATTAGGGGAAGCGGTTAATCCAAGAGCCCGGGGCATCCTGAAGCAGAAAAACTGTCTGACTTTGGGGGCAAAAAGCAAACAGGGTGCGGCCCTGAATTGGCGCGACACCAGTTGCTCAGTCGTTTTTGGGCGCCTGGTGTCTGTTGTGCGCCTCCTTGACGGTCTTTCTTTGGGCCCTTTGAAGGCGGCCAGATGTCCCAGCGAAGCCTGTCCGGGAGACATGAACACCATGGCGTTGGGCATTGTACCATAGACCGGCAGAGAATAGAATCCCAGCTATGATGCGGAATAGTTTACACGGTGCCTCCCCTGCTAATTTCAGACAATTACTGCCTTCACAGGTGTGCAATTGTTTGCGCGGCCCGACTGCTTCAATCCGTTACAGCCTCCACGCGCACGGAATGCGTGGTAGACGTACATTGGGTTCATGAATTCATCGTCTATTCACAATCTGCTGAGGTTGCCCTGCACACTGGCACGTTTGTTTTGCATTCACGCCGAAGCGTGCATGCTTTGGGATACGCAGCTCAAGATGTTCATTGCAGATTCTTTCCCAGGTTTTGCTGTACCCACTGAACACCTGGAGCCGGACCCATGCAAACATTGTTTGGACGATGGACATTGAAACAGATGCGCTTCTACCTGCACGTTGGTACATGTATTTGGGGGCTAACGGCTGAACAGCCGGCCATCGGGCAGTCTGATTCCGGACACTGGGCGATGCACAGGGCTTTCCCACTACTTAGATGCGCCCTGCAAAATATATGTAAACAACGCAGCATTTTCATTTTGCAACGTGTTCGGCAAAAGCGTGCCACTGAACCCAAGCAAAAACCTTAAACTCACTTTTCTGGAGCGATTTGAGCCGTTTCAATGACGAACATCGAATGTGACTGGGGATCAGTTAGCCCCATCTGCCAAAATCACACAAAAAACAAACACTGTGTTTTCAACGTTTTCGCCAAAATGACGCCAAGCTGGAACCACGCCGGGCACCCCCAAAACACGATTTCAGCCTCTGCGAATCCTCAACCCCACATCAGCCACAGTTCCAAGAAGTTTGGCGCACAATGTCGGAGGTAGGGGGCGCCTAGCCGAAAAAAGCCTCAGACGATTTTATACGATATGGAAATAAAGTCATGCCATCCGTAGCGTCCCGCAACGCATTGAGGTCAACATCATTGGCACGGAAGTGTTGTGCGGTTGCGTAAAGGCATGTGGACCCGGCGGGATGTTGCCCTTTGGCTACCTCCACGCAAGAGTGTACCATATACAAGCGGAGCTTGCGAAAACTTCCCGCAAGGTGTACTTCTCCAGGATTCGCTAACCTACTGGTGTTGATTGCCCCGAGACAGGCCTCGGGCCAAAAGGCCCACAGATAGGCCTTCCTTTGGCCGTGAGTGCCTGTTGCTGTCGCATTTCGGCTTCGGGCAGCTAGTTCTCCGACCTCGAAAAAACATCTTGTAGCTGCTCGTTTATTGTTTATGAGCCATGGGATGCTCAGCAAGCGAGTTCGAGGCTCCTAACAGGAGTGGGAAGGAGATGAAGCACAGCCTCGATGGGAGCGAGGCAGGCTGATCAGTGTAGAGCCTTTCGGTTTTGGGCGCGGCTCTTGTTTGATTTGTGTTTGGGCAAGCTGAGCCTTAATGCGACGGGCTATCGGTTATTCCCTGCTGTTGCATTGGTTTTATCGCTCGTGCATGTGTCAGTTGCGGTCAAGTTGAGTGAGTCGGCCCACGTCATTCAAGTTGACATGTCAGGCGAGCCAAAAGACGGAGGCATGGGGGAACATCGACCCCGCAAGCAGCTGGAATATGACACAGCGCCCCAGTGCGCCTGTACCAGTTTTCCTTGCTCCAGACAAGAAGATGCACGACCGTCACTTGAAGAAGTTGGACAAGTTCCGGCAGGAGAGGAGGTTCTCCCAGAGAGATGGCCCCTTTCCCTTGCCATGGCACTGAGAGGCTCATGCAACTGTGTGTGTGTGTGTTTGTTCGCGTTAAAGGTTTTTCGGATTGTGGTTTGGCTTATTTGGGGTCTAGAAGGCCAACGACCATTTGATCTTTCAATAGCTGATGCTCGGCTTTCCAGGACGTGGAGAGGGATCCTGAGAGCCTCGCACGCAGAATCGAGAGGAAGCGCAGGGCGGCAAACATGCGAATCGCCCCAGCCTAGGCGCTCTCGACCATTTCCGTATCTATTCCTTTGACTGGCATGGCTGTGCCTGCTGTGCCCGAAGCCTTTCCATTTCTGTGAGCCAGAGAATGTGACAGTCAAAGGGGCCGCTTCAACTTCCCATCAACTTGAGTCATGGAATTGCGAGCGCTCCAGCTAGGCAAAGCACAGCCAGGCTTCATTTTGTGGCAAGTCTTCAAGCAGTATGCTACAAACGATAAGAATTCCTGGACTGCATTTTGTGGCCAGAGCACTGCCAGTGAATCTAGAAGTGTAGAATGACATTGCTTCCCATTGCTGCAGTCTTGTGATGTATTACCAGCGGGTGGTTGGCCACCCGGGAATATCAAGAACAGCCCCGTGCGGTGCATGCGCACGAGCTGATTGTCCGGGTGCCGCATGGCACGGGAGGCTCACGATTCGCGAACGCAAGACTCGTCGTCAAAGAAAGCCGGGTTAACCCTTAAACTCTCACAGGGAGAAGAGCCAAGAATTTGTTGCGACACAGCCCTGCACCATATCATTACTTGACCGAACGTCGCTACGTGGCTTCCACCGAAAATACATAAATAGAGCATCAAGACGTAGGTGGTTTGGCCTAGTCGCCTTCCCGCTGAGACAGCCAAGCGTTTCGGGTACACAGTCAAGGCCTTCAACACATAGAAGCATGAGGCGTGCATGACATTATTTAGCATGCGCAGCGAGTTGCAAACTGGCTGGACTGTTTCCCCATGCTTCTGTTTGAGCATTTCCTCCTCAATTTTTGCATGTTCGGCAGACACACTGCCATTTCAGGCAGCGCGCACGCCCGTGTGCAATGGCAGCGCGCGTGCAGCACGCGACAGGGTGGTGCGGCTTGCCTATCCGAGACATCAAGAATACATTTCGAGACATCACGAATACATCAGGAGCTTTGCCTGCTGGCTGGTTGAGCCGCCTGTCCCAATCCGAAGTTTCATTTTACAGACTCCACAGATAGGTGCATGGCCGTGCTATTTGCGTGGAAGACGCAGGAAAAAGGGCGGGGTCTGTGAAGGAGATGAGCGCACTTGCGCGTGGGAATTGTGTGTTGTTTGATACTGTTGGCTGCGCTGGTTTCACTGAAAGAGGAAATGCTTTTTCCCGAATGCCCAGCCAAGGGTTCTCGTTGTTAAAGTGGCCTGGGGTAAGGACGTGTTTGCAAGACGTGTCACGCCAACAAGCGTCCGACGTGTGGAAGAAGTTGCCATCCTGTTGGAATTCCGCGTTGCGCCTATGCGTGAACCATATATTTTGCAACGTTGCGTGTCGGCCGAGGGAACAGCAATGCCGTTCGATTTGTGTTTCAGTGTTGTCGCTTGAGGCGTCTAGCTTGGCAGGAGCGTGCAAGCGTGTTCGCGGCAATCGGTTCTTGTAAGCGAGCTTGAATCTGTCAATAGTGTTCGAAACCAAGCTGGCGCTACAGTCGCGTGTTGTAAACGTGTCAAAGTTGGGCATCGTGACAGGCGCAGTACCTTGAACGATGGTGAGTTCGTGGCAAGTTTACTCTGCACGAGAGGCGCAGCACTTTGAATTTGTTTGCTCTGAATTTCTTGGCAGGCGCGGCACTTCGGAGCTTTTCGCGCAGATTCCGCGGCAGGGGCAGTACTTTGGCAATATTTCGCGCATGAGTGCCGAGGGACCTTACGCTAGAGGCGCCGAAATATGCAAGAAAAGACTTGACGTGAGATGTGACGCGGCGAAAGACACGTCGTGAGACGACTTGTGCGGTTGCGTCTAGGCATGTGGACCCGTCGGGATACTGCCCTTCGGCTACAATCACACAAGGTGTCATTCACTAGGTTTCGGCAACCTACTGGTGTTGATTGCCCCTCGGACAGGCCTCGGGCCAAAAGGCCCACAGGTAGGCCTTCCTTTGGCCGTGAGTGCCTGTTGCTGTCGCATTTCGGCTTCGGGCAGCTAGTTCTCCGACCTCGAAAAAACATCTTGTAGCTGCTCGTTCATTTGTTCACGAGCCATGGGATGCTCAGCAAGCAAGTTCGAGGCTCCTAACAGGAGTGGGAAGGAGATGAAGCACAGCCTCGATGGGAGCGAGGCAGGCTGATCAGTGTAGAGCCTTTCGGTTTTGGGCGCGACTCTTGTTTGATTTGTGCTTGGCCAAGTTGAGGCTTAATGCGACGGGTTATTGGTTATTCCCCGCTTCTGCATTTGTTTTATGCGTCGTGCATGTGTCAGTTGCGGTCAAGTTGAGTGAGTCGGCCCACGTCATTCAAGTTGACATGTCAGGCGAGCCAAAAGACGGAGGCATGGGGGAACATCGACCCCACAAGCAGCTGGAACATGACAGAGCGCCCCAGTGCGCCTGTACCAGTTTTCCTTGCTCCAGACAAGAAGATGCACGACCGTCACTTGAAGAAGTTTGA